AAGATTTAATTGAGAGAATATATGAAAGTCAAACTATGAAGTTATTGAGAATGATTTCTTTACTTTCAGATGTAGGTCTTGGATGGCTAAACTGAATTAATAATTGTTTTGTATTTTACGTTTTTGTTGTCACCAACATGTGCATTCGTAGTTCGATCTTCCAGCAAACAATGAGTCTGTATTGAAATTTTATTTTTCTATGTTAATATTCAAAGTAAGTTATTATTGTTGTTAGGTGTTTGATCGATATCAGGACCAACATATATCAAATTGTTTTTCTACTTAATTATATAAATAAAGAGGTAATTTATTATTATTATTTTTTTTTTTGTCCAGCATCTTAACCCTAAACTTAATGGGATTTGTAATGTGTAATATAAATTGTGTACACTTTGTATAATTTAGAAAAATATAAAAAATAATGACATAAATAATTTAATACTATAATTGAATTGCAATATGATAACAAGATTAAAAAAATCTAAACAGTGAATTCATTTTTCTACTATATGTCAAATATATATATATATTATATGGATATAATTGCACACTTCAGGATTCTACCAATATTGTTTATGTAATGATATATTTGTAAAAATAATTTTATTAAAAAAAATATTTTTAGCTTAAACAAAAAGAATATATATATATATATAAAGGACTAGCGTATTGTTCAATATCCTTGTATTATGATGGGTTTGGACTAGTTCAATATATCTAACATTTTAAAGTATGATAGTACAAAAATATGAGAACGACAAGGGGACAAAGCCAATGATATTTATCGAAAAAGTATTTGGCAAAATTGCCCATAACTTCCTGGTTTCGAAATTCAGCGTAAATTCATTTTCTACTTTAAAAATTGCATGACGTCCTCTTATACTTTAAAAAATGTTGCATGAAACCACTTTGTGGTTTCGAAACTCAGCGTAAATTCTTTCTTTACTTTAAAAATTGTATGACGTCTTCTTATACTTTAAAAAATGTTGCATGAAACCACTTTGTGGTTTCGAAACTCAGCATAAATCCCCATTTTACTTTAAAAAAAATTACATGACGTTCACTTATATTTTAAAAAATATTGCATAAAACTCCCCTACCATGCATAACATATAGATAGGAAATCATCTTCTTATCACACGAGGAAAGTTTTATGGTAGTGGGGTTTCATACAACGTTTTTTAAAGTATAAGAGGGTACCATGCAATTTTTAAAGTATAGGAAGATTTTACGCTAAACTTCGAAACTACAGAAGAAATATAAGCAATTTTACCAAATATTTATATAAATATTGAATAATAATAATAATAATAATGATTGGATTTAGAGGAGAAAAGTTAAGTGGGAAATGATTGTTAAATAAAGGAAACGCTTGTTCACTTCCCTCGCCACAACTTTTTTTTTACTTTTTTTTTGCATTTTTAATACTCTTCTCGTCGTGCAAATGTGTGCTCATTTAACCGAAAATAAATATATTTTTTTATGATAATAAAAAAAAATAAGCGTAAATTTGAATGACGAAAGGAGTACTATTTTATAAATAATACTTCTATATTTATTAAACATATGAAATGTCTTATTCCTGCTTTTCAATTACTTTATTTTTGAAAAAAATTGGATATGCTTTATTTTATTTTATTTTTTTCTAAAGAAAAATTGACTTAAATAATTATTAATATTCCCTGGCTCCCAGAAAAAAAGTACTTATTTAAGTTTTTTTAAAGTAAATTTAAAAATAATAAAATATCTTATTAGGTAATAGAAATATGTAAAATAATAATGGTATTTTTGTTTGTTATAGTTTTATGTATATATATAGCGATATATTTGTAATTTATATAAAAATTAAGAGTATTTTAATATTATGATAAAATTATTTTACAATAATAAAAAATGAATAATTTTGAGTAATACAAACAAAAATAATAAATAAATATATATATACTTTCAGTTGGGATGGAAGAGCAATAAATTTCGAAATTTCTAAAATAAGGAACCAAGGACTCCACTATTCGTCGTATTTGTTTTGGTATTGTTACAACTACGGGTGGACACAGTTCGATGTAGATATTTGATATCCGAACTGAATCAAACAAATACTCAAAATTGCGAACCGTATTCAAAACGTTAACAAAAAATATTTGCAATATTTGCATATAGTTCGAATCAAAATTAAAAAATATATATTAAAAATAATTTAAATTCTAATTAAATAAAAATATTTGTAAATATTTCAGATATCCGAACTGAAACCAAATCGAATATAATTATTAATATAAATTTTAAAAATAATAATAAATATATAAATATATTCGATTCAGTAACCGAACCGAAATAATATCAAAAACTGAAATCAAAATTAAATTGAATCGAATAAATATCAAATATACAGTATTTATATGAGAATCGAATTTGCTCAATCAATCAAAAATTTGTTCTGAGTTAACTTTTTGTCCACCCCTAACTTGCAACTACAACTTCAATTCGAAATGATAATAAATGCATAAGTTGTTAAAAAAGTAACTAATATAAAAATGAATATAGTATACCGTTGGATTGATCTATTTATTCTATGTGTAACAAAATAAAAAATTAAAGACCCCATTAGTTTTAGATAAAGTCCATCTTATTGCCATTAGGAGTGTCAATTCGTATTATTGGGTCGTGTTCGTATCGGATTAAGCCATGGAGATAACAAAAAATTGTCAACCCGAACCCAAAATCTGGCCTGAAATCCTAGATCCGAACACGACACGAATTCTTTCAGGTCGGGTTCAGATTAACCTGAATTAGTTTCAGATCACCCGAAATTCGAACAAATCAAATACGAACCCGACACGAAACAAACCCGAAAATTTAAAAAAAAATTAAATTGACCTAAAACATATCATTTTTATTTTAATTTTTATATTATTTTATATTTAAAATAATATAAATATTATAAATTAAAATAATAATAATAAAAATTTCAAGCAATCCGAAACACGAAACCCAAAACCTAACCTGATTTTTATATTTCAGGTTATCATGTCAACCCGAAACATGACCCGAACACAACACGAATTTTTTTTCATTTCGGGTTCAAATCGACTTAATTTTTTACAAACCCGAAATACCCAAACCCGAACCTGAAAAATTTCAGATCGAACGGGTTCGATTTTTCGAGTTGGGTTTACTTTGACACCCCTAATTGCAATAGTAATAAACGACAAAAAATAAGTTTGAAAATTTGCTTACTTAAATTTTGATTTTGATTTATTTATTACGAATCCACTATTTTCTAAAATGCATTAATTTCTCTTTTGGAAAATATTAAATTTAAATTACTATTAAGATCCAACTTAAACTCAAACCTCAAACATACTATCCTTGTCGGACTCGATGGCTCTCATTTACTTTAAATATTAATTATTATATCAAAATACAAATTAAGAAAAAAAAAATACTTATATAAATATTTTATAATACTAATAAAATGATATTTGTATAAAAAATTATACAAATATAAGGATATTTTGAATATTAAATACGACACGAAAGATAAATGTGACTTTTATATGCGGAAGGAGTATAATTTACTAAAAAAATATTACGTACATTTTGATTTTTTTTAGGGTTTGAAAGTTTGATTTTATTTAATGGGAAGAAAAATAAATAATATTTTTATAAAAATATATAAAGATAAGAACAAATCGACAAATAAAAAAAAAGTTCAAAAGGAACAAACTCAAAAGCTTGTTTTGACATTGACATAATATAATAAATATTTATTTAAAAATTCAATATTCAACAATATAAAATATTATTTTTTATATTATTGTCTTCGTATTAAATTAAAATAAAAAATATATTCGTAAAGAAACAAAAACTAAGTACACCCGGGTGTGTTAGTTTGGGGAATTTGTCCCTAAATCCACTGTTTGTCCAATTTCTTATCTAAAAAAATCAAATCAAACAATTATTTTTTATTTTTTATATTATACTATAAATCGATTTTATATTCAAAACATCACATCAATACCTATTTATATTACATTATACAACTATCAAATTCAAATTTTTACTATTCAAATTCCAACTCAAAATCCAAACCCCGGATATATCTTTTATTTATAAATGTAATAGATATTATCATGTTAATTTAAGATTAACTAAAAAGTATAATTAATTAGGATTTTAACAATTAGAACATAATTCAAGCAGAGTATCTAATTTCAATAATTCAAACTATAAGTCAATCCAAAAAAACTCAACTCAATTTATTTTCATTTTGAGTTCAGATCGATTTGATTTAAACCTAAAATCCATTTTAGTATATAATTAACAATTTTTATTTTTATTTTTTTTATAAAAAAATACGCCTATGTTATTTTACAGAATGCCACGTCACTTGTTCTAGCTTCAGTATTTCATAAATTTAATCTACATTATATTTTCAATTTTCCTTTAATAATACCAAAAAATATTGAAAAAATAAAATAAAAACCCAACCATTACTCCTATTCAAAATGTACTTAAACACTGACACTTCAATTTTTTTTGACACCATGGAACGGTAATTTTTTTAAACAAACAATTTATTAAATAGCTTTTTTTTCCTTTCGCAATTAAATGAGTATCAAATAATAATGTTTTAGTATTCTATACGTCATAAAATTATGCCCATTTGATTTGGGCATGAATTTTAAGTAAATTGATAAAAATATATTTATTTTTTTTTATAGTTAAAAAAAATGATATTAAAATAATAATAATAATAATAATAATAATAATAATAATAATAAAAAGTAATAATAAGTTTAGACTTCCAAAAATCTTTTCAAGTAGAAAGATCAACTAAACAAAGAGTAAGGCCTTGTTCTTCTTGAATTTCTTTCTCTCATGCTTTTCAAAAAATATTAGGACACTATCCACATTTATTATTTTTATATTTGCTGCACGATTTTCTATACCTCACATAAATATTTTTTTTCCAATACTCTCCCAAAACAAACACACCCTAAATGCAACTTTTTCCAATATTGCTCATCAACCAAATGTTTCGACCCATCGTTCAAAACATTCAAACAATCGCATAATATATTCTACCGATACCTTTGAAATATGTCTGATAATCCCATCTGCTTCCACTGCCACACTACACTACACGTGTGAATCGCGCACACTTCTGAAGCCGAGTTAGCAAATGATAAAGCAGTTCGGATCATTGACCTAGCACGATCAAGTTTATTCATCATGTACAATGGAATGGAACACACACATTGTAAGAATGTAAATTTTTCTTACATTGCTCGGGGATTTCGATCTCTACTCTTCTGGGAAAAAATCGGGATCCTTAGGTGGACCTTTCCGAAGCTTGCTCTGCAGTTCCACCTGTTTAGGGACAACAAGCTCGGCCCCCTTCCCACAATCCGAAAAATATCGTTCAAGAACCTTCTGCAACGTACACATATCACAATGACCAATATGTCGAATAATTCTTTAAATCCATGTGTATATATACATATACATATATATATGTGTGTGTGTAGAAAAGATGGGATGACTGCTAACCACAGCAGCATAGGCATCGAGCCTGTCTTGACGAGCAAATTTACTGAGTCCCCTGAATGTTGAAATTAGAGCAATAAATATCGTTGTGCGACAAACACAATTCAAGCAAAATCAACAAATCGAGAGAAAAAGGAAGCAATTACTCCGATATCATATGGTCAAGAGCCTCGGCAGATGTCCCGTGTTCATCCTGCAAGTATACTCTCCATCCCCTGAAATCAAAGTCTGCACTTATCATTCTCCCGGAGATGGAAAAACTGCACCTCTAATCCATAAGAAGCGTTCTATCTTGACATCGTAATATCGTTGGTAATATATCTAATGCAAACATATATCTATAATTCAAACAACACATCGAAGAAAACAAGATATGAAAAGATGGTTATGGCGGATCGACTGCATTCACACACACTACATAATCAAATCAAGCTAACAATAATACTATCAAGGCATTATTCAATGTTGTTGACCAAAAAAATCGATGCATAGAAACAAACAATCACAGCTCAAATCGATATCGAAATGGAAATCTCATACTGCTTTTCTTAGATTGTATACCTCTCTGCAGCTCTAACTGCAAGCCTTCCTGCCACGCTGCGAACCTTATTCGATTGCTCTGTTTCCCGACCCTGGATCGACTTCGGAATCCCAATTATGAACTCATCAACTTCCTAAACAGAATTGCAAACAAATCATTGCCATAATTGGATAATGAAGCTCAATTTCAAGCAATGTATCCCAAACCTGCTTCTCAGCAATATCAAGTAGTCTGAGCTCAAGCTTCTGACCTCTTAATTCAACAACCTGACATCAACACCAGAGTCGCACTTCTGATTACACAATCGCATTTTCAATGGTAGCTTAAAGAGCGCTTTCGTCACCGGAGAGCAATTGTACAGAAATTGGATTTGCAGATTTAGGCTTACGGTTAGGGTTAGGGTTAGGGTTAGGGCCACACCGTTAATGGGCGAATGGAGAAGCCTTTGCTGAGGGCAAGGCCGGTCCGGGAGAGCCCCCAGTCTACTCCGAGGCTGAAGCCGCCGCGCCACGACGGGTCACGCTTCCGGCGAACGGCATTTGGGGGAATTTGCTCCTCCCACCGCACTGGAATCGATGCTGCTGAGATGTTTACAGACAATCTGGGATGTCTTCTGGTTTGAACGTGGAGAGGATTTTGTCGAATTGGGGACAAGTAGGGGTTTGGATTTCCTAATTGAATTGCCATTTATGTCTTCTAAAGTTTCCGCCATTGACGTCGTTCATTTTCTTATCGGTTCTCAGTTGAGAAATGGGTTACCCGATTGTAGTTTCGGGTCGGGTCGAGCCCAATTTTTATCAATAGCTTATAAAATTTAAAACTGCGGTCTTCCTGGCTTCGATGGTTTCTTCATCGTCTGATTCTGATTCAGCTTTAAGCTCTTGAGTTGTTAAGAGTTTTATGGTGTTTTGTCGAGTTGAGAATTTCTTCTCTGGATTGAATATTGGCTCGGGTATCACTCCGGTTCGGTTTCGTTAAAACGGTTGGTGATTTCAATTTGTCGAAGTTCAATTTTGTCTGTGCATCGATCTCCACTGCTGATTTTAGGGCTTCGTAGCTGTTTCTGGTTCAGTTGATGCGAATATTTTGAATTATTGTGTGCAACGATTGAATGAGCTTTCTGTCTCTTCTATTTTGTTTGAAAGCTGTCTCCTTACGATTTCATCCTTATAATCTTACAATTGATATTAGAATCTTTTTCCATTGATTGCTTTGAAGCTTGTTGCCATGGATGACCGTGATTCTTCAACCTGACATAGATTCTGAAATACAATTTACCAAAGCGATTCCCCACTTCCTTGCTCGAATATGCCCCAGTCCTGCTCTAAAAGGGAATTAGAAGATATGAATAACGAGAATTTTGATATGTATATTCTGATAATTATGTGTTTGGATTCTCCATGTTCAAGATGCTAGTTGCTATGCAGACTTCTGTTGATTTAACGTTGTTCTGGTGATTATTTAGGTTCATCGAATTTTTAAATCTACAGTCTCATGGTTAAGCTTCATACGGTAGAATGGAATGCCTGTTTTTGGTGTAAATAGTTCTAACTGTTCTTGTATGATGACTTTTGTGTGTCTATGATCTTCAAACTATGATTTTCAGTTATGCATAGATAGTAATGTTCGAAATTCCGATGATATGAGAATACGCAGACACTCCTATAGCTAAATTTTTCGGTGTACAAATTCCGGAATTCTGAATAGAAAAACGTTTGAATTCTATGGATTTGTTAAAATTCGAGAGAAACTATCCGTTTTGCTTCGATATATCTTAGAGTGTTTCGAATCTTTGAAATAATGCGATGATTTGTGAGAGAAAATGAAATGCTAACTATCATCTTTTTCCGACCAACTTCTTGTTATCCTTTTCAGGTAAACTTCAAGATCGAGACATGAACATCGGCATGGCATCAGTTACACAGGTTCCATCCGGCTTTTCGATGCTCATTCTTTCTCGATTACATTACAAGCCCCTCAAGCTCTGGAAATCTCCCAATCCTCCCCCAAGGATCGAGACTCGCACACCCCGTGCTCTAACTCTCTGCTACATGAACACATCGTCGCGCGAGCCTGCTCCAGCAACAACATACGCACCCGAACCCGAAACAACGCTGCTGCCTGGAACCGGCAACATCTTCGAAACGATGGGTTCGTCTCTCGACCCAGTTGAAGCTTCGATAACGGAAACTGATCACTCCGTCGACGGGCCGTATCGATATATGCAGCTTCAGTACCTCAGAAAACCTCTGTGGCTTCTTGGCCCGGGGCTGCTCTTACTCACCGGAGTCGTCCCCACCTTATGGCTCCCGATTTCGTCGATCTTCCTGGGTCCGAACATTGCCAGCCTCCTCTCCCTCACGGGCCTCGACTGCGTCTTCAACCTTGGCGCATCCCTTTTCCTCCTCATGGCAGATTCCACCGCTCGATCCGACAACAGCAGCGCTCTGAGCCAGCCTCCGTCCAGCTACCGGTTCTGGAACATGGCTGCGAACATTGCCGGATTTCTCGTGCCGCTGGCGCTGTTCTTCGGTTCCCGGCAAGGTTTTGTGTTCCTGCAACCACAGTTTTCATTCATTTCGTTCGCGGTTCTGCTGGGTCCGTATTTCCTGCTGCTGTCAGTCCAGATCCTTACGGAGATGCTGACGTGGCACTGGCAGTCGCCGGTCTGGCTGGTGACTCCGGTCGTCTACGAGGCATACCGGCTGTTGCAGCTGATGAGAGGGCTGAAGCTCGGCCCGGAAGTTAGCGCACCGGGGTGGGTGATGCATGGTGTCCGGGCATTAGTGTGCGGTTGGGTCGTGGTTCTCGGCGTGCAGCTGATGCGAGTCGCTTGGTATGCTGGATTCACCGCCCGAGCTTATCAGAAACACCCCGGTGATGCTCCGGCCGACGGCTGACGCCGCCGGATTCCGGTCGCCGCCGTGCCGGCGATGGTTGCATGGACTTACATGTAAGATGCCTTCTTCTGTTCCTGGGAATTATTAGTGTATATATAAAAATGAATTTACTTAGGTGTTTTGTTTTCATTATTTTTGTTTTTATTTTTAATAAAGTAATGCATTAAATATTATTTAAGTACAAAATTGAAACTATAACTCTGGGCTACAGAATGACTTGTTGCATGTGCTTAGAAAAATGTAGAATCTTGAGTTACAATTTAGTGCTACTACTTATTATTTTTGTGATGAATTCATCTATTATTTTTATATTTAATTACGTATAAGAGACTTTAATCAACTTTCACGCTAATTAAACAATGGGATGGAAATAAACCATTTATTATGGTTGTACAACACATTTCATTATGATAGGTAAATTATAATTAATATAATATAAATTAATATAAATCCACTACATATATATGTTCATGTAATCAGTCTAAAAGAAAAAAATTATATAGGATTGGGCTATAATTCGAATGAATTATTTGTTACAGGACCAATCTGCTAAATGCTAATCCCTCGTAACCATAGCCGAAGATACTCTAGGCATGCGGACAGCCACTAACTTTAATGAATAATTTGTGAACCTAATAATAATAAATCAAATATGACGAATTATTCAATTTTGGACCTACCATATAATTCTTTTTTTTTTTTTTTTATGGGCTCAATTATAATCCCTGTAGTTAGCAATTCTGCCAGAACTCCTTGAATGATCTAGAATTATTTCAACATTATTATTATTATTTTTTTTCTCACACTTTTTGGAGTGTGGCCTTTAGATGCTTCACACGTGTGAAAATGACGGTGGCTGGTCCTCACGAAAAAAGGGAGAAAATATTTTTTAAATAAATATATAAAAAAAAGTAACGACTAATTAAGAAGGGTTAATGAATGATTAAGTAGTTGTACATATAACATATGTATTGCGTTACTTATACGGCGCCGGTGCAGCGCCTGCCTAACTACTTACTACTAAAATACTAAATATAAGAAATCGTGTTTCGATTTGGAAATGCGACTTTAGTTTACAAAGAATTGTCTGTTTATCGTGTTTTGATTTGGAAATGCGACTTTAGTTTACAAAGAATGGTCTGTTTTAACAGCGTACAAAGCAACACTGCACTTTCCTCGCTTGCGCGTATTTATTTTCTCCATGAAGGGGAAAGAAGACAAAAGAATTTCAAAAAAAATTCGAAGGCTCAGATCCCCCTTCGTCGTTTCGTCTCCGAATTAGCTTTGATTTCGCCGTTGACAGGCGTTGGAAATCTGTTGCAGCCGGCTGGATTCGGAAAGGACGATCAATTTGTTTGCTCGCGGATTGATAAAAAAAAATGAGCAACGGCGAGCTTCTCCAAATCGAGCCACTCGAGCTTCAATTCCCATGTATGTGATGGATTTGTGTTGTTTTTGTTTAGAGTTTTGGATTTTTGACCTTTCATGTTATAGAGATTGCTTCCGGAAGGGTGTTTGGATTAGGGGAAATTGAAATTGGGTTAATTTGATTGTGTTGTTTTAGATCTGTGGTTTAGGTCCATGTATATATATATTTATTTGATTTTGACGTGATATGGTCGATTTAATCTGTGCTTGTTGTTTTGTAAAAGTCGAATTGAAGAAGCAGATCTCATGTTCCATGAGATTGACCAACAACTCCGATAATCATGTCGCATTCAAGGTAGCTGTTTTTTTGTACTCTCCATTTCGTGATGCTTATGTTATCTTTAATTCTCAGAATTTCCATAAAAATAAACAGACAAGGAGAAGGAATATCTGAATTTTTTATTCATTCTCTTTTTGGTTATTCAGGTCAAGACTACAAATCCAAAGAAGTATTGTGTGAGGCCAAACACAGGGGTCGTTGCGCCTCATTCGACATGTGAAGTTATAGGTCTTTCTCTGGCTTTATATGCGTGTGTTTCTATTTAGATGTTTGTATGCATGAATAGACACATTTGTATGTGTGTACACTGTACAGAACATCTACAAACAGATGGATCATTATTTATTATTGAACTAATTTAAGATGTCGAAGGTTAGAAAATGATTTACGAAGTATACATGTAATGTAAGTTATTGAGTATTGTGTGGCAATGGAAATTGTGTTTATGTGCTTTTTCTTAATTCAGTAACAATGCAAGCCCAAAAGGAGGCGCCGCCGGACATGCAATGCAGGGATAAATTTCTCCTTCAGAGTGTGGTCGTGAGCTCTGGAATCTCCCCAAAGGATATTACTCCTGAATTGGTAATTTTGGGATTTCATTTACTGTGTGCAGTGTTAAATGATTAAAGTTGGAATGGAAATATTCGTGAATGCTAAATCATATACCTTGATGATTTATCAGTTCACTAAAGAGTTAGGGAAACAAGTTGATGAGTGCAAGTTGAAAGTGGCCTATGTTCCCCCCACTCACCCACCTTCACCGGTGCGAGAAGGTTCGGAGGAAGGGTCCTCACCTAGGGGCTCGGTATCAGACAATGGGGCTGTAAATCAATCTACTGATATGGTAATTTTGGGATCTTGACTTTTTTCACTGTGATATGTGTAAACCACTAAGTCAACTGTCAACGTATTGTAACTAGAGATATTGATTATGATATATGTATATATTTGTTGTAGATGTCAAAAGCATTTGCTGGATCCCAAGAAAGCACACCAGAGGTTATCTGCTGCAATTATTTATGTTAAAAATATCTTATCACTGGTTATCTTAGTTCAATTTATTTCTATTTCATATGCCTCATCTCCTTGTTTATTCTCAGATAAGCTGATACTTATTGGCAGAGCCACATTTTTACAATTTTTGTCATTTCTTATGCATTTTTAAGAATAGATGGTGTTGAACTTTTATTTGATGAAATGAGAGAAGAAAAAAAAAACGACTATGGTTTTCTGATCATGATGTGTTGCAGGCAAAGGCCCTGATTTCTAAGCTGACAGAGGAGAAGCGTTCTATCGTTCAGCAGAATGGCAAGCTTCAGCAAGAACTGGTATTCAGTTTTTTTTCCTGCTTTATGCTTTTTTCTCTCATTATTTCCTGGTTTTAGAGTTTTAACTGTGTTAGTTTAAGAATAACCATGACTAGACTGACATAAAAAGCAACTATGGAATGGTATAATTTCATTCTTTTTTCATCATTCAGCTAGCAGTTATCTTTGGTTGAACGAGAATAACAGATGAATCAAGAATCAAGAAATAATTTCCTTGCTCTGACATAATTGCTCATTTTAGATATGTTCTACACTAGAGAGTTTTCTGACGGTCTCCCCCTAAGTCACATTAGTTCTTTGATGCATAAGTGCTTCGATATATAATATATTAATTGTTTATTATATGCATCAGTCCCATGCAGGATGAATTCTGAATTATAATTAACTATGCGACACTAAATGCAAATCTTAAACAAAGGATTTCCCTTTTGCAATCTGTAATCGGTTGCTGTTATTATTAACTTTTGTCAGTGATCCAATGCCATATATTCTGTTTGAGTTTCACGAAAAACTAAGGAACTGGCTTCACAAGGCAATGCTCGTATAGTTCCTTTAAAGTTAAAACACACATAACATTCATTTTCTAATGGAATGCAGGAGTTGTTGCGGAGACAAGCTAACAAAAGTGGCGGCGGTGTTCCTTTCATGTATGTCATAATTGTTGGCTTGATCGGCCTCCTGTTGGGATACCTTCTGAAGTGAACATGAACCATGGGAGTTGGATTGCTCTCATATCTAGATGCTTAAATTATCCACTTGTTCACGATTTTAGGACATCGATGATGAAGAAAACATGTCAGTCACTCGTAAGAGCTTTTTAATACTCAATTACTTATTTCCAAATTTAGAAACATGGTTGAGCGATTATGATTTTGGTGGCCCTTGTAATTTGCTTTGTTGGTGTGGCTAGCTTCAACATTATTATTATTATTATTATTATTATTATTACGATCATAATTATTAAGAGTATTATTATTTTTACAACCCAAAAGGAAAGTATATTCTTTTTCCCTTGCACCCTTTTTCAATAATTATTTGCTTGTGGCCCTTGTAAAGTTTTCTAGTTGAAAGCATGGAGGAATAATGGGGTGTTTAGATTTAACACTTTTTGGTGGGTGAACATAGGAGAAGATTCGATTTCAACATTTGTATTTTGGTATTTGAACTTGTTGGAAATATGAGCAATTGGTTGGTGAATATTTGGTTAAATTTTGTTATAGATGGTATTTGTATTAGTGTTGTTAAAGGTATATGGTAATTAATTGTAGTCAATCTTGTACTGATTTTGGTTTTGGATTTTATAAATAATCTAGTGAATGGTGTATAGTTATTGAATTTGGTTCCAATGCCATTTAAACATTACACTGTAGAAAATAGGTAGGTTGAATTATGCCAAAAATCTACTTAATAAATAGTATGAAACACAATATGATGTCTGAATTGTTGAATTATTGCGTCAAGTTGTTTTACAAAATAACATATCAAATTTTATTTAAATGAAGATCTACAGTTTTAAATTAAATCCAAATTGAATATACACAAACTTTAGTTGTGATCATTATTAACAGATGCATACAATTCCTTCATTCCATTCGAATTTTAATAGCTCATAAGCCTACTAAATCACTATGAACTTTTAATAAACAGTGCAAGCACCAAAAGATGTTCACACTTTACTAATATGTATTAGTCATCGTTTGTGTTATTCTTCAAATATACAAAATACATACATACACACTCGACTCAACTCAACTATCCTTTAGTAGAGAGTAATTCTTGGTTATTTATAGCTCTAACACTCAAATATACTCTATAACAACAGCAGTTGCAGTTGCATTCCGTTATAGTATAGGCATCAATCAATACTCAATCATCGTTGCCTTTCAGCATGTTGCATCGCGAAACAATCTTCCGAAAGTCATCCAGGTTTATCTGAAAACACCGACATGGTGGATCATCTAACCGTTAAAAAGTATCAATCAAATAAAATAGCCACATTCATACCCTCTACATGAGAAACATTGACTTCCTATCTATTAAAGATGGATAGAAATAGAAATTAATCCCGTACGAGGAGGTGGGGTGGCCTAGTGGTGTGTGGGATAAACTTGTGACCATGAGAGTAAGAAATAGAATATTTTATTTTCATAGTTTTGTAAGAAGAACAGATATTCAATGCGATTTAAATGGACAGAAATTCAAAAAGAGACAAGCTAGCCACTGATTTAGTGCACCATGAGAAAAATACTAAATCGACCAAAGCAATTTGGAAGTCGATAAGCAGGAAAGGAAGATACGTACCCTACCATCGCCATCACTGTCGAAGCAAGTTATCATATCTGACATTTCCTTTTCAGACCATGTAAAATCGTGGGCTCCAACCAGCCTCCGGAGATCTCTCACAGTGAAATTCCCAATTCCAGTTTCTGTTATGCATTTCAACTAATACATCAATTGCAAAGAGAAATCTCGCATACGTTCATTTCAAACCAAAATGATAAAATCCTCAAATGAAATAGGCACCAGATGCTTCTACTAGGGGCAAGTATACTCTCGAAATTTCAATATTCATAACTCATGGCTTTTGAATTCAATTCCATTATACACGCACACTGCTAGCCTCTATGTATGTACCTACAAAATTACAAATCACTAAAAGTATAGGGGACACATTTTTAGTTACCATCAAACTGAAAGAAGTGTACAAGAACTTCATCTTCCGACATTTGCACCCTACTTGTTGTAACCTGTCGATTGCCAACCTCAGGCGAACACAAATATGTAAGAGTTTGAGAAATGAACTGAAAACCAACAATATTCTTATCTAAGGTAATCAGACGTTACAATCAGTACATACCGGTCTTCTCCTCTTCTTCTTCACTGAGTCATCGAGACTTTCTTTTGTTCTGTTTTTGGTTGTTTTGTTGCCATCAGGGATTTTGGCAGTGGCGATGTCCTGAGAATCCTTAACATCTAAAACACCTGCAGAATCTTGTAGTGATAGAGCAATCGCCTGGGGCATAGAAATATCACATTAAAACATAAAGTATGGAAAAGCCAGATAGATTGTTAGACAAGGCTCCAAAATAGGAAACAAAACTGTTGCGAACCTTCATCAGGTCTTCATCATCATCCTCCACAAAATCCGAGCCATTCACAGGCTTGTCAACGAGTCCCCGTTTCTGATGGGTCGATGTATTGCTCTTCACCTGGAGGAGGAATTCAAGCAACATTTAGTGACATTTTCAAAACATGTCAAATGGAGACACAGATAACTACGTTTTGAAAGTTGCCGAAATGTGAAATCAAGTTATGTAACAGTGTATTAACAAATTTTAGGTTATCCCGACAGAAAACTTAATATCCAAAAGACATCAATCTGCCTCAAAATCTTATGAGATTAGATCTTCCACGCCATCATAAAAAAGAAATACCTAAGGCACACAAAGATCTTTAAAAACTGTTATAACAATAACCAATTTGTAGGGGCCATACAGTCATATGTAGTTGCAATACATCTTTAATTAAGGTTAGATTTGCAACCTCGCACTTTGAAATGCGAACCATGGCCGGATTTATTAAAATTAAGCAAACCAGTGGTTCACTGAGCATATTCTAACATAAGAGTGTTATAAAACTTTCGGCAGCAAGCACTGGGGAACCCAATATCGAACACCTTCATTCATTTTTGACATCATATTCAAGAAATGGTCCCAACGAAATGACCGAAAAACACTTTACACATATGTCTAGTCCCACAAAGATATGATCAATCATTTGCATAAGTTTCAACTCGACTCCAGATTTAGATGATTTTAGTTTTACAAGATTTCTTTATGCTGTCTACACGTCAGCATAATTCACTCAAATTTGAATTCTGTTAGCCTAAAATGATCGAGATAGCTAAAAATTACATCAAACATGCTACTTTGTCACATAAATCCACTTGCTCATGTTCTTGCCTAATTCAAATGTTTCCAAACTACATTGCTAGAGAGAGTATTTTTAAGAATACCTTTTTCTTCCTCTTCTTCTTCCGAGACGGTGAAAATTCCTCATCATCTCCATCCTCTCCCGCCGAGGAGCTCTTCCCATCATCTTCTTGTTCAGGATCATACTCTTCATCTTCATCTTCGTCCACAATTTTCTTCTTCCCCTTTCGACCATTCCCCATCCTCGGAGATTCTCGAACTGACGTTATTAAAGAGCTCGCCATTCTACGCAGCCCTAACGCCTCCATTCTATTCTTGTTCTCCTCAATCCTCTTCAACCTCACCTTCTCGTAATCCAAAGAACTTCCTTCATCCCTCCGCCCTCTCGTCTCCTCCGCCGGCGCATCCTCGCCGGAAGAAACCCTCTTTTTGGATTTCGGCATTTCTCCGAGCTTTTTTGAGGGTTTTTGCCGATTCTCGACGGAGGTACGTTAGCGCGGGATTTGTACGGACAGGGGCAATTCTGGAAACAAAAAATAATCTATTTGGGCTTTAATTTTGGGTCTATATTTAGAGCCCACTTAAATAATATCTAAACTAGTAATGGGCTTTTTGAGCCGGCCAAAATATATATATTCGGGTCTCAAGTATTTGGTTTTGGGTCGGGTCAAACTCGACCCGGTTCAATTCGCCATACAAAAGCGCATTTGCTTGCTGACGCTGGAGAAGCCCTCCTCCCTCCCAAGCAGTTCTTCAGCCATCGACTTGGGCCGTCGAGTTTGACGATCAATCTGGCGGAATTGTTGGCTGAAATCTTACTCCGTCCAGATCTCATAACCGCATCAACATCCGTCGGCGTCTGGCCAAGGTGAATTAATTTATTTCTTTTTCTAGAGGTGGTAAATCTCCTAGGGTTTCTGATTTGTGGTTTGACTCTATTCCAAAATGCGTGTTTGTATGTTTTTTTAGTGATTGGTGCCGATTTCCTTGCCGTCTTGAATGGTATTTCTAGCTGCATTTCGATTTTTCGTTTATTTTTTATTTTATTAATATCCTCTTTGTTTTTCATCAAGCTAGGGAGGCAGTGATTGTGGATATTTTATAATATATTTGAGAAATTGGGTGCGCAGAGTGTTAAATCTGTTAGTATCCCTTTTTTATTGGTTTGTAGAATTTCAGCCTTTTCTTGAATATTCCTAAAGTTTTCAATTTTACAATTTGTAGCCGAATGTATATGATATAAAATAGTGTATAGCTTCTGATGATCTATTGTTTCATCCAGATTGCAAGAGGAAGAAAAATGGGTCCAGGAAACCTGAAGATGCATCAAGATTTCTGGAATAATTAGGGCTATGTTGAATTAATGCTCAAGAAGATCAGACTTTTTCTCAGCTTGTAAAGTGAAGAATCAATCAATTAATTATAAACATCAAAATGTCTGAGTTTTCAAAGGCTCTTAAGAAAACTGTGAAGACTCACGAGCTGAAGAAAGTTTCGTCGAGTCCTAAGGACCAGCCTCAGCAGGCAAAGAAGCAGCAAAGGAAAACAGAGAACCCTGTTCGAATTCCTCTCGGACCAGATCAGTGTGTTGACTCAAAGTGTTCTAATTCATGGATCTGTAAGAATTCTGCATGTCGGGCTGCTCTCTCGGCAGAAGACACATTTTGCAAGAGGTGCTCTTGCTGCATTTGTCATTTGTTTGACGACAATAAGGACCCAAGTCTTTGGTTGGAATGCACCTCCGAATCTGGTTCGGGAGATTCTTGTGGGTTATCCTGCCACATTGAATGTGCCCTCCAACGTGGGAAGGTTGGGGTTGTTGTTCTGGGGCTTTTGATGCAGTTGGATGGAAGCTACTGCTGTGCTTCATGTGGCAAAGTGTCGGGCATACTCGGGTAAATTGCTTACCTATACCATGTTTCTATATTGGAATTCATAGTCTATCAGATTAAGAAAAAGAGTAGCTGAATAACATTGAGAACCTCGTACAATATTCACATTTAGTTTTATGCTGCCAAAACTATTTATTATTTTCTTAGAAACTTTTGTTCGCTGGAAATAACATTGTTGCTTTGCTACCTATTGAATTACGACATTTGGTGGTTCTTATTTAAACCTGAATAAAGTTAGTCACCATGTTTGATACCTGCATGTGATTTTGAGGCTTTTGAACTCTTTGATTTTGACAGATGCTGGAAGAAGCAGTTAATTATCGCCAAGGATGCTCGTCGTGTTGATGTTCTATGTTATAGGATATGCTTAAGTTATAAGCTTCTGGATGGGACTTCCAGGTTTAATGAACTCCATGAATTTGTCAAAGATGCCAAAGCCAAGTTGGAAACAGAAGTAGGTCCCGTAGATGGAGTTTCGGCCAGGATGGCTCGAGGTATTGTCAGCAGATTATCCGTAGCAGCTGATGTGCAAAGACTCTGCTCTCTTGCAGTTGAGAAAGCCGATGAACTGATGAACCTGAAGTCAGTGGCAGCTGTACATTCAATCGGTAATCAAATCAGCTAATATGGTTTAGTAACTAGATGAAAACAATTTTATTTTTTTTTAATAATTCTATGCTTATGCATATGATTTCTTTTTATTTTGGTAGAGGGTTCACTTCCGGCAGCTTGCAAATTCCTGTTCGAAGAAGTGACTTCGTCTTCCATTGTTGTTACGTTGATCGAGTTATCGAGTACAACTGATGACGAGATTGAGGGCTACAAACTCTGGTATTGTAGGACGAAAGATGAGGTTTACCCGCAAGAACCTGCTTGCGTCTTTCCAAGAGAAAAAAGGAGAGTATGGATACCAAAGTTGCAGCCTTGCACCGAGTACTCCATTCGAGTGCTATCTTATACAAATTCCGGCGACTTTGGACACTCCGAAGTCAAGTGCTTCACTAAAAGCGTCGAAATTATACACAAGAACCATAACTCCATGGCTGAAAATCTTATGAACGATATTTCACATAATGGAGAGAGCTCGAGCGCCAAGCATCAGAGGACTCCATCGGACATAGAATTAGATTCAGGATTCAAGGTTCGAGACCTCGGAAAGATCTTGAGGCTAGCTCTGGCTCAAGATCGAGGCTATTTCGAATCATTCTGTGGTGCATCAGAGATGGAGAAATGCTTCGGAAACCCTAATGTAGTCAAGATAGAAGATCAGGAACCAAGGTTGCCGCCCGTTGCTCGTCAGCTCGACTTAAATGTCGCGTCGGTGCCCGATCTGAACGAAGAGTTCACCCTTCCTATCGAGTCGTTTAGGGATGAAGGTAACGGGTGCACTTTCGGGCAAGCAGTTGAATCCGACGATGCTTTTTCCCATGAAGTTCTGAGAAAATCCGGAGAAGTGCCGGCCGTCGATTCGAATGTGGCTGGTTGTCAGAAGCGGAAAAATCCCGCCAACGGTGAAATTCAGGACTCCGATAGCACTCTGAGCAACGAGTCGGGATGCTTAGATGAGAACTTCGAATATTGCGTAAAGATCATACGGTGGTTGGAATGTGAGAATTACATCAAGAAGGATTTTAGGCTGAAGTTGCTGACGTGGTTTAGTCTAAGATCGACGGAACAGGAGCGCAGAGTGGTTAACACATTCATTCAAACATTAATCGATGATCCAAGTAGCTTGGCGGGACAGTTGGTCGACTCGTTTTCAGACATCGTATCATCCAAGAAGCCTCGGAATGGTGTCTGTAACGAGTTTTGGCATTGAATCGCCCTGGGGGTCTGACTGCTAGTTAAAATTGAGATTGATTAATGATTCTGGGACAGATTATTGTCGTAATGTTGGTCTATTGTACAGCATTTTTTCCCCAAAAGTCTCCTCAGAGGTACTCGATTCTCAAGCTAGCAGATTTGATCTCCCCCGAAGAAGGTAGTTCCCGATTTCATTCACTAGGTCAGCCTATTGTTTTAAGGAGATTTGCCTCTCACACATTGTGGGATGCGGCTTCATTATTTATGAACCATTTACTACATTTTGAGTAGCGGGAAACCGAAGGAAAAATGATGATGATGATGAAGGTTCCATTAATGGTAGAATGGTAGAGAGTCTACTCATGAATTTGGCGTTATCTGGGCAATATCGTATTCTGGATATTAGTTAAACCTTTTATTTGTAGTATGATTGATCATGTGCTCTAAGCATTCTTCTCTATCGACTTTCTTTATTTATGCAAAGCTAAGCTGCAGCAATTCTGTGATGGGGTCGATGATCTTTTGTGATTTGGCATACGCATTGGCAGGCAGGTAATTTTTAAGATAAATTTTTAATCATTGTGTTGTTGTGTTGTCATTTTGCCTGTGAATTTGATGCATTTTTACCATTAGAAGAAGGGCATAAATTATATTACCTTCTGAGGATGTTTTTTTGTATATATATATGCTTTTTATGAGTGAGAATTGTGAGTAATATTGCATGTTTTGTTCATATGTATGTTCTTTGTATAGTTACTATATAGTAATAGAGATATGTCTATATATTTGTATACACATATTGCATAGATGTTATATGAATGTGAGTGAGTATAGGTGTAAAAAATATGTAAATGGTAGCATGCATGAAATATGTGTTTGAATATTTTGTATACTCGAGTCGAGAGTTGCTTGAACTTTGTACCCTTTTGAGTTTGGGTATATTATGGTTATGGTTATGCTGATTTGGAAAATTCGGTGCCATGCTAGCACTTGTAATATATATAAACAAAACACAGTCGTATTATACACAACACATGCTGTATAGTAAAGACATGTGTTGTTGGTTTATAATTATAAGTGTTTTGTATAGGTGTGCTGAAATCAACATTATATGTATTGTATAAGACTATAACATGTGCTGTATTTTGTGTTGTTGGTTCATAATTACAAGTGTGTTGTATAACAATATGTGGTATGTTGAAAGCAACTATTACTTGTGTTGTATAAAATTATAACATGTGTTGTAATTGTATTATATAAATGCGTACGGTGTCTGTAGTAATACCATGTGCTGTCTGTCGTAATAACGTGTGCTGTCTGAAGCACATCGTGTGCTGCGATGTGGTGCTGATGTCAGCACGATGCTGAATTTTAGAATTTTAAAATTCAGCACCGTAGCCGCCGTGAGGTTATATAATATATAGGCTTCTTAACTTCTTAAACACATCCATATAGAAAGTAAGAAAAAAAAATTAAAGAAGATAATATGGATGGCACAATAGTTCACAAGAGACCCAATTGTTTGCAAATCTCGAACTCTATCAATAGTTCACATGAGACGCCAATTGTTTGCAAATCTTGAACTCTATTCATACACGACATTAACAATCATATTTATAGTCATAATTAATATATAGTAATATATAATTAATTAATTAATTAATTACTGCATGAATGTATGTATCTTTAAAAAAAAAAAAGTGAAAGAAAACAACAAATTTTAACTCTATATGTATCTTAAAAAAAAAAAAAGTGAAAGAAAACAACAAATTTTAACTCTTTAGCAAAAACTATATAGAAAGATTTCAAGAAAATATGGAGAGCACGATGATTTCTAAAGAGCACCAAAGGGTGTGTTTGTTTTATTAAATATTTTAAAAGTATATTTTTATGTGAGATACATAGAACTGTGTACATAATATAAAGAATAATAAATATGTGTGATATATTATTTTTTTGAAAAAATTTGTTGGTTCTCTTGCAATACAAATACACCCAAAATTACTTAAAAAAAAACACTAATATTTTTTAAAGAGCACAAAAAAATAATGGTAATAATGGGAGTGCACACATATTCTAACGGAATTCATATGCTTCTTAATTAGATTGTTCGTTTTCTATAACTAATTTCATATAGTCTAATTAACTTCCTATCCCTTTATTTGCTCCCGTCACAATAACATATCTTTATAGCTTTTCTTTTCATCAGGTATTATTTTTATTTCATTCAACTTACTTTAAAGGAACATAAAAGCATCCTATGTGCACACCATTCAAGTGATTTGGAATTTCGATATTTTAAGTTTATTTATCTATTAATTTATGTTGCCCGCAAAAAGAAAAAAAATACATATAAAAACATATAATAAATTAATTATATGCTCTGAAGGAGAAGAAGTTGGAAGACCACTTTATCTTCCCTTATGTGTAAGTGAATATATGCGAAAATTGCACATGCATATGTCGCAAATGAGGATTGACATGACTCGAATTCGCGACCTAAGACACTCTGATATCATGTTGGATGCGCAAAATATCTATTTCATCTGAAAGCTCGAACGGTTAGGAAATGAACAATTAATTATTTATCCACAATCAAATGTCTAACACAAGATAAATAGATAATGGAGAAGAAAATTAAAAAAATTATCAATTTGTCATTCAATTTAATTTTAACTATTGGAGTAATATATAATTCAAGGGATTGTAAATTTATGTATCATAAATAAATTTGTTAGCTAATAATAATTGATAAATACTCTATAATCTGTTATTGAAATATATGTTCGAAAATAATACTAATATTCTAAATAAATGTCAATAGCTAAATACCACTAAATAAATATAAACATGCACAAATAAAAAGAAATAATCAGAATATGCATTCTATAATTAGGATAAATTAAATTGAGTAAAAGGAAATAAAATAAAAGAAATAATTATGTGGAAATACTTTCATAATTAAAGTAAAAAGAGCGAAACTGCCCAACGTATTCACCAATCTTGAAGCTTTTCCCAATCGATTTTCAGAAACCCTAAATCGCCATGGGAGAATCTCGTCGGTTCTCCGTTCGCCAAGCCCTAGGCGGTGGCGCAGGTACAGCATTACATGATGATTCAGGCTACAATTATTTCGGTCGGATGTTCACGTGTCTGTTTTGATCAGTATCGATCATTTAATGACACAATCCTCCACCGCATTCTTCGTTAATTTGTATTTAATTGAGCGTTTTTGTCGGCGATGCAGCTGCAGACTTGTTATTGTGGGTGAACTGGTACCCCAGCGGTACTTTTCTCGTCGGTTCAACTGCCCTTTGGTACATATTCGAAAGCGCTGGATACAATCTACTGACCTTCATATCGAACGTCTTGTTGTTACTCGTCATAATCCTGTTTCTTTGGGCGAAAGCCGCAACGGTCCTTAATAGGTAGGCTGATATCATGTTTTTTTCAAGTTCGTCATAATCCTGTTTCTTAGTCTCATCTCCTTGTACTTTGCTGCCATGGCCTGCTTCAATGTTTTTTTCTTTTTTTTACTAAATCTGTATTTCTGTTCTCTGATTAGATTAGGGGATTTTGGATGTTTAAGTATTTCATTGATTTTATTTAGTTTGATGCAGTGTTTGTTTGTTGAGTTCCAAAGCCTACTAAAGGGAAAAAAATTATTGATTATCTTAGATAACATCCATGATGAGGTAAAGGCCATTGATTAATTACTAAGTTATAGGATAACTAATCCGATATCCCGGGAATAGAATAGAATAGGATAATCAATTAATATAATAGCTCTATGGAATTTTTATGCGAACTTTGAATTAAGTGTAACCAAATTGTTTCTATGATTTTAGACCATTGCCGCCTCTACCTAATCTTGAGCTTTCTGAAGAGACTGTTGTGAGGGTTGCTGATGATATACGAGTATGGTTAAACTACACATTGTCAATTGCACGCAAAATTACGATTGTGGGAGACTTGAGACTGTTAGTTAAGGTGCTTACTCTCATTTTTGGTTAATTAATGCTTTGTATAAATAAATGTTTGTTTGTTTCTACCAAATGTTTATCTATCTGATTGAAAGAGGGATACAATACTGTAGCTGATGATGTTGTTTCCATATTTTTAGGTTGCTATATGCCTGTGGCTTATTTCCTACCTCGGCACCTTAATCAACTTGCTTAATCTGATCTATATTTGTGAGTAGAAATCTCTTTAGTGCCATATTTTAGAGTTTTATGATCTGTAGTAGCTGTAATTTGGATATCCTGGTTTGGTTTGTTATGTCAACAGGTATTCTACTTAGTTTATCGTTGCCTGTATTGTATGACAAGTATCAAACACCAATTGATGAAAAGCTGAGTGTTTTGTATCATAAAATTGATGAGAAGATACTGCAGAAGATCCCATTGTCTTCGAAAAGGAAGAAGATGCAATAAATTTACGTACGGTAATCACTTCTCTCTCTACCTTCATCTTTGCTGCCTCATATATATATGCGCGTGTTAGTCTATCACTCTATATAGTGCATGGCCTAATGCTTCATGTGGTTGAAAATTTCATTGAAGTAATTGACTGATTCAGATGATTGCTTTAATTGGTAAAAGTGTTTGCATTTGATTAAATTAGCAAGATTAATATATATATATATATGTATCTTTGGGTTTTCTCAAATTGCTTTCTGGCTGCTGATCAGTGTCTCTGATTTATTTTTCGGGTTTACTTGTACTTATTTGTGTTTGATTTTTCATTTGATCCATCAGTATAATTAAGACATACTTCTGAATAAGCTATATACCATAACAAAAGTGTATTTATGTCAGTTCATCACCACTGTACCCCTATTAAAGTGTGAGTGAGTTTTGTTTTATAGGGCTAAGCAAAAGGGCGAAAGAAATGAAGCTATGGCCATTGAATTCTTGCCGGCGGCTGTGTGGAGTTGATCGAGAGGCTCGCATTTGAACCTCCCGTATATATTGCAGGGATTAAAGTTGGATGTTAAACCGCGCTTCCTTAAAATCAATCTTTCAAGACCAAAGTTAGTTTTCCATCAGAGTTTCCATATAAATCAAAGTGAAACCATCGGAAATTTTTGGGTTTAGTGATTTATGATTTAATTTAGTTTGTGTAATAAGTTAAACATGAAAGAAGTTACATGTGTTGATTGTGATAAAATAATTTTGCTTTTAGCTAGAGTCTATATATACATATATTGCTTCAGTTATACCCCCTCCGTTCCAAACAAGGTGCAAAATTTGCTTTTGACATGGGTTTTTAGGTGAATAGTATTAAGTAGGATAATTTAGAAATGAGGTGATGTGATGGAGAGGAAAATATATATTTTATTTTTTTATTTGGATGATGTGAGGATAAAGTATATGGTAGAGATTAAGTATAATTAATTATTTCTTATTTTGGAAATATTGCAGGGCGTTTGGGAATACCAAAAAGGAAACATTGCAAAGGTTTTTGGGACGGAGGGAATATTAAATAAGAGCAGTTAGATTTGATTAATTTAGTAATTTTATACTTCTTTTTCACAGCTATAAGTGGTTGAACATGGTGATGGATGTCACCGAGTAAAGCAAGGCCTATGCTTTTAGTTCATTAGAAAGTCTTCCTTTCTAACTCTGTTCTAATTTTAAACCCACAATCTAAAGTTTGTTTAAGCTATATAATAATTCTTACTAATCTTTTATGCCTTATCCACTATTCTTCTTTCATTTACTACAAATTTATTTTGATACATATTAAAAAATTATAGATTAAATTTTAATATAAAACATTTGATTTATTTATCTATTTTTTAAATAATAAATAATGGAAGTTGGGATATAAAAAACCCAGCCATATTTCGAGTCTCTGGTGTTGGACCGACTTTATATTTTGAAGAATCATTGACCTGACCAGACCATCCATCGTCTTCACCGCCCAATTCTAACCTCAATGGCGTCTCCGCCGCTCACGGTGGCGGTGGTCGGCGCCGGCGCGGCGGGGCTGGCCGCCGCCCGAGCCCTAAGGATGGAATCCCACAGAGTCGTGGTTTACGAGAAATCGGGCCATATCGGCGGCACCTGGGTGTACGATCCGCGGGTGGAGTCCGACCCGATAGGACTCGACCCGGACAGGGAGACCGTACACAGCAGCCTGTACCGGTCGCTGCGGACGAATCTGCCCAGGCAGCTGATGGGGTTTTCGGACTACCCATTTCCGAGAGGGGGAAATGGAGATCCGAGGACCTTCCCGGGTCACGAGGAGGTGCTCCGGTTTCTGACCGGGTTCGCCGCACATTTTGGACTCAGTGAGTCGATCCGGTTGGAGACGGAGGTGGTCCGAGTCGAGCAGAACAAGGACAATGACGGGTGGGTCGTTGAGTCGAGGAGAAACGGGTCGAACTCGAACCCGTCGGTGGAGGAGGTATTTGATGCTGTAGTCATCTGTAATGGCCACCATACCCGACCCAGATCCGCTTCTTTTCCTGGTATACCCATACCCATTACACTTCCGTCTATCTATATATATATTTATCTAACCATTTTTATCATTTTAAGACCGTGGATACCGTTTGAAAATAGTTCCCTAATAAATAGTCTCGCCACGTTGCTCGTTGTGGCGCTGACGCGGCTGATAGGTCAACAACATGTTAGAATTTATTTTTAAACTATTTTTTTTTAGTATAATATGTGACCTCATTTATAGCTTTAAATGAATTCGGTCTAAAAATAGTTCCGTAAAGTAAATTTTTTTCGCTAAAATGATCCTTCGACGTGACATCTATGTGAGGATGTTATATCAGCCACATCAGCAACGGCGGGCACCACCAGAGGGACTTGCTCCACCGGAGGACTATTTTAACGAAAGAATTATAGTTATTTTCAAACATAATCCACTTAAAATCTTAAAAAAAAAAAAAAAAAAAAAAAAAGTCAGATACGAAATATAGTACAATATTATATATTCAAATGACCTTCCTGTTCTGCCTAGGCATGGAAAAATGGCCTGGGAAGCAAATTCACAGTCACAATTACAGGGTTCCAGATCCATTTCAGGATCAGGTAGGTAGGTAGGTAGGTAACAATGGCTTCTCTCTCTCTCTCTCTCTCTCTCTCTCTCTCCCTCTCTCTACAACACTAACAAGAATGTAGATAGTAGTGATAATTGGAGATGGAGCAAGTGCAGTAGACATAGCCCTGGAAATCTCCAAGGTAGCAAAACAAGTTCATCTCTCATCAAGAAACATCAGCAAGCTGAATGTGGTTCAGGTTCAGGTTCAAGACAACATCTGGCAACACTCTGAGGTGAAGAACTAACTAGCTAGCTAACTTTGTATTACACCATTGATTGATGATACACTACTGATTCTAATGTCCAGATCGACTATGTCGATGGAAATGGACAAGTATTTTTCCAGGACAAGTCGTGTATCCCGGCTGCGGACACCATTCTCCACTGCACAGGCTACAAATATCATTTCCCATTCCTCAAAACGACGGACATCATCACCGTAGATGACAATAGAGTTGGCCCTCTCTACAAGCATGTTTTCCCACCTCGTCTTGCTCCTAATCTTTCCTTCGTCGGCCTCACCTATTGGGTTAGTCTGTCTTACTACTAAGAAACGAATACCATGTCCTTATAATAAGCTATGAATCTGAAATCCAACTCTACGTCTTAACATACATACAGTCTCCTATATTTCTTATGATCGACTTGCAAGCAAAGTGGGTGGCTCGGGTTCTATCCGGGAAGGCGTCTCTGCCACCAGATGAGATCATGGTGGCAGATGTTGAGGAACACTACAGGAATATGGACATAAAAGGGATCCCGAAGCGCCATACCCATTGCCTATATCACCAGGTATTACATAATTCTAGTTTCATGTTCAACAAAGTGACATCGACGGAATTACCTTTAGATTTACCCAACATTCAAATCCCCAATCCCACCTTTTAAAATTTTTGACACTACTACTCTTTTTTCGTGAATCTAGAAGAAATTTCACATAATCAAGGAATTTAAAAGGCTAGATATAACGTGGTTTCGTTTATACCAAAGAACTTCTAAACACTCTAGGTAGATACAATATTAATGTCCTAATTTATTTACTATGCTTATTGTGATGAACATATGTGCAGTTTGAGTACTTAGATTGGTTAGCAACTCAAGTGGGATTATCAGGGGTGGATGCTCAAGTTCGATCGACATATGAAAATTACTACAAGTTTGTAGTTGAGAAGGGTGAATGGCCAAAGAGAGAATGGGAACCCAATTAAACTTCAGTTCTACATGTCCTGCGTTATTGTAGGGTCTAGACCCATACCAACCCCTTCTTGAGCTGATTTGATTACTTCAGAGTGTAGTCATGTATTCTAACTCAAACAAAGAAGAAGAATCATCAATGTAGTATTTATTTTTTGATCTAGTATCCTACTTTTATATTGAACTTCATAAGCATATTTGTCAAAAATAAAATGCACAAGCAAGTACATTCTTTCAAGGAACAGTTTGCATGCCTTCTTAACTATAAACGCATGTATGACAAATATTGAAATATAAATATATGTTGATGCGTATAAATGAACTAATATCGATGAATTTCTCATTTTGTTTTGTTATTTCAAAACAAAGAATATTGTTGGTGATTACACAAACTTACAAGAGTCTTTGATAGTAATCCTAGAAGTGTTAAAAGGCATCGGCTGCTCCATTTGCAATTGAATTAAAAGAATAAAACATACACTATTTTTTATCAATTTAAAAAACAAAAAACAAAAAAATATATCAATTTCCCAAATGTTGGACAAAATAAAAGGGGCTGCCTAACTCTTCTTTTCTTTTTCAACAAAAAAAAGGTCTCCTAAAATTCCACAGTTACAAGCATCGCGACAGATGATCAATCAGATATTCCAAGTATGAACAATGAATGAAATGAATAAAGAGAAAGAAAAAGAAAATAGTTTCTTGCAATGTACCAGTTATTTCCGGATGAAATACCCAACCAAAATGCCTAGTAGAAGAAAATAAAGCAGTATGCGAATGGATGCAGCACCACGCCCTTGCCTGGTTTGTTTCCTAGCCTTTTCCTGCTCAGATAGAAAACAAAGAAAGACTTTTAACAAGCCTAAGATACACGATGGCGATATGTAAGGACAGTGCTTTGCTAGGTGCAATTTTTAAACTTCAAATAGCATGCACAATACCATCCTCCTCTCCAAACAAAACTTCACCACAACTGAACTTCGCTTGGTTGATAAATATTGAAATAATAATCATCATTAGTATTCAATTGTAACTCTTTATTTACTTTTCTTGAATTGAAAAACTTGTACTTTACAATCTACAAGTTACACTAAGAATTGGAGAATATATATCTGAGAAACTTTGTTTCATTGTCTCATTTCAAAAACAGCTATCAGTTCAGTACCAACAATTATTAAAACTCAGCAAGTTGAACAGCTGCAAATATGAATCTTTTTTCAAGGACAATCAAAGGAACATGCTAAATCTTCATCAATTTAAGCCTTTAGTCTTTTAAACAGATCTCTTTACAGTTTGAGTAATTCAAGAGAGAGCGCAGTTAAATTGGGTAACTAGAAAAGCAATGGGCTAAGGGAAATCATCTGTTACTAAAAGTTAATTTCCAATGTTAAGAGTATGTAACTTCACGAACAATTATGAGTATAGCAAGTGATTATTGATCAGTGCATACCAATTCGTTAAGGAGCTCTTTATTTTGCTTCACTGCAGCCTCCTTCTCCTCTTTCAACTTGATGATGGTAGAACGTGCCTAAAAGTACACACAAATACACAAAAATATATTATAAATACACACAAAAATAGGTTGTCAAGTTAAACACTAATGCCAATGACGGAAGAAAAAATTAACAAACAAGAAGCTCTACTATTGTTTATAATTACAAAACAGAAGGGTGATTAACTCGTCTAGAACAAATCATTGATTCAACATGTCAGGCAGCGAATACACAAGGTTTGAATTTGACAATGTGCCTATTGTTAATAAAGATTCCAAATCATCCAAGAAAAAGGAGTTCATGTGCAAAACAACAAAGCCATTACGCTTGTCTTGTTGGCCAAACACTGTATAATTTTAGGCAAAATGGCTTTTCAAACTTTACAAGCTGCATATGTAAAGTGTGATTTCAACTAACCCTGTGAATTCTTGTTTGTTAAAAATCAAAATCGCCTCAGAAAGCAGTGAATGTATGGTACTTTCCGATTTTCAGATATTATTTGTCTGTATCTTAGGGGCGGGATAATAATGAACATACTAAACACAAATCCTTCTTACAGCCTCAGAAAATGAAGATCTTTTAATCTCATCATCGGCGGAAGATGCTGTAGAGGAAGCCCCATCTTCATCTCCTTCCGGGACAGGGGATGGAGGATTGGCCGGAATGTAAACAACCCTCAATTTAAACTCACCCGTATTCTTCTCATCCCTCCTGTTGAACTTTGCAAAAAAACACGAAACAGGTATAACATCGAACAGCCATACAAACATAAATTTTTCATAATGCTGGCTGGATATCTCTCACTTCTACAAACAGAAATACCTTACCATTTCTTGTGTTACATCTTTGTTTGTTGCACCATGCGGTGCAATAGCACTCTGAATTAGAAACTTATCCCGACATTGCATATCAGGGGGAGCCTCTTTATGTGCTTGCATAGTAACTACAATCCCGGAGAAGATGATCCAGAACAAAGATGAAAATCAATACAATCAAACAGGTTTTAGGACCTTTTTTTTTATCAAAATCTTTTGTATTTTTACCTGTTATACTGCATACAGAATTGGGTGAAATAATACCAGCATTCGGACGGACAGAATACCTTTTTGGATTGGTTGTTTTGACCTTTGCAATCATAGAATCATCAATTACCAAAGTTCAGTAGGCATACATAAATTTCCAATTATGATTCGTATAATTAAGGGCAGAAGTTACACCGCAGCATGAAAAAACCATAGAGAATAACCTTGAATGCAATATAATGACCGGTCTTATTCGTCAACTGCAAAGAACACGAACTCTGCTTCCTCAATTCAACTTTTTATCCACACGTCCACATGAAGAAGGAGAAGCAGAACACCGAAGCCACATAAAAAATCACACACTACGCAGCATGTAAAACCAAAAAAAAAAAAAGTAGGAAAACCTAGAACTAGAGCACCAAAGCCGACGCATGAAAATTCGAATTAAATAAATTCAAACGGATAAGAAAAAAAAAAAAAAAACACTCCATGATCAGGTTAGCGCGAACACGCAAAAGCAGAGAACATGAAAGAAATAAAGTAAATTGGCAGAAATCCACAACTTACATGGAAACTTAAGCTCCGACGGATGAACGCTGAGGAATTCTGCCATGGCGATGCGATGCGATGCTATGCTGGCGTAGAATCAAAACAAGTTAGGTAAATTGACTGAGAGAAAGTGTGGATTGAGGAGCATGGAGAAATGAAAATGAAAATGAAAATGGTGGGGATGTGATGTGGTGTGGTGCAATTTCTTTCTTTTCCTTTTTGTTTCTGATAGGAAGCGCTCTCTCTCTCTCTCTCTCTCTCTCTCTCTTCCCTCTCTCTCTTCCCTCTCTCTCTACTGTCACTATTCACTGACTCATCATCAGCCTAATCCTATCTATAATAATCTATTTATTTAAATAAACAATACTTCTATATCATTTCAATTTCGATGTTCTTTATCCTAATTTTTTTTGCTTCGTTTAATATATATATATATATATATATTTTTTAAAAAAATTTTAAGGTTTTGAAAATGTTTAAATATGAAAAATATATAATTAATGTTATACTTTTATTAAAAAGTTGAATTTAGTGTTTTGTTTTTAAAAATTTATTTTCAAACTTTTAAAAATATAGAATTTGTTTGGGTTGTGGTTTAATTTGAAATTTTGTTTAATAGTATTTTAATATTATATTTTATGATAAAATAATATATTTTTATTAAAAACTTTGGTTAATTTATCTAAACAAAACTTAACATATTGCTTAAAATAAAATTCAAAATTAAAACATAAATCAAATACATTAAAAATAAATATTTTATAGTATTATTTATGAAAAAAAATTAAAATACTGTTTTTCCTCCAATACTTATTTATATTATAGTACTATAGATTATTTATGTTTATTAAATTTTATTATTGTAAATTTAAAATATTATAACACTTTTTAAATATTCAATTTAAGTGAATTTATTTTTTAATTAAGTATAAAAAATTAATATAGAAAAAATATATTGAATTGTTGGATTTTTAAGTATATATTATAATTATTTTTGATAATGTGAAATTGACAAAAATATATATTCGTCGAATTTTAAGTTTACCTCCATACAACCAAAAACGTCTTTTAAAAGAAAAATAGAATATAATAAAAATTATTGCACACTTTTCCCCTTGACTTCATTGCAAACTAACTCTATATAATGAGAATTCTTAAAATTAAATTTGTTATTCATTTAATTGCACACTTTTCTTCCCTTAATTTCATTGTAAACTTATTCTATACCTTCGTCGTAAATTTATGCAGTATATTTTTCCTTACCATTTGCATTTGTAATTCACTTTTACGATAATTATAGTTTATTAATTAATTTATTTGTCACTGAAAAACAAAAGATAATATAACACATAATCAATGTCATAACTATAAATTATAAAGATCAATCTATTTATTACTATATACTCAGGTAATATACCACACATTATTCGCCTAATGTGACTTGCCTGTCGGACCTAGTTTGCAGGGAAATCGAAGGTTTACCCAATACACACTTTCGGGTAACGTCATTAAAAAATATATATATGATAGTTTGTGTTACTTTATGTAAAATGACAATTCTATCTTTTATGTGTTTATTTGTAATAAAATTATTTTTTATGTAAATAATTTCAATTGAGAAAATATTTATAATATATAGTGATTACATATTTACTACATGCAAAAATATAACTTATCAAATTTATCTTCATTTTTTAAAATTAGCATACAAATATTATAATTTTATTTTTTAATAAAAAATATTTTTATATTTTTATATTTTCTTTTAAAATTCTATTTTTATTTATTTATTTTTAAAACTATTCCATTACAAAGGGGTAATATAATTCTAAATATGTGAAGTTGAACTCATTTCTTCACGGCAACAAATTCACCTCTACAATTTAATTTTATTGCATTAATGTGTATACATATTGTATTTTTTAAATAAGAGAGTAGTATTTATTAAAAATTGTGTTACCTAAAATTACAATGTGAACAAACCCTTTATTTATTGATTTATTTTTTGCATAAAACTTTATGCGTTACCCAAAAAATCTGCATAGGATATTCTTTTTGCTAAAAAATGACTAAAATTAGCAAATTTATTGTACAAATAGCTTTCAAAGATAAACACATGCTCCAACTGTTTAGATAGACTATAAAACAAATCTGAACATCATGCATGATTCTCATAAAATTATATGAGAAATCCCATCTAATTTCCTAAACAAAAATGGAGAAATAAACTGATAATATTATCACATTCATTTATTTATTTTCTATTTTTCAGTAACATGGAACCCGCAGCCGCAACCACTACCCCGAAAGTCACACTAGGCGAAGGCGAACCATGTGTGACAGGTATATTTATTTTCATTAATAGAAAAATATACTACAAATTACACAATATTTTATTCTTAAAATCTACAATCGCACAATTAAACTTTATGCACGGAATAAAACACATAATTAAAACAAATTTATCTCAAATATAAAAGAAATTTTAGATATAATACTTAAAATAGAAAATAAATTTTTAATGCAAGGAAAAATATGACATAAATAATGCGAAAACAATTTTAAGAACATGAGTAAATAAAGCCTACTTTTCACTAAAAAATTCAAATCCATATCATTCAAAAGACAAACTGAAAGTGAAGATCATAATCTAGAATACATGTATGTATATATATATTCGAAAATGGAGACAAATAGTAGCTTCCTAGGTGCCCAAACCTATTCAAAAATCATACTTTTAATAACAAAAACACAAGGCCTCAGAGAAATCAGACTTCTGTGTTTTTTGTCTGGTCCATTTTTGTACACAAGGTAAAAAAACAGGAGCAGCTAATGCCGAAAAAAATAAAAGAGAAAGATAAGAAGCCGGGGGGTTATCGCGAAGATAGTCTCCAAGTGAATATAGTTACTGAATAACTAAGCTATTGCAAGCAAAAATTAATCAGGAAAGCCATTCTTTTACCTCTCGATTTTGTTTTTTTACGCAGGATAAAAATGCAGCTTACTTTGAAAGCCAATAGATGATAAGAAAGAGCGTACAAGCAGCAATGACGGCAGAGAGGATGAGAGTGTCTCTAGATTTTTTCCTTCGAATAGCACCTGTGATGAGAAGACCCAGAAACAAGATGATACCAATGACGGTCATTTGTATTTGAAAACTTCTAAAGAAGAATATCGACAGAAGATTAATTACCAAGTAAACCGCGAATGACAGGAAATTTGTCGCCGAGTTGCTTTACTTTCCCTTGAACATCGCCAAATAAGGCCCTTTGAGAGCCCAACACAGCTCTAGTTGCTTGAGCTTGGCCAATCACGTCATCGATCTGTTATGAGTTGAGAAATAATAAAGTTACAAATGTATTTGCTCGAACAATTAACTACACCGTAGGAAAAATTCATTTTCTAGAGTTGGACATGTAAGAATGTAACATCTTACACCTAAGATCAATAGTAAGAATTTAAGATAAAATTCCATCTTTTGATAATTTAAGAAATGTTTGCCGGATTAGAGATTCAAGACATTTTTATTCATCTAGTGTTTTATTTCTACATGACTTCCAAAAAATATTACTCAAAAAATACATTATATAATATATATTATATACTCGTACCAATAAAAGTCAACAGAAACACACAAAACACCATTCCCTATAATACTTTTATATTCCCCGTACCTTACATAAAAAACACTAAACAAACACGTTTGTTTCAAGAATAGCAATATAATGTCAGGTTCTAACATTAGGCATGACTATTATGTCAATCTCTACCGGAGATCTGCCCCATTTAGACAACTTCTGAATCAGTACTTGGGTTGAATAAATAGGAATAGTAGTATTAATACTTTTAATGGTAAAAAAATCAAAGTACATGACAACTTATATTTAATAAATTCTATCTAATCTTAGAAGAATTAGATACCAACTACCAAAGATAATCCACAAGGGTGGATATCTATTGAAACCAAATCCAACGAATCACTCATGATATATTAATAAATAGTAACATATATATATGACTGTAATCCATAACGTAGACAGATTAGTGAGTCCAGACCATTGGATCTCAAGTCCCATACAAGGACAGGGCATATCCCAGATTCTGCCAAACCCGATTCATTGCCCTAACAATCTTACAGACTTACACTACATGGCCGGGGAATGAATCCAGGATTATGTTCTCTTTAACTATAGTGGCACACAATTAATTCATGGTTTGTCTATTAGTTTACACAGTATAATTTAATTAAAAATGTAAAGTACTCTCGGAACCACAGATACTTTCACTACACCAGTTCACTGCATCACAAAGTACAGTCTTGTGCAAATATACTGAGTAAGATAGAACAGTGCATAGCTTAGAGATCTTACATGAGATATGCTTCCATGAATGGTAGCTCTCTCCCGAAGTAACTGCACTTGTGGGGATGCGCTCCCAGACGCCTGTGTAAAATATACTTTAAGGAAAAGCATTGGGAACAAATTTGTTAGTACTCTCAGATGGAACTTCAATGCTCTACCTTTGACTCGCTGATATCATCTCGTACTGAACTAAGAAGCTCCGCATGTTCTCTCATTGAGTTAATATTTCCCTTGGTGCGCCTAAATTCCTATAGAAACATTATTAATTAATTCAAAAAGCATAATAAATTAACTAAAGTTGAAAAGAAGAAAAACATTCAGCACCTTGAGTAATTAATAACCTAAAAGCGGAAAAAAAAAAAAAAAAAGATTCGAAATTGAAATATACTGTCAACAAATTATGGTATTCTTCAAAGTCGATGGAAACTAATCTTGCATTATCATTGGAATTAGTTGTCATTATTACTGTGGGATTTCTTCACATAGATGTTAGGCAGAGAATTTCTTTAAGTATGGTAAAATGCCTCTAATTAAAGAATTTTGAATCCTATGGAAAGAAGAAAGAGTAAAGAAAGGAAAATTATCCAAACACTCTTGAATTATATAATGACATGTACGTAAAATAGCAGACATAAATCACACAGGAACATGTGTATGAAAGAAATTATCACTACGTCATCAATTTGACTTCACATTGCAGAGAGCACCATGCTATAGTACTTGCCCAGAAAACTTAACCAAGCACACGTTATGAGCTGAGCATTTCCATTGTATTGATGAAATTTTGCATGGTATTAAATAACCTGGGTAAACTCATGCAGTATGTCCCTATGTCTCGCAAGCTTTTGAGTAACTGAGGTAGTAGGAGCAGCGGATGCAGCACATCGACTCATTGAATCATTTATGTCCAGTAGCTTCTCCAGCAACGACTGAATCTCCATTTCCATGGACTTCCACGACCTTCCGGACCCAGAAGTCGGCGAACCAGCATCAACATGACCTAAAGCCCATTAAATCATTATAAATACAAAAAACAATGCTTCCAACGAAAGAAATGGCTTCAGCAGTCAATTATGTTAAACTTATATGCAAATACCGAATCTTATCACCCAGCCAGACCATCAGATATAACAATTTTCCGCAAATAGCTTTCCATTAAGTAAATCCAATTAGATTCGATTACAAATAAACAAGAAAGGATGGACACAAAAGCCCACCCTAGGATTATAGCTGTAATGCATGTTATCATTCAAGCAATTAAATCTCACAGAAACAGTAAAACAACACATGTATTCCTTCTCACTATCAACAAACTATAATCACTCAGTGCTCAAATGCCTCTGAATTAATCCACAAATCGAGCTAGGTCATCAGGCCATTAATTCAATAGCAAACTGACTACATCTAAGCCATTCATAAACAACATAGCCCTAAATTCATTACTAAATCTAGAAATAAGCAGCATTCCAACTTGAAAAGAAAATTCACATGTCCAGAGTATCATATATAAAGTTCTAATAAACCTAGAAATTATAAATTGGATCATCTTACCGACACTGTCAATTAGGAAAATCAAATCACAAGACAAAAAAAAAGTTGGAAAAAAGCCGCAGCAGATTACGAAAAATCCTTTTATACCTGCTTGAGTGAAGCGGGCTCCGAGCTTGGCGTACGAAGACAGCTTGACATCGAGATCTCCCTCTATCTTCCGAGCCTCCTTCCGAAGCTCCTCCCAGCCCATCTCCTGCAACGCATCCATACTCGGATCCCCGGACATCCGGATCTAAAGGATCCGACTCGTTCCAAAGAATTTCTACCACCACCTCCGCTCCAATGGACGGTCGCGATCCAAATCCGGTAGTTGTCGTTCCAAAACAGGGTGCAGGATCCGAATGCGCGTCAGCAGCGATCACCACACGGAATCAGGCTCAGTCTCAGAGGTGATTACGGGTTTGGAGATCCTTCAATTCCACTTTCCACTTAATTGTTTCTCCCGCAGTGATTACAGCACGGTGAATTTTGGAGAAGAACTGGACGAGAGAAGATTGACGACGATGTATGAAGTGAGCTCCTCGTTGAATTGGAAGGAAATTTTGTTCGCCGTAGATTAGTTGGGCCTTGTTTTAATTGGGCTCATTAGCCCAAAGCCCATCACGTTAGAACAACAATATGAAGATTATATTTGTACGGAAGAATCAACAATCTTCTTTAATCTTATATAATTTGAATTTAATCTGAAATGATTTGATATTCAAGCTAAACTAAGCTGATGTAAATTCATAAAGATAATATATATTTATGGAATAAATGATGTATATATTACAATGAAACATATATATTTTTTTATAAGATTTAGTAATTTTTTTGAAAAAGTGATATCATTTGACAAAAATATATTTTTAGTAAAAATGCACAAAATCATGTAAAATCTAATGTAAAATTTGTCCAAAACTGATGATTTTATACAAATAAAATGACAATAACATATACAGCAACATTCTCTCGAATAAAATGACAATCGATAAAAAATAATTCGATAGACGCATACGAACGTACGATCAAAGAATTCACTTGAAGATATCTAGGCATGCAAACAATCCCTCGCCAAAGAAAAATGCATATATGAAGCGACAAATACTAACATGCTAAATGAAGAAAGCCATACCTTTGTTCGACCGTTGTCCGTGCTTACGACCATCCATTGTTGTCGAACACCAGATTGATCTCTGAGCTCAGCTGCAGAGAATAACTGAATCAAAACAAGTCGATACGATCGTAGAAAAGATTTACCGTTGTTATAACAGTACCATCGACGCACAGATTAAAACCCGGCCGAGCCTACAAGCGACGAGTATGTAGCATTCTCATCTCTCTCTTCAGAAACATTCGTCGGTTTTGCGCCCGTAACATTTACTGTTCGAGTGGCAATTTCGATCTTCGCCATCTGGCAGATTTGTAGCCTTCGCCGTTTTGCTTCTTCGAGATCACCTTCCCAGCAAGTCTCGGTTATGATCTCAGTGGCTTCGTCCAATTTATCCTCGCTCATTAGAGCTCCGTTTCCTAACAGGACAAGGTACACTTGCTCGGCAGCGTATTTCCGGATCTGCAAGAAACAAACATCATCGATCGCCTGTTGATTGAAAAATCAAATAGTTTTTAGCGACGAACCTTGGGGTAGCGGTGGCTGAGGAAGGTAAGCAAATGCGAGAAGGCCTTGGTGTTGACCGGGCCTGAAATCGACGCGATGTATCCGAGTATCGTGATTCCTGAATATAACTTGGAGAAATCCTTCGTTCCTTTCAACTCGGTGGCGAGAGAATCGAGAACATCATTGCAGAAGACGGGAGTGTGAGCCTGAGACATAATAAGAACATACTATGTCGACAAGAAGAATGTAGCAATCGGAATTAACTCCACACAGCTGTAACCGAATAAGCTTCAAAATGGCAAAAAACAAAACCCGAAAAGGGAGCTTGTCGAGCAAGAATGAAGAGAATAGCATACTAACCTCCATATTTAACAATATCTTGTGGCTGAAAAGAATCTCGACAGTCTGAGAAAACAACGGGACATTAAAGTCTTAATAATTTATACTATTTCGGATACACAAGAAGACAAACATGTAAAGCTCATCGAAAGTATAAAGCCGTAGAATTAAATTACCTTCAGAGTGGGTACGATGACTCGGTCGCATCTCCTGTATTTCTGAAGAACCCATTGAATGTCCGAAGAAAGACTTAACACTCGGGGACCATCTTCGCCGCTATCACTTTGAAGATAATCCAACAAAGCACCGAGCGAAGCCTTCCTCAAAGATTCTTGTAGCCCACCAATGGAAATGACAAGTCCAGATACAATATATCGACTGTAGCAACTAACTTGAAGAAGTTGTATGAAACGAGGATACGAGAATGTAGGATCCTGCAGGTGAATCAGAATGAAATATTTTACAAAAAGAGTCGATATTCAATAGATATGAGTTGGCATTGTGATTTACCCCCCACTTAAGATGAGCATCGTCTGGAACTGTACGTTCGAGAATATCCCTGTGCGGTATGTGTGGCACAGAGATTGTTTTATCGTAAAGTATTCTTTGAAGAACCCTCGCTGCTGATTCCCTTAACTTATCCATCTTCTCCACAGCTTGCTTCGCAATACCTCCGACTAAACTATTTGCCAACGTGGAATCGAAATAGGCAGTGCTCTGGTCGTTATTGGAGCTATCACTTCTAGTAAGATCGGAAACAGACCATTTTTCTTGATCTTCGGAATCCCTTTCGCATAAAATGTATGTACATTTCTCAAGGCCATCCATTGCAGCTTCACGAATCCATGAGCCCACATCGCCCCGGTTATCTGTCGAATAATCGTCCAGAGCCTTTAACAAACTGCTCATCACTTCATCTTTGATGAAATGAAAGAGGGCAAGTCGATCATCTCCAGAAAAGAAAGCAGACAATTCTCCGGCTTTGGTTAAAGTTTCACAAACAGATACCAGTCCTTTGACAGCATTTACACGTGCTTCAGCATCCCGATCTTCAGGATTATCCTATACACAACAAATGTTTATCAGAAAAGAATATTGGCAAGCATTTATTTTTTAAAACGTAGCTAAAGTTCAGAACTTCTTCAAAGCAAATGCATCCACCTCAATTTCACATGCACTACAGAGCTTTGTTAAGATAGATTTCCACTCGGTAGCCAGAAACTCAAACGGTAGAACGCCAAGAGCCAGGGCTGATCCTCGTCTTGATGCAACATTGGGATCAGTCAGCTGTTTGAGATATTTTGAAATAATACGGTCCACTCCCTTTCTCTCCACCGATACAAGGTAAGTACGAATGTACTGTCGAACGGCTTCAACGGCAGCATTCTAAAAGCATGAGTAAAAGTTATTTACAGGAAATATTAACAAAAAATACAATTGACTTTATGAGAAAGTGTGTTGAAAATCAAGACCTGTATCTGAGAATTAGGATGTTTCAAATTCTCATTGAGAGTGTCAAGCAGAGTTTGTTTGATCTTCTCAGTCAGAGAGACTTGAGCTCGGGAAATGCACTCGATGAAGCGAGAAACAGCAGAACGCATTATTTCCCCTCCTTTGCCACGATAAAGCCGCGCTTTCTCTATGGCTGGAACTACACCAGCAGCTACTTTCTGCTTATCTGTAAGAGCATAACCATAATTGTTTAACAGCTTATATTTTCAAATGCTAAGTAAAAGTTCGCCCAATAAAACCTCGTCTATTTTGTTAAATTGAAGAACTAGAGATTTCACAGATTTTTAATCACAAACACTGATCTTAAATAACTATATCTATCTAAGTGAATTCTTTATTCTCACTCATATTGTGATTTACCAAGGGTACTAAAGAAGCTAGCCACTTGCTCATCACAGGAACCTATTTTCCACAGTCAAGCTTTTAACCATGAAATTTCCAAACTTTTGATTTGATAAGATTAAGTCTACATAGAAGATTAGGTGGAGCTTCCCATGAAAAATACACAAATAGATAGCAAAGGAACCTTATAAATGTAAAAACTCATTTAGTAGCCATAGCAAACAAAAGAAAGTGCAAAATATAACATAAAAGATTGCACTATGGTAAAGCAATTACGACAAATTCTAAAGCAAATGATGTCATGACCTGTGGAAAGAGCATAGTTGCACTCATGTAAAGCCAAAATCACCTCTCCAGTAGCCAAGGTTGCACCGTGCCGCATGCATAAATCAGTTGACAGTGTGCAAGGAACTAACTTATCCAAAATTACATCAGCAAAATATTCAGGCTTGAGTTTTACAAGATGTGAGAGGGCAGTGGCAGCAAGTTCTCTTAGACCCTTCTCCTGCATGCCCAAGAAATTTAAATAATCGAATCAGCAGTGATGAAATCATGCTTGAAACTTCTATAGAAAGGAGAGGATACTCAAGGTACCCAGTGGCAGATCTTGGGATGAAATGACATATAGTAATTCTACAAAATTTGGAAGCAGAAGCAGATAGAACATACCCAGTGGCAGATCTTGCTATGTAACAGTTCATCGACAAAGTAACTAAGATAGCCATTGTATTGAGCAATGCAAACAGCGACATGAAGATAAGAGTTTGTCCGAGAGGACAGGGCAAAATAATCAGCTGTATTCACAATATCGATTCCATGGGGGAAACTTCCTTGTCTCCCTACATTTTCCTGAAAAGCAGCAGCTGCCGCTCGTCTGCAGTTAACCTAAGCATCAAGATCAAAAGGTCAGTATTGGGACAGGATAAGCAGAAAATGGAATCATTATACATTATTCAGTCTCGGAAGGAGAAAACTTGTGAATATAAATAAAACCTCACGGTCATAGCAGGCCACTGCTAGAAGATGTGGTGCTAACTGTTCCAGCACATTTGTCATATCTCTATGGTAATATGAACGACCAAATGCCCAAGAAACATAAGCAGCAGCATCACGTACGTGAGACCCAACACTATGAGGCCCTCTTCGAATATCATAATGTAAAGCCTGAGAGAAAGTTTTCTGTTTGTCAAGTCCCATAATTAGAAAAACAAGACAAGCAATAAACATTAGCATTTGGAGTCTCATGTTCTCTGATTTAGAGACCCTGACACAAGGGAACTGAATAGCTAGGATTTGCATATGACTGCGTCGCAAATATTCACCCCTTTGGAGGTAAAAAAGAAGCATAAAATCCTTCAACGATCAAATATAACAATCACAGGCTTTTTACCATGGCAGCTCACTACAAAATTGGACAAACAAAAAGGCAGCTGTGCAGGAGCAACAGCCCCATAGATTTGTACAATAATGACAGAGATTACACCTTTATGATAACAGGGACAACTTTTGGAAAACTGACTGGCAGAAGCAATCCTCTCCGTGCCAATTCTGCCAATGCCAAGCAACCACCATGCCAAGAGCCATCTCCCTGAAACATGCAGTTAATTAGCAAGGTGAAATTCACAAAATGTATCGATGTAGACAGTTTTGCCATAGAATGTCGAAGAACAATCTTTCTAGCTAGATATGGCTAGCATGCTTCAAGTTCTATATCATCTGCACAGATGGTATGATGGTTTGAACAGTTTTATGCATGATTAATAAGGATTTTAAATAATTTTATTCAAACAAAATGGAGCTTTCTTATAAGCTCCATTAAGAAAACCATTCCAAGCAATAGGAAAATTCAAAATTTTGTTTGCACTGAAATTAAATTTAGTGGAAGTAAAAGGCAAGAAGAATCTAAGGAACCAATATGTCAACATAAGGGATAAGGGTTCAATTACAAAAAACATCATCTAAAAAATAAACCTTAGCATAATGATAAAAAAAAGTGGGAAATTGCAGAAGAGCACGCAACCAAATAGGTGGATGTTCCCAACTTAGTTTGGAGCACATTTAATTCAATATATAGTCCTGGAAAATGTCGTGTTGTTACGTATGAAGGAATTGCAACTTTCAGAAGAGAACTAGAAGAAGTTCAATGTTGAGAAGCCAGGGGCATAAGATAAATTTCAAAACCTACCTCGCCAGGAGAGAAAAGCTCCAATACAGAAGACAAAACTTCATCTGACAGAGCATAAGTTAATCGTGACGCGATGCGGCCTACACCTTTTGCAGCAGACCATCGTACAATAGTGTCCTAGACGACAAAAATCAGATGCATAAAGAACACACTTGAAGAAAAGCATCTACCATGGTAATTAAGAAATCAAGTGCCAAGCTTGCGTAGAAAATACAAAAACAATCAGTGTTTCATGAATAATAAATGACATAAAATAATGACTACTGAAAATGTTGTTGTAACTACAAATCACCAAAGTATACTGAAAAATCATTCGAAGCATCTGGTTATAACCCTCAGGCATACCGTATCCCTCAATCCAGACAACAAAACTTCAATAATGTCTTCAATGATATCTGGGACATCCATATCTTCTTCTTCTTCTTCTTCTTCAAAGAAGCTTGTCTCTTGAGAGGCATTAATACTGGAGTTAACATTCACCAAGTCACTTGATTGGTTATTATCCTTTCCAACATGTGAAGGTATGTTGTTCTCTCCAAGTGTGACATTCCTACCCTAGAGGAAATCCACAAGTAAGAACATGGGAACATTGAAAAGTAAACTGCTTAAAGTGTCTCCTAACAAGTAAACTGCTTAAAGTGTCTCCTAACATTATAGATGAGACCACATTTTTTGCCATAAAAATAAGCAAGGGGAACACAGAGTGTTCTGCTTCCTCACAACTAAGGAGTAAGAATAATGCCCTTTGGCCATTTAGCATGAAAGTACTCATAAATTCATCATCACTATATTCTTTTTCAAGGAATTTGAAAAGTTTTAAGAAACTCAATCACTAACTCATATATTTATCAGAAATCATGAAATATCACAGTTAGCCTATATTTTTTTTCATGCACCATTAAATACATTTCAGAAAATATGCTCTAACATACATTAGAGACATCAGTAAAGGCGAAGTAAGTGTCACATGTAGAATCATAGAGCAACTTCAAACTCAAGTATAAATTCCAGAAGTTTGCTATTGATTTTCTTTTGAGAGGGAGAGAGTTTTCCATGGGTATAGAATGAAATTGATTAACATAAGTAAATAATTTTGTTTTTCTTTTTGTTTACAGAGAAATATAATATAGACCACCAAAGATTAATTTACAGAATTGATGATCAATGATGTAGACAATACACTTTTAGGTGGCTATGATGGATGAGAACAATGAACAAAAACATATCAACATTTACTTTAACTAACCACATAACGCCACGTTGCAGTCTGACGAGGCAGGCAGGTAAGCCCGATCCGCTGGGTTAACTTTATCAGATACTTGCGAAGTAATGAACTCCGAGTAGCCATAGGTGACTTCATCAGAACAGATGCATCAGTCCATAAAATTGTGACCACAGGCTGCAAAAATTTTGTGCTACCAATCTGGATTTCAAGGGAAAAGAACAATCAATGAAAGAAAAGATTGCATTGAAAGATAAAGAGCAATCAAAAGACAAAACACAGTTCTTTTATTTTCTTTCTTTAGGCAGCAAAACAAACATGTGAGAAAATTCTAACCACGAGTAACAGCATTTCTTTCTATCTTACCATGAAGGAAATCAGTAATCATTTTTAACACTTTCTTTGTCCCAAATATTTTGCTATTATTTATAATTTGAGATGTCCCAAAACTTTTTTAACTTTTCTTTATTTACACATAATTTTTCTCCTTTTACCCTCTTATACAAATAAAATCATTCCAAACAAAAGATAAGGGCAAAATGAATAGTATAAAACTGTCAAAATTATGCTACCTAAAAGCTAAAATACCATGACAAAAGCAGAAGTAGCAAACAAAATGAGAAATAGTTAGTATATTTTGTAACAAACAAGCATTAAGGCGCAGAGCACAATGGAGAAAGAGTTGAAGCACAAAAACTATCAATGTATTTTGTACAATTTTTCACCCCATTCAGACAGCCATAAAATTTCACAAGATTTGAACTAGCAATGCTTTGGACTGCAGCATTTCAAACTCAAAACCGAAAATAAGAACACCCTAAGAATTAAACGCCAAACTTTTATCTTTGAGTTTGCAGATCTAATATTCACTAGTAAATGAAAGGAGAGCATATCATGAAAAGTGTCTACAGTATCTATTATATAATTAAGGGACCACGACAGCAGAGGAACTCAATTGATGATCGCTGAAAACCACAAGTTTCAACTTCTTAAATGTAAACATATTAATAAAGTTCATAAAACTATAAACATGCAAATACATCTAATGCAATGAAAACAAACCTTGAAAATGGCAGCCACAGCTGCAACAGCACCCAATAGTCGGAAGTGGTCGATAACATCATTCTCCGCAGAAGAAAGAATATTATGAACCCAATCAACAAAACTGAAGGGGGTAAAAGGACAAACTCAATCATTTATGAATAAACTGCATTAGTGGTTCAGTAAGGCTCCCTAAGACTACACTGCATTAGGCTTCAAAATTTGAGGGTCATCATTAGGAAACCAGAGTAAAATTACTAATATCTAAATTTAGATTTTGTCACAATTCGCTCAGAGTATAACTTAGATTTGAAATTTTGGTGTCTCTATGGAGCATTAAAATACTTAATAAGTGATTTCAAGTAGGGTGCCGATACAGCATACTCTAATTAAGACTTGAACAAGCATCAAGATGTAAAAGCATAAATTAGATGAACCTTTCCATTTTAGAATATTAGCTCACCAAGATAACCATATAAAAAACTTGTGGCTTAAATAAAGCACTCACACCCCAAGAAATCAACATTGTCAAAGGACACAATATATTTTTGCAAGATCTCCCTTTTTACAATGCTATGCATTTTGAAGTCCCACATCCATATATCTTAATTCTTCTATGAACTGTTACACACTCAACGTGTCTATCACTTTCCAGGTTTCCAAAAAAACAAAGAGAATGATCATAGAGAGAGAGAGACCTGGTGAATGCCTTTGACATATCTGGGCGTGTTAGGAGTCGTGATAAAAGTAATCCAGCTATAGTCCGCATAGGACCCGCACTTGACAAATAGTCCTTACAGAACTCTAAAATCCTCAACACCAATGGAGGAGGTCCATCAACCCCAGCACGGATGCTATTGGCCATACTAGTATCAACAGAGGATATATCAAATGGAATCAACACTAGAATATAAAGCCACAAAAGAATGATGCATTTTGCCTCCATCTCTCCAGTGCTTTCATGTCTCAACGATGTGGCAGCATTTATGTTATGGCATTTCTCTAAGAGAGATACTGCGAGTTCCAAATCAGAAACCTGATGGGGGAAGAACTTGATGACAGACTTGTATCCACAAACTGTAACCAATGTATAAATTATAATGCATATAGGCTTGATCACTTCCAGAATTTCATCGGAATCAGCCCCTAATTCAGTGGTTCTTGAGCGGACTATGTCCATCATTGGTGGAACCATATACTCTAGATAAGGCTCTATCAGTTCACCTTGTTGCTGATACTTGTCCAGCTGCATCACACGACCCATTTCAAAATATATCACCATTTAAAAAAAAAAGAAAGTAAAATGTATGCTGGATTTAAAAGAAAAGCGGATCAACATTTGTATGCTTGTACAACAAAGCCATTGCATTGATCGGAAATCTGCGTGGCAGCCATTAAAACAAAATTAAAAAAGATACTTTCTTGATATTCTTTTTCTGTTCCGATAAATAAAGTGAAATGGACATTTGTGACTGAGCATCTTCACCTGAGGCATTGAAGTGAGTTTTCTATAAAAAGTGCATACTCCCTCCATCTACAAAAAGCGTGCTTCTTTTATCATTTTAGTTTGTCGACGAAAAGTATGCTTGTATCATATTTCGTGAAAAAGTTCATTCCTTCTCTAAATTACTACCCACTATTTTTCATTTATTTATGCCATTGACACAAGTGGGCCTCACGCTACTTCTTCCATTCAATCTCGAAAAATTAAAGTTAACTAACCCTATAAAGTTCTAATTTTACCCTGAGAAAAGTACAAGGACACTTTAAAATATCATTGTTCTTAGTATTCGATTCGTGCCCAAAAGTTTTAAGCACACTTCCAATTCAGCGCAAAAGTTTCAAAACATACCAGTAACAGACACAGAGACAGACAAAGCGTCTACAATTCAGCATTTGGGAGCAGCAAAGACACACCAATCGACACATTACTAGCAAATCAAGAACATCCACACAACTTGAAGCAATTAAATTCACAATCTCTACATATAAATATCAATCACAGCCACCACTCTGCCATCTCCAACAATAACAAGCATTTAAGAACACACAAAAAAAGTTCACACATTTGAAATGCAGGTGCAAGTATAAACATTAAAGCACAATGTACAACAAAAAAAAAATTAGCCGCAGATTATACAGTTTCAGAAGAAAGTTGCAGCCGCTTACAATGGATCGGATCTTGTGGACGGCGGAGGGGTCGGAGACGCGGCGGTGGGAAACGATGCCGTCCACGAGGGACTTGACGAGCTTCCATTCTTGGAGGAAGTACAGCAGCAAGACTCTCTCCTTAGATTCGTGCTCGTAGTCTTCTTCTTCCTTGGTTGTGGTGCTGAGACGATCCATCCCTGCTGCAATTCCATCATCTGCCATTGATTTGAGTATATTAGGCTTAGGCTGTATTTCCCGCTGCTGTGTTGGTGGGCGCTGAGACTAGGACTGAGATCATCGGACGGACGGATTTACTCGGCCGCGTTTTAGAATAAGAATTTTGGCTTATTTACCATTTTATTTTATTTTTTATAAGACCGGTGAATATCTCGAAATATTATAAATATTTCTTCTCACAAACTATTGAATTGATACTTGTTTTTTAAGTATTTAATACTTAGGATTTAATCATTAAAATAATAATAAATATAATAAAAAATACTTCCTTCGTGTTATGCCTACACAGGTATTTAGGGAACGTGCATAAAAGTAAAAAAATATTATGATAAAAAACTTTTATTAAAAGTGAAATAAAATTAAATTTGGATGATGAAAATAAATTTGAATATTAAGTATAACATATACACATTTATATATATATATATGTGTTTTATTCATTTAAAAAATAATAATTTAATACAATATTTTATTCGTCTCTATTTAAAGTATTTTTTTATTTATATGTATTACATATTAAAAATAATAATACATTTGTGTTTGTTTGGGAGATTGGATTAGATTTCCACTATTCATCCAATTTTTTTCTCCAAAAACATCAAATCAAACACCTATTTTTTATTTTTTATATTATTTTAAAAATCAAATTTACATTCAAAACATCACATCTAACACCTATTTATATCACATCATGCAACTATTCAAATTCAAAATTTTTACTATTCAAATCTCAACTCAAAATCCAAACCCCCAAACAAACACACCAAAAACACCTGTTTGTTTGGAGATTGGTTTTAAATACATATTTATTCCATTTTTTCCTCCAAAAATATCAAAATCAAACATCTATTTTTTATTTTTTTATATTATATTAAAAATCAATTTTACATTCAAAACATCACATCAAACACTTAATTTTTACTATTCAAATCTCAACTCAAAATCCAAACTCCAAACATTAACAAATTTATAAATATTGTTGACTAGATTGCTTATAGCTTAAGGTATGTTTTTATTTACATTAAAATTACATTTTTACCATCGATTAAATAACATACAGTTTATATTTTTAGTTTTAAAAACTTTGGAAGAAACTAATCGATGTAATATTTTCTTAAATAAATTACTATTAATATTAAAACTTAAAAAATATCTGAATAAACAGAGTATTAGATTTATTTATTGATTTATTTTGAGTTTGACTGATATAAATTGGAACTATCTGTTACTTGCCTTATACCCAACGTCGTTCTTCCCACATCATAACACGAATTATATAGAAACACAAATGAGGATCGCAAATGTTGTTTGTGTATAAAGCTATCGAATACAACCATTAACGAGCCAAATTGAACAAAATTTTAAAATATGTTCATTCGTATTGTTCGAACCTGATTCGTTAAGCAATTTTATTGTTCGAGTTCGTATTTGTGTCCGATTTGAATAAACTCGTTTGGACTCATTCGAGGTCGGTAACAAAACAAGCTTATTTATGTTATTTGGCTCAACTCGTTTAACCGAGCTGAAATGAACCAAGTTTACAAACGACGTGGTTTATCTCATTGCTCTATCATCGACTCAATCTATTCACATAATAATAAATAAATAAACTAAAAAAGCCTTCACTCTAGTGATGAACATGTTATATTACCCGCTCATTCTGCTGCTAAAAAACAATCAGTACTTGAATCATAGAACCCGCGAAGAATACACGAGATATTCCGATGAATATTAAACCTAGATATCAGGCAAGAACACACACCATTACTGTACTCGGCACGCTAGCCAGATGCCGATGTAGAGAGCTAGAATCAACACAATATAGACAAGCAATGTATTTACCAAAAAAGGGAGATTTCGAATCAAAATTATTTGCATCACTAATAACATAAATGGAATGAAATGTAGGTAGTGTTATCTGCCATTGCTTTTAAGGTATAGTCGAAGAACAAAATGAAAGCAAAGCGTACCTACCAGGAAGAAGTCTGCGTCGTAATATCTGAATTAGAAAGCTATGGGTTGTCTCTGCGGCCACGATTCTATCCTGTTGAAGTATTTGACCGGCACCACTCCATTGAATCCCTCGGTTAGTATCACACGGTTGTCTGATATGTACAGCTTCATTCCATCTTAGCAGAACAAAAGTTAACAAGTCTCAAAAATTCGATCATTTCAAATGCGATCGTACATATTATATAACAATGTTAGAATTTGGTACCCTCCAGAGCCTTTTTTACATCGAGATAGACTAGTACATTGACGTCTCGTCTCATACCTGCAAAGTCACCTTAAATTATTAGAACTAATGTAATGGCCTGTATGCGAATCAAAAAAAAAAGAATGAAAATATATTCGGCAGGACATGATGTAAATCTTTTACCACTAATGACTTTTCCGTCTGTGGGCAAACCGTGGGAGAAATGTACGTGTAACCTCTTCATGCGCTTGAGGCCCTCCTGTAGAATCGATTCCAAGTTCTTCTTGTAGGTTCCATGGACACAGACTGCAAATAAATATGAAGAGCAAACACAAAGGTAAGACGGCACATTTCTTTTAAGAATGAAATGCGGCATTCATTGATGTAACTCGAACCTGGAACTTCTTCAGGTGAAAGTATAGGTTTCAGCAAGCTTTCTGTTTCGACAGTCTGTTAAAGCATAGAAAGTGAGAAACTATCGATATAAAAGCCATTAAAGAACACAATAAATCAAAACTGGCATGGTAAAAGAGTTTGGAGAACATATACATACGACTCCCTGCTTTTCTATCACTATGTATATTTCATATTTATTGATAAGGGGAAAATTCAGAAAGAAAATAGCCAATGACAGCATAAGTCGAATAATTTAGATGACGAAAAGTAACTGTTCGTATTGTGGAGATAGTTGAGTTCTCTTTGTTCTGCATTCTGCTGGAGTCGATTACTAATTTCAATTCTTACTAACAGTTAAAGGATAACATAAACAATATGTCAACAGGAGGGAAAAATGAAAATCCAAGCAATAGTATGATACTTTAAATAGCGGTTCCTGCCAGAGATTTAACTAACAGATTTGAAATCAGTTAAGAATATTCCAGTGGGTATGTTTACCTTAATAGTGTGACCTTGGTTCGCACGTATCCAAAGCTCCCCATTTTCTTCCAGTAGACTAAACCGCTGTTTGTTATCCTTTCCTACCGCCTACAAAACAAAAAATCGAAACACATTTTCTTAGGCATTCTATACGAGCACAGCTCAGTTGAAGAAACATGTGCAAAAGTAGTCAAGGAATGTGACGACACATGTAGGAAGGTGTGTTACTTGATAATAAAAACTCATAAGAATGAAATGTTCCGTACGTAAACAATATTAATCTAAAGCCAAAAGATTTCTCAGCCCAGAGAAAAACAAGCTAGATTCCACCCCAAAAGGTTCCAACTTAATCTAAATTCAATGGCACAATATTATCAGTAACCAATAATGTTACTGTGGAATCACAATCCTGTTAGCATAAACTTCGAAATTCATGAAGGCATGAAGGCATGAGAGCATAGAGAATCAGACCTCTATAACATCATCTATTGTGTGCGATCGTAATGGAAAATTAGCATAAGTTTTCATATTGATCTGCAGCAGATCTTGGACTTTCACATATCCATCCCTCCTCATATCCAGTTTCAACTCCGAAGCCATGTGACGCAGGATGCGTGTTCTGAAATATTTGTCAAAACGAAAAATAAGAACAAGTACTCATGGTCTGAATTTTCATAGAAAATCTATGCTAATCTAATGATAGATGCGGCACGTAAAATTAACGAGGGAATAGATATAAAATGGCACATTAATAAACATTGCTGCAACTTATATTAGCCTTCACTATTAACATGGGTATGCCATCCCACATCCATCCACACAATCCAATCCAAGTTATTAACCAGCCAGAATGGCCATCATGTGTCACAACCGATCTATTCTTAGCATACTTTATGGTGCAAGCTTTATTGTGCAACACTTTCTAACATTTCCTACTTCTTTTCGATGGATGTAAACATAACCATTACTTCAGAAGAATTAGAAAACAACAACAATAATAATAATATAAGTAGGAGTAAATAAAATTTCACACTTGATGAAAAATCAAATGTAAACTGCATACAATAGTCTGCCAAGAGCATCAATCTTATCATTTTTCATAGAGCCGGAACGACCACCACCACGTCCTCTTGATCGCTGTTTATTATCTTTAGCATCTATTTCATTCTCTCGGCTGCCCAAGCTGTGACATATTACAAATATACATTTAATTATACACTCATACAAAAAATAACAAATAAAACCTTTAGTATTAACAGCGAGAACATTCCTAACAAAAATGTCCTATCCTTGCAATTATCAAACCATAACACAAAAGAAAACTTGGAAAAGAATAAAAACCAATGGAAACAAGTAACCTTCGATAAGTATGAGCTTGGGGTGCGGGTTGTGAGCTTCCCGCTGAGCGGTTGCGTGAACTATCCATGACTCTGGATCTTCGAGATCTAGAATTCCACAGCGAACAAGTATCAACAATTCCAGGTGGAGCAGAAACACTGCGTAGAATTCGCAATCCAACACAATTCGTTGACGTCCACATATACTGTTTTAGGTGATTTCCAAAGGCTCCCTCTGTTTTGATTATTTGTAGCAGGATGAAATACTCAATATATTCTTGAACATTAAAGAAAAATTAATTAAAAGTTGCAACTAGATGGACCAAACATGAAATAAACATGCAGTAACTAGCAATAGACCAAGAATACAGATAAAATAGTCAGGCTAACCTCAACATTGCAGCAGAAAACAACATTGGTAAAAGAATTTCTTAATTGGAAGAAGACTAGGTGGGTTTCTGAAAAAAGTATATCACTTGAAATTACTATCCTCAACAATCCAACAATTAAGAATATTCAGATGAAAATTGTACAACATTATATGAATCAAATTCAAAGGTTTTTGGCAAAACAATGAACTCTTACATCTACTAATATAATCATGTGCATTCACAAGCACATACTACCAAATCACTAATGACTGTGAGCATGCAAAAAGTAAGAGAATTGCCAAAAAGCATCATGCTGTGACTTTAGCATTCTAACATCATTCCAGACTCAGAAATTTAAGAAGAATCTTCACAACTCACCATTTCTTCATTCTTACTGAGGCAAACATAAATGGAAAGCTCCCATTATTCATTTATTTGTTTATTTTTCCCTTTCGAATCAAGTAAATTAGTCGAGATTCGAGCACAACAGATGCTGGTAGAATTCTAGTAAACAACCAGGACAAAATCTCACCTACTAGAAGCCTAGAACCTCCATGAGACTGTATACCAGTGATGTACACTATTATTCAAACAATTACACCCTCGTAACAGCATATATATCTACACGGTTATACCTTCTTGCAATCAAGAAATCATTAATAAATACACCGTCTTTGATGAAAGGCAAAGGCTTCCCAATTAAGAAAATTTCGGCAATCAAATCGACTGCATCTAAGCCATTCAGCCAAAGCACACCACCAAATTCATGACCAAACCAAAAATTACTCAGCAGTCCAAATTCACAATTCCGAAAATTGGAGGTCTTTTAGGATACATATCACACGCATGCATACACACATGTATATACAAACATAATTGGGAGACGAAGAGGCCGAAGCAACTTACAAAGCCTCAGTCGAAGCCGCAGAAGAAAATGACGAAACGAAAGCCGGAGAAGAAGAATTAGGGTTGAAAAGGAGCACCGGAGTTGCAAGGTGTGTTTGTTTGACGGATTTCATCCTAATTTTTTTTAATTTTTAATTTTTAATTTGAATGTAATACTGGTAATATTGAATAATATATTATCCTATTTATTTCAATACGCTAGTTAATATTAATAATAGTAAATTATAATATTATTTTTTTTAATTTTTTTATATAATTATTAGTATATATTATAAAATATTTAGACAATATATTTAAATAATTTAAAATTATATTTTAATAAAATATATAATATAATAAATTAAAAATATATTTATTCATTGGTGATTAACATAAATTAATTATAAAAGATAAATAATTTTAAATGTAGATAAAAATATTTATTTATTAAAATATAAATAAAAATTTTTTTGAATAGTTAAATGATGAATGATTCTATATTTTATAAATTGAATTAAATTGATTTATATTTATTAAACATATTTTAAATTAGTAAAAATAAATTTACTAAACATATAAAAATAAAAAATGGTATCATTTGTTACTGAATAAAAATAATATATTTAAAAAAAATTTGTTAACCAAACATACTCTTAAAACGTATATTTTAAGTATAAAAAATTGTATCGATCTAAACAATTTTTTTTGAACAAACACTATCGTTTATATATAAAATATGTTGAATTAATGTAGGTATATATATATTGTAGTAGTATTTTTTAGAAATATTAATTTAAACTCGTGTCACAAAAAATTATTTGGTGAATAAATTCAAATTTTAAATTTATTTAGTCAAACATATATTAAATTTTAATTTAACTTAAAAATATAACTTCAACTTACCATCAAATCCACTTTTTATATCTTGGTGTACTATGAGTTTTATGATTAGAATTTGGCCTGAGTAGTCCAAGTAACTGATTTATTAATAATTAAATTAAAAGCACTAAATTTATGAAGTAATAGAAAATTCAATTCAATTCAATTTAAATTTTTTACACACACCTATATACATATATATATATATATGTAAAATATATGAAAAAATAATTTTCATATTATAAATAATCAACAATATTTTTATATTATTTCTAGAACTATATATATATATATATAAACATTTTATCCAGGTAGGGGGTTATTCCTATGAATAAAATAAATAAATAAATAAATAAAACCAATTTACAACTAAATATAGATGTATTTAATCATTGAAATTTAAAACTTTCTATACATACACACATAGCTCAATATGATACATACATATCACCTAAAATTTCTTCAGCTTAAAAATCTTGATTCAAATTTTGATCGAATAATTATCAACTCGAACATCGTCAAACCCATTAGAATTCGCGCCAATTTCTTCCGGCTCGAAAACCGTCGCGCCGCCGGCAAAGAAATCGTGCACCGCGCCACCCAGTTCGATCCAACTGCGACCCGGAATCTTGTTCACGTCCGTTTGTTTCATCGTCTCCCTAACCATTCTAACATAGTCCCAGAGCCCAGATTGCGCGTACATATTCGACAAAAGTATATAAGAACTCGAATCGATAAAACCCGTTCCAATAAGATGCTTGGCGACCGGCTCTCCAACGTTCAACCGTTCTTGATTCGTGCACGCGCTTAGCAACGTTCGCCACACCACTTTGTTCGGGCGAATCGGCATTTCCTCGATTAATTTAGTCGCGTATTCGATGAAACCGGATCTAGTGAGTACATCGACCATGCATCCGTAGTGTTCGACCTTGGGGTCGATTTTGTGAAACCTTTTCATAACTTCGAAGCAAATAAGCGCTTCTTTCACAAGCCCCGAATGCCCGCACGCGTGCAAAACAACGATGAAGGTAATATCGTCGGGTTTCACTCTACGCCTTTGCATTTCGAGAAATAAATCAAACGCCGAATCTCCCATCCCGTGAATCGCCAATCCGCCAATCATAGCGTTCCAAAGAGCAGTGCTTTTCTCCCTAACCCCTTCGAATGTATCTCTTGCTCGTTCGATGTTTCCACATTTTGCGTACATATCGATCAAAGTGACCCCAAGTTTCCCACTCGTAACAAACCCGTGTTCTTCGATGTATCGATGTATCGCCATCCCTTCCTCCATGCTACCCAACCGAGTTGCGGCCGAGAGGGCCATCAATAAAGTCACAGTATCGGGATCCAAATCGACCTCATCTCTTCCTAACATGTCGTGGAAAACCTTCAATGCCTCGTGGTAACGCCCGTTGGCTACATACCCCGCCATCATTGCGTTGCAAGAAACAACATCCCGCCGAGGCATAGCGTCGAAGAAACCTCGCGCAATGTCAATTTTTCCTGACCTGGCGTACCCGGAAACCATACTAGCCCAAGTAACAACATCCCTTTCAGACATATGATCGAACAAATCCCGAGCTATCTCCATCTTCCCATTCTTCGCGCAATGATCAATCATGAGATTCCAAGAAACTAAATCCCTTTCAGGCATTTCATCGAACAGTTTGATGGCACATTCAAAGGCACTGTCCAATTTCAAGTAGCCATTGATCATAGTGTTCCATGAAACCAAATTTTTCGTCCTCAGCGGCATTTGGTCGAACACCTTACGAGCTAAATTAACCAAACCGAATTTAACATAGCCATCGATCATCAGATTGTAACTAAACGAATCCTTTCTAGACATTCTATCAAACATCTGCCGTGCAAATCGAACGCACCCGCATTTTGTGTACAAACATATCAAGCAATTCTGCAAGAACACATCGAATCCGAACCCTAATTTCAACAGCAATCCATGAATCTGCATTCCTTCACTCAAAAGCCTCAACCGCGAGCACGATTTCAAAACTAGCGATATTGAATACTCATCGACCAAAATACCTCTCACGAGCATCAAAACCAACACCTGGAACGCATTCTCCGGCTCTTCTCCGTGCGAATACGACCTGATGATTGCATTCCACAGGAACGCATCTCGGTAATTGAATTCGAAAAAGAGGTGCCTCGCGAAGTCCACACTGGGTTTTTGCTGAGAAAGGGCAAAATCAAGGATGATTTTTGAGGTCAATGATGGGTTGTGGATGGTGCCGGTAGCGATTAAGTTCCCGTGAATTTGGTCGATTTCCCTCTGCGTCTTGCATTTGGAGGCGAATTTAAAGGCGGGGAGAGTGGAGCTCCATGGATGGATTGCCATTGCAGAAAGGAGCATGGTATTGAAGGCCTCGTAGGTGATAATCGTAGTGGAATTGTGCAGTGCAGACTGACTGCCTCCTCAGTAACGGCAACCATTAGTACAGTACGTTCAGCTATATATTTTCTAACGGTAAAATTTAGGATGTGTTTGTTGGCTATATATTTTCTAACGGTAAAATTTAGGATGTGTTTGTTGGGAGGTTTGGATTTTGAATTGAGATTTAAATAATAAAATTTTTTAATTTGGATAATTGTATATTATGATATAAATATATATTGATGTGATGTTTTGAATGTAAAATTGATTTTTAATATAATATAAAAAATAAAAAAATAAGTGTTTTGATTTGAGTGTGTGTTTATTTTTAAAAGGATAAATTGTATACTACCCTATTCTGTTTTTAGTAAAAATGTACAAAATATTTTTTATTCAAATATTTGGTTCTAAATAAAAATTTAAATTAGATCAGTTTTATACAAAATATCTTAAATAATTTTTTTTTTAAATAAAATAAATAAATAATTTATCAATAATTTATTTTATAGTATTTTTTTTAAAAAAAAAATCATATAACAATTTGTCTAAAAAACTAAAAAATTAAATATTAATCAATTATTTATTTATTCAAAAAAAATTATTTGAAAATATTTTATACTTTTTATTTGTACGTAACTTACCTAATTTAATTTTATTTTTTTAAAAATCAAACATCAGTTTTTGACAATAGAATTTTTATGTATTTTTATTAAAATACGAGAAAGTGTTATATAATTTACCAAAAACATTATCGAAAATGAACAAATAATTTAAAATTAAAATAAAATCCAAAATAAAGACACCCAAAATTATGGTGTGTTTACATAAATAGATATTGTATTAATATATTTATATTAGTAGTATATTTTTTTATAATACTATTAATAAAAATTAGTATCAATAAAAAAATTCAATATGGGAAAGATGGGACCATGGCCTGTTTTGAGAATTGATAATTCAATATTAAATAATCACATAAATAATACTCCATGATAATAATCATTAAGAATAGATCATTTTGCAGATTTTTATATCTAAAAAATATATTTTCTCATAATTTTGAAATAAAGTAATAGTTTAATACTCTCCTTAACAACAGTTATATTTATTTTTTGTGTTTTTTATTTAATATTAAAAATATTTTTATATTTGTATAATTTATTATATTTATATTATAATATATTAATAAAAATATTTTTGCTTTTTTTTTATTTGTACAAAATTTTGATATAATAATTAATATTTAAAAATCAATATATATATAAAAGTAAATGTAATTTTTATTACCGGATGGGGAGAGTATAATATTTAAATATATAATACTCCCTCATTCCAGCTACAAAGTATATATATTTCTATTTTGAAATGTTCAATTACAAAGTAATCATTTCATTAAATACCCTATTTTTTTCTGCAAATACTCTTAGAGGCTGTTTGATTCAAGGATTTGATGGGATTCCATGGGATTTGAATTTTAAATCGTATGAAATCCATGTTTGGTTAAGAAAAAGAAGGTGGAATTTAAAATGATGAGATTTGAAAAAGGGTTCTAAAATTCTACAAATAAGGGATTTTTTTTTGTAATGGGGATACCATGTTACTTTTAAATCTCATTCTTGAAATTTTAATTTTTACATTTATATCCTCTTATAAAAAAAATAATAGTATTATATTTATATAAAAAATTAAATAATTCTAACATTAATTATTATTTGATTTATATACTTAATTAAATTTATATTATTTTTTATTATACAATATTTTTTAAATAAATTAATAAATTCATTGTCGGAACTGATATTCATACCAAAAATATATTGTTAAATCCGAGATTCAAATTGGATCCGATTATACTAGATCTGACCTACACTATACCCGGTAAGACTTGATGAATCCGAAAAATCCATTTTTTTTTTACAATTCTTAAATTTTAATTTAAAATTATACATGTACCGGATCCAATGAATATTAAAATTTATGTATTTTATTAGAAAATTATTATAATAAAATAATTAATACATTCAACTCAAAAATATTTCTAATATAATTATATTATTTGAAATTATTTTTTGATATGTATGATTGATATATTATTATTATATTACTCTGATCATGATCTGGATCCAGGACTAATACTCAAATAATTGGACCCAACTTCAAATAAATAGGTCGGGCTCGGTCGGATCTCGAGTTTACGCGAATATATTGTCATCCTATAAAATTATTGATATCTTTTCAATTTATATTAATAATGAATTAGAGGTTTAATTTGTCAAAATAAATAAAATTCATGAAAGGACAACTAAGTCCTTTAGAATATAAAAAATCCAAATCCACGAAATATAAATCCCACCACATTTTACCAACCAAACATAATATGGGATTCCAAATCCTAAATATAATAAATCCTATCACATATAAATCTGTGAAATCTCAATCCCACCAAAAAAGTCAATGAACCAAACAGCCCCTTAATTTACATCAAATCATTAATTTTATACCAAAAAGTAAAGGTATATATGTCATTACACTACTTTTACCTGTCCACTATAATTAAAATACTATTATTTCTTAAATTTCGCGCCAAAGTAAATGTATATTTATTCTTTGGACAGAGGGAGTATGAATTAAATAATACTTATATATACATATTTTATTCTCAACAAAATAATTTACTCTTATTTCAATAGAAAAAGCAGTGTTTAATTTTTATTTCAAATTAAAATTATCATATTTTCACAAATTTGAATAAATAATATTTCATCTCACAAAATATTATTTAAATTTTATTTCACAAAATATTTAAAAAATAATAACAAATAATATTTCACTCAAATAATATCACAAATTCACAATCCTTAAAACATTTCAGCAATTTCTATTAACTAACAATGAAAATTTCACTATGCTATTCTCTAAAATATTAGGACTTTGTTCGGTTATGATTTAAAATTGATTGAAAATGAAATGATGATTTAATTAAATAATATTTTGATGTAATATTTTGTGAGAGTCAATAATATATTTTTATTTAAAATTGTGCGGAATGAATAATATTGATTTTGATTTTGATTTGAAATATTTTTTAAAAAAACAAAAGTACCCAATTTATATATTCTTAAAAAGAATTGAAAGATAAACTCTTGAAAAAAAAAAAAGAAAAAAAGAAAGACATAAGTAAACAACTCCAATTTTCCAATATTCCATGTAAATGCATAAGTGATAAGAGATGTGTTTGTTGGTATTTTTTGTATTATTTCAGCTTTAAACTAATTTTTCTTTTTATAAAAAATATCATATCTAAAATTATTTTATACCGAAATTAAAATTCTTAAATTATATTGTATTCTCTTGTAGATTTCTAGATATTGTGACTATTCATATAATTTTTTTTCTCAAAAATATCAAATTAAATACATATACTATTTTTATATTATATTAAAATTAATTTATATTTAAAATATAATATCAACACATATTTATATTGTACCAAATAATTATTAAAAATAAAAATCCAAAATTCAAATCTATGGACTAATAAACACTTGTGTGTATATATATACTTTCTAAGTACACGGAAAAAGTATTCTATATATATATATATATTAGTTAATGGTACTTTTGATATATAAAAATCTATCTTTTTTTTTAAAGATAAATCAATATAAAAAAAATTAAAATTAATATATTTTTTTTATCGGACACTAAATATTAATTTTGAGAGTATTTGTAATACGTAGTATTATATCAATATAGACTAAAGATATAAATAAATATTTTAAATTTAGACGATCATAAATAGCAAAAATAAATCTTTTGTCAAAAAATTTAAAATTTAAAATTCTATATTTTTTTTATTATTATTAGTTTAATCTCCAAATTGATTAGGTTAGGCTATAAATAGTTGTAGCATAGGGATGCCCAATATCCTCCCCCTACACAACTATATATATATATATATATATATTACTACTACTATTATTTGGCATTTCATTCTATCTTTTCTCACCCCTCATAATCAAAATATATTTAGAATGCTACCATTTGAAACCATTCAAGAAGCAAAATTGTTCTTGGGAAGAAACTTGACTTATGGAGAGATCTTATGGTTCGAATATTCGGCCCGAAAATTCGATTACTTTCTCTACTGCCACAACACGATATTTTTGTTCGTGTTCTACTCGTTATTGCCGTTGCCGTACATGGCGTTGGAGCTAGCACGGTCGACGAAAATCGACCGGTTCAAGATTCAGCCCAAAGTTAGCAACACATTAAATGAAATGGTGAAGTGCTATAAGAAAGTTATGTTCACTTTTGTGTTTGCTGTTGTCCCTTTGCAAATCTTCTCTTACCCTCTCGTTAAGGTAATCCATCTATCTTTCTATCTCACTGCATATTTTTGAGTTTTTTTTTCGATCTTTTTGTGTTTTATACCTACTCATTTATTATTTTTATACGTATTTCTTGAAGTTTTAAGAGTTTACAAAAATTTGTGAGGTAAACCTGTAGGATTTGTTTAAGTTTAGTTTTGAAAATAATATAAATTGAATAAAGAAAATAAGTTCCGGGTGATGATGAATAACTATTTTACTTAAAAATTTAAATTTTTAAAAAATATATATGCTATAAAAAAATGTAATATAAATATATATGTATGTATATATATTAAGAGAAGAATAGTTTTAATAGTGCAATAAATGGTCTTTTGATGTTTTTGATCCATTAATTTGAATCACGCATTAGTTATATATTTTGTTATTTATCGATACTTATTATACGCTATCTAATATAGTATCGTTGAAATTGCACATATTCCAAGTTGATGTTAAGAGGTCGTATTACCACATGTGTCGAAATATTAAAATTATATTGACTATGAGTTTACTTTAATTTCACTTCGGCTTCAATTTAATTGCTATTTTTTGTTTTGGTATAGCTTAATTTTGGGTAAACTATTTTTTTGTCCCGTAACTGGACCTTTTTATAAGTAGAACTTGTAGCAAACTAGTTCCATAAATGAAGTTTTTTTCGCTGTTTTAGTCCTCCGGCGCCGGAGATGCCCGCGTGGCTCGCCGGAGGCCACATGTCAGCCAAGTCAGCGACACCTGACGGACACGTGAATTTTATTTTGTTTTTTTATTTTTTTTTAAATTTATTTATTTGGTCCAATTAAAAAAATTTAAAAATTAAAAAAAATAAAAAATAAAATAAAATCCACATGTGCGTCAGGTGTCGCTGACCTGGCAGGACACTTGGCTTCCGGCGAGCCACGGGGGCGTCTCCGGCGCCAGAGGATTAAAACAACGAAAATTTTTCACTTATTAGACTAGTTTGCGACAGACTCCACTTACGGGACTAAAATATAAATAAGTCAAATTACGGGACTGAAAAAACAGTTTACCCTTTAATTTTTAAAACGTATAATTGTTATAGTTCTTTTTTTACCTATATTTTTATTTATTTTTGTTTAAGAATAGATTCACAAAATGGTATTTATTAGAGAAAATTTATGTGTAAGTAAAAAAAAAAAAAAATGCAAAGAAAATTTGGCACATTCTAAATTGTAAATAATATTGTATCCGTCCAAGATAATATAACGAGTACTGTAAAAACAAGAATTTATTGAGAAATATAATTATAAATAATTAAAATATATTAATAAAATAATTATGATACAATATAAATAAATATAAATTAAAATTAAAATAATAATTAGTATAATTAAAATTCTAAATTATAAAATATAAAATATAAATAAGTATGTAATAATTTTCTAAATGAAATAACATACAATTTGATGACATAATATGTGAGACGATTAAAATAGTAAAAAATGAAGGTGTAACGTAGTGGGAAAACTCTAACCAAAATAAATGTTTGCGTAGTATATTTTACATTAAAATATATTGGGCTAAATTTCACAAAATTTACAAATCATCTGTACTTGAGTCAAACTCCTCGGGATTTCATAATCTCTGCGTTGTCCTTATTTAACGGTATTTGACCTAAATGCGTCCAAACTGCAAATAAATTTTAGAATCTCAATTTTTAAACCCTTAAAATTACAAATATATTTATTTTTCTTATACTTAACTTCAAAAAATAGTAAAAGTAAACTCTTAAAATCTGAGAAAAATAACCAATTTTGAGTATATTTACTATTTTTTTAGGCTAAATATATATATATATATATAAATGAATATGTTTATAATTTTAGGGGTTTAGAAATTAAGATTCTAAAATTTATTCGCAGTTTGGACGCATTTAGGTCAAATACCGTTAAAGAAAGACTGTCAAGGGGTTAAAGACAGAGTTCATGAAATCACGAGAAAGTTTAACGTAGTTTTAGAGGTATAGGAAATTTAGTACAATTTCAAAAAATCACAGTAGATTTTGTGCAATTTAGTCAATTTATTATAAAGTAAATATTTCAAATAATAATAATAATTTAATATTTTAATCTTATAAATTATTTTATTTTATTTTAATTTAATATGAAATTTAAGTAATGAAAAATGTTTGAAAATGAATTATTGTTGTTTGAAATAATTAAAAAAACTAATGGAACATGGTTGTTGAATGTCATTCTAAACAGTAATGTGGTATTTTTTTGTGTAATTTTTTTTTTTCTTGTCCATTAATTTTAATTTGTATATTTAAATATTGACATTGATGGAAATAAATGTAATTCTAAAAATATCCATATTTAGTGTGGTTAAGCTTATATAAAGATTGTATTTGGACAAATAAAAATTATAAAATATAATTTTATTTAGTGGACGAAAATATTATTAAAAAAGATATATATATATTATATGTATAATATATTCATTCAGAAAAGTCAACGTTCATTACAAAATATTATTTATGTATCGACATAATTTTTAATATCTAATTTAAAAAATAAAATAAATTTATCCCTACAAACAAAGAAACACATCCATTGTATCTTACAAATTATATAGTAAATAAATTGAGAAATTTGCAAAGTGACTAGAGCCTTCATTTTTGTGGTCCTTTTTATCAATTAATTAATGAAAAATGGTCCATGAACATATCCTCCATTTATCTTTATAATAAACTTTTATATTACTAATTTGTAATAGGGTAAACGTTTTTTTTTTCGTAACTAAACCCTCTGTAAGTAGAACATGTCGCAAACTAATCCCATAAGTAAAATTTTTTCACTGTTTTAATTATCTGGCGCCGGAAACGCCCGCGTGGCTCGCCAGAGGCCACGTATCTGTCAGGTCAGCGACATCTTATGGACACGTGAATTTTTATTTTTTATTTTTTATTTTTTATTTTTTAAAAAATTATTTTTAATTTAATTTTAATTCTATTTATTTGATCCAATTAAAAAAAGTTTAAAAAATAAAAAATAAAATCTACGTGTCCGCCAGGTGTCGCTGACCTGGCAGACACGTGGCTTCCGTCGAGCCACGTGGGCGTCTCCGGCGCCGGAGGACTAAAACAACGAAAATTTTTCACTTATGGGACTAGTTTGCGACAAACTTCACTTACAAAATTAAAATGACAAGGGGTCCAGTTACGAGACTAAAAAAACAGTTTACCCTTTATAATAAACAAAGGAACATGTGCTTACATTTTTATGTTGATTCAGTCAAATTAGTATAGTGTTAATTTAACTCGATCATATAAATTAATAAGATGAATAATACATATTTTACAGTATACGATTGGGTGCGTTTGTTTGGGGATTTGGATTTTGAGTTGGGATTTGAATAGTAAAAATTTTGAATTTGAATAGATGTATGATGTGATATAAATAGGTGTTGATGTGATATTTTGAATGTAAAATTTATTTTTAGTATAATATAAAAAATGAAAAATAGGTGTTTGATTTGATATTTTTGGGAGAAAAAAATTGGATAAATCGTGTAAATCCAATCCAATCACCAAAACAAACACACCCATTAATATATATTTAAAATGTTGTGTAATTTGATATAGTATAATATATTATTAAGTTATTGACTATATCGTCATTGAAATCACCACCAAAGATGTGTTTGTTTAAATATTATTTTTCAATTTGTATGACAACTAAAAATAAAAATACTTTTAGATGATAACTAAAAAATTAGAACGAATCTTTGGAGTACAAATGAAGTGTTACATGCGTAAGTATTGAGTTATATATATAAATACTAATAAGAAAAAATAGAGAAATATTTAATGCTACTATTATATAATTTCAAAGTTGTGTTACTATTCATTCTAAACAATTAACACATGAGTTGATTCAATTATAAGTTTGAGAATTTGAAAACATAAAATTATATTATTATTTGCTTTGATTTTTATTTTTTTTCAATATATTTATATTTAGTTAATTTTTACAATTTTTTATAAAATTATATTATTCATTCCGTAAAGGTTGGATGATGCATAGTATTTTGAATATGAAATATTTTTTAGTTTAATATTTTTAAATAATAAAATTTGATAAATAATAGTACAAAAATAGAACTAGGAAAAAGTAAACTAAGCATTACTTAGTATTAGTTTTATAACTTTCCAACTTTCCAAGACCATGCAAAATTTAGATGTGAAATATGATGAGAATACTCGTAATCAAGCAGAGGCGGAACCAGACCGGGATGAGAGGGGGGCTAATTTTTCAAATTTCGAAACAATCATCATCTATTTGTTATCCAATAATTTTATCAATGAAATTATCATATTTCGAAAATCTTACAAAATATCAATATGCAGTGACAACTGCATATTACCGGATGAATTTTGTATTATATGAAATTAATAAATAGTAAAAACATTTATTAAAAAAAATAGCTCTTAAAAATATCATTTCCTATGTATTTGGTTGAAAATATTTTGAAGATTTTTTTTTTAATTATTGTTTATTATTTTTTTGTTCATATCTATTTTTATAGCATCAAACGAGTATTATGATATAAATTTTTTTATTATTCAAAATTTAAATTTTCACATAAATACTCTATTAATTTTTAGCAATTTTTTTTAATTTGTTTATTATTTTTATATTATATATTATAAAATAAAAACAAAAAATTAAAAATTAAAAGGGATGGGGTGGGGGAGGGGGACTGGAGCCCCCTTTGCCCCCACATACATCTGCCTCTGTAATCAAGTATTCATAAATGAACTCGTAATTTTGAGATTATAGTTTGAATCCATACATGAACTCGTAATTTTGAAGTCATAATTTAAATCCGATGCTTTAAAGTTTTGTCTTTCATATATAGTTCATTTAGCGTAACTTATCTTGTCAAATCTAATTTGCAAACTATTAGATTCAGCTGCAATCATAGCTAATGATCTTTAATGACATATTTAGCAATTAGCATTTATAGAGAAAATACATGATTTTTGTAACTACAGTGTATGCATTATACTTCATCTGTAATAAACAAAAAAGTACTTTTACGTATCTTATTTATCAGTCATAAAAAATAGGCCATTTTATTATTTTTAACCAAAATTTCTATTTTTCCTAACAAAAAGTACATTACATTAAAATTCGTACACAAACCAAATGAATTTATTTTTACACGGCGAAGAAAGTAACAAATAAATTTTAAATACATATATATTATGGTAGATGATTGGAATCCGAACAAGCTTACCGCTACCCACGGCGGCAGAGATGGCGGCGCAGCTGGCGGTGTACTTTTTAGCTGAGGACTACGCCAACTATTGGTTGCACCGGATGCTCCACACTAAGTGGGGGTTCGACCACGTCCACTACCTACACCACGAGTACACCGCCCCGATGGGGTTGGCGGCGCCGTACGCGCATTGGTGCGAGATTATCGTTCTCGGCCTCGCCTCCTTTGTCGGGCCGGCGATCGCCCCTGGCCATATGATTACTTTCTGGTTGTGGATGATCCTTCGCCAAATGGAGGCCATCGACACCCATAGCGGTTACGACTTCCCGTGGAACCCCTTAAAGCTCGTCCCCTTTTACGGCGGCGCCGACTTCCACGACTATCACCACTTTGTCGGCCGGAGTTGCCAGAGCAACTTCGCCTCCATTTTCACTTATTGTGACTATATTTACGGCACTGATAAGGTATGTCAATGATCGTTGATTTTTTATATAACGATTTATTAAAATAAAAAATAAAAATTGATATGATAGTAAAAATAAATAAAGTATCAATAGAAAAAAAAATTATACTACAATTTTCAATATAGGGAAAATCAATATGATTCAGTATGATATAATATAGAAAGTATAACATCTAAGTATCAATATTATATTTTAAAAAAAAAAAAAATCTATTTTAATATTTTTCTCCTATTTACTTTAATTCAAATTTTTATTATTTCAAAAATAACTAAAAAAAACAACACATTGTCAACTCAATCTTTTTAGTTTGATTATTATTAGAAAGTAAAATATCGGCACATTTAATTGACTTAAAAAAATAATAATAAATGAACCTTTAATTAATTGTATTTTTAAATATATTTCAGGGATATCGGTACCAAAAGGAGATCACGAAAAAGGTACGAGTATGTTTGTATAATATTTTTAATTTAAAATATATTTTTATGTTAAATATAAATTTTATTGATAATATAAAAATAAGATTATGTCCATCCACAAAATATATATTCATTTGAGCCGAATACATATCTTAATTAATATAATATTATATTAATTGATTGTAATATAAATAAAATTATTTTAGAAAGTATACGCGTGAAGTTAATGAAATTAAAGATTTATATATGTATATATATATAATTTGAGTTTGTAAATAATTATAACATATTTGTAGATAAATGTAACATTCAAATGTACAAATTAATGCCTAAGAGTTATTTATCAACGAAAAGTTTATATTTTTTGTGAAAACAATAAAAAATAACATATATTTATTGAACTTGAATTATTTATTTTTTTTATGAATAGATATAATATATATTAGATATATATATATATATATTTACAATATAATAGAAAAGCATATCAAAATATGTTTGGATGAACATTCTTTCTCTACATATATATTCAAATTTAGAGCTATACATAAATTTCAGCATGAAAATTTTGTTTGGTTGTGTTTTTCCATACTTTTAATATACATATATTATCATCTATTTTTCTTTTAATAAAAAAGCACATGATATATTTATTTTTAATTCAATATGTTACACACAATTTATTTATATTAAAAAATATGGTATTAACTATATATATTTATATCATAAGCAGATATTCCTATATTTTGTAGTAATAGCTTCTTAATATATGTTAGCTGTTATGTGTTTTATTATGTATTTTTAGGGTAAAGAAAGTGATAATTTAAATTTATCCCTTTGTTTATTTATTTAGTTTTTATGCCGTGCATTTTATTTATTTATTTATTTTTATGCAGATTAGGAACAAAGACAAGGAACAGTGAATTTCAATTGCTTAAAAAAATATTCAAGAAATCTGAATATGTATTGATTATGTAGAAAATATTGCAAATTTTAGGCATATTATTATGGTCAATTATTAATTTTATTATATATGTAATGCTCATGGGTTATGTATTGTCATGTGTTTTTTCATAAATTCACTTTTATTGTGGAGGAAAAAAGACAAATATATAATAAAAAATATGAAAATACAATTTGATTAAATATTCAAACGAATCTTGATATATATATATATATATTTATAATATCAAATTAAAATATTAATTTAGTTAAACATAAAAAATCTAAACCAAAGTTCAAATAAAGTCGATACACTTATTATTTTCAGGCTAAGAACCTGAAAAAAAAAACATAATCTAAGTTAAATAGGGGCAGCTATAGACATCATTTTGGCTGCCTCAACATTTAATTACGTTTGGCAGTGATGAATGATATTGATTTGATTACTTAGTGTTGTAGGAAAATCAATGTTCTATTTTCGGATAAATAATAGTTCTACAGACACCAGCTTTGCATTTATTTTTTTTCTTTCAAAAAAATATAAAAAAGTATCGATCTAGGCCGACTAAATATAATTTTGTTATCGTCAAGTCATTCAAATCGGCCCAAACTTTGCAGATGAAATAACCAATGTTCCTTATTCAACGGCCACTCGATAGTATATTAGATTTAGTACCGTCTAAAAGAATGTCAACTCAATAAAATGAGAAATAACTCAACTTAATCGAGTAGCTTGCGAGCCAAGCTCGACTTGGCTCATTAAAAGCTCGACTCGGCTTGTTTCATTTGTAGAGATAAATGAATTGAGTTCGAGCTCAACTCTAATAATTTTTTTTACAAATGAGCTAAGCTCGAGCTCGGCTCACGAATAGCACAATTGAGCTCGGTAGTTAATATATTTATATATTAATATAAAATATATAATTTTTTATATTGAATATCTTATTATAAAAAATTATGAATAAAATTAAATATATTTAATTTATATATTAAAAAATATATAAAATATGTATAAAATTCAAACCGAGCTCGAGTTCAAGCCTCACGCTGAGGTCAAACTTGAATTTAAGCCTAACGAGCCGAGCTCAAGGCAGTATTTTGGCTCGAACTCTTAACGAGCCGAGCCGAGCCGAACCTGTACCATTAACAAGTTCGAATCGAGTTCAAACAACCAATACTCGAACTCGTTCGGTTTGTTTAACAGCTCTACCTTATTATACCAAACAAAGCCTTCACACAAATATTTACCAAGAGACCTCTCTTAAAAATTATTTTAACATACAAATCAAACATTTATTTTCATCTAAAATCATAGCTACTAAAACCACTAGATAAAAATACCAAACAACACTCGAATCAGGATACTCTCAATACATTTGCCGCAAGGTTCGACAAACATTTTATTACAAACAAACAAGCAGGTTTAATACAATTCTCCCATGAGAACCAGCACAGCTTGGTTTCTCACACGATTTATTCAACACACAGACACATATATGTATGTATATACATACATATAATAAGCAAACATACAAACAGTCTTATTACAACACTACCATGAGAACCACCATAGCTTGGTTTCTCACAAGATTTATTCCGCACAGACACAGACAGATATATGTATGCATATAGTATATACACACATACATAAATTGAACATATACCTTTTACTCGGGCGGGAGGAAATAGCCAGTCCTGGTGCAACTCTCGACTGCGCCATCGTACATTTCTTCAAGCCCATAGTTGTAAGCGAACCCCAAATCAGAAAGCTTTCTTGTCGAAAGTGTATAGCCTCTCGCATATCCCAAACACCTGCACCACCGATTTCTACCTTCAGTAAAATGATACGACAACAAAAACACTGAAATGAAAACAAAATTGGACAATGACTTACTTAACAGGAGGCGTTGCGATTATGCTTTCAGGATACCTGTAGCAAAGAAATTCATAGAGCTCACCGGCTGAAGTTTCGACAGCAGAGCAAATGTACCTCCCAGATGCTGAGGGGGTCTCCAGGAGAAAGATGTGAGCCCTTGCCACGTCATCTACGTGCACAATATCAACCAATGATATATACTTGTACTGGCGCCGATCCCCTGCACCATTTCAGAAAAATTGATAGCTTCAACCAAAGCAGCAATATGAAAGAATTTTAATGTTTAGGCCCTTGAAATGGATTTGAGGACACAAACATAAGTAATTAATCATCCTTAAGTGGAAGTTTTGTTAAGAACTTACGGAAAAGCATAGACATCAAGGTATACACGGAGCCAGGGCATGTGGGGGTAAGGAAGGGGCCGTGTATCCAGCTGGGGAGGACACTGACAAATCCCATCCCATTTCGCTCGGCAAATCTTTGGGCAGTCAATTCTGTGTAAGCTTTGGCAGCTGTGTACTTAGCAAGTGAAAGCTGCGATAAATAAGCTACAGACAGTTTACACAGTGTATTTTCATCCACGACGCCTGAATACTCGTTACCAAACATCACAGTGATTGCTGCTGATGTGTACACAACTCGTTTCACTGTTTCAGCATCGACACAGCATCGCAGAATCCCTAATGTAGCATAGGCAGTCTGTTCGCACACCTCCTCCACAGTCAATGTTTCATCAGCGACCGTTGGATGAGCAACCAGAAAGACTCCGAAACACCCATCAACTGCTGCTCGAAAACTTTCTGGATGGTCCATGTCTGCCTCATAAATCGTAAGCCTTTCTCGTGCACCTGGTAGACTTCTGAGAAAGCTCACATCCACACCTGGTAGACACTAGAAAAGTGAGTGCTGAAACCAGAAAAAGAAGCAAAATTAAGAAAATCAAAAGGAAGGCAAGAATATGCAGTCGTAATTTCTCTGTCCTCTGTACCAAAATATTGTTGTCCGGTTGAGCAGAAAGAATCCTCTTCTAGGGCCCGTTTCCCAGTGAAAAGGAGGTTGCGAAGTAATCCATATCCCCAGTTAGACATCATTCCTGCATATATATCAAAATTAGAATCGCCATTCCAGCAGCCCATCCAATCTGGCACTACACACCACCCGGCTTGCTAAACTATGAATCGCATCTAATCATAGCCACAGATTATTTGAAACCACAGCATATTTCTTCATTCAAATTCATTGAAATATTGCAATAGAACTTCAAGGGGATGAAATATTTTAAAAGAGGCTAACCTTGATGAGATCTCACAGTTGTGTTGACTGAGTAACCTCTTTCAAGAAGCCTCTGTATCATCCAAGATGCCAGATAGCCTGTTCCTCCTGTCACACACACTTTCCCGAACTCCATCGCAATCCCTTTCCCTTTATCCGCTCTTGAACTGCTCATCACCATCGGAGAGTCTTTTCAATCCCTCTTCTCAAATTACAATGGTAGGTGAAAAGAAGAGGGCTGGGTTTTATACTATAGACGGTTAGTCTTTCGTCGAAAACACGTCATTGCTCTGCACATCACGTGATTGCTCTGCACATCACGTGCCAAAACTTTTAATGCATATGACGTCGCGCATGAATGAAACGGATGGTCGCAGTCGGTCACATCAATAACGTGCATCCAGAAACGCCTAATAAATGATGGTGGTTGGATTACCTCTCTATTTACTCGCTTCTTCAATGATAAAAACTGAATACATTGAATGTATCGACTTATGAAACAAGAGGTGTGTTTGGTTTGCATTTCAAACCAAAATCACCACTATTCAGCACGGTTCTAATAAAAAATCACTATTTCTTCTCACAAAATATCATATAAAAATACTATTTAAACCAAAACTCAAATCAACACTACAATTTCAAATCAAAATCAAACAAAGATAAAAGGAAAGATAAGTTAATAAGATTAAGCAAGCCTAAAAAGCCATACAATCATAAAGGATCCTTGCTTTCACAAAAATATGATAATATGTTACTAAGAAACCACTATCACATTATGAAAGCCACTTATTATTGCCTTTCCCATGGTTCTTTTACTCAATTCTTACTTGGATATATATCTTCAAGTACCAAAACATATAGCTTAATTTTGGTTAGCATTATTCAGAAAGAAGAAAGTGAGTGTTTTCTATATATGTACTACACTAGTGTGGGCATGCATGCATAATATTAGGTTATGATTGAATATCATGATATTATGCAAGAATTGGAATTAAAATGTAACATACACGGATTCGTATATCGCCTAAATTGAGAATGTTTTGTAGATTTAAAAAAGCAATGGGTATGTTCTTTTAACAATTTTTTTTCCGTGTCTTTACAATACAATTCCTACGCTCCCAAAGAGAAACACTATTCCTTAACCCAAAATACCATACTACTATAGAAACACAAACGAATTACACCCAATGATTATACTTTTAATATTTCTATATATATATATAGAAGATAAAACAATATAAGGCTTGTTTGTTTGCTTGCTGCTAAAATTGTAGGGGTTGTAATTTCATAAAAAAAAAAAAATACTTTCCCCACAAAGGCACAAACTGACCTTGCGGAAAATAACATGAAGAAATGATGGTGACTCAACATGACTATATGAGGATTCCATGAGACGGAGCATCTCATCTCCAATAATAATCAAGCATCAAGATTCAAGACCACGCCTGTAATGCTGAAACACTTTATCAGGTAGTTTCCATAGCAATAAAGTCTCTTCAAGGTAGGATACCCAAAGAAAAATATCTCAAACCACAGTTAAAAAGAAGCCTCTTTGAGAACACAGAGCCCGACATGACACATTTCCGTGTTCAACTGCTCTTCTTCAACTTCAAACGCATAACTAGTTTCTTTCAGATTTTCAATGGACTTCATATGTTTGGTATTGATTCCATCTACCCTTCAGCTTTGTGGTTTGACCCCAAAATATCTTTTCTATCATAGATTTTCACAATAACATAACTCAAACCTCATTCAAAGAATTTCCTAGCAGGAGCATTGATGAATGTACCCTCCAGACAGCCTTATCAATCAAAAACTGAAATGAGCAATCAACCACAGGGTAGATCACCCCATTCCAAGCCAAACCTGTCCATGACCCAAGACAATTTCTAGATAAGATTCTGAACAATCCTAGAAATCAACTCAAACCATGATTAGCATCTTTGTAGATGAGTATTCTAATATCATCACATATCATGACAATCTAAAGACTTCATCACAATTGATTAGTGTTGTTTCCAAGACATGTAATGACCAAAAATGTTTATCTTCCAAGACATGTAATGACCAAAAATATTTCATCGAGAGGGAGGTCTCTATATTTTGGATTGTTAAACAATTGATTGTCCTAGCATTTGCACACCATTTAAGAGTTGGTATCCTCTTGGTCATCCTTTATATCCTTGCTGAAACAGTTATGTCTTGATTCCGATAAAATTATGACTTCAGATTGTGAGTCGTGTCAGTATACTAAAGCATCCTTCGGTTCCTTGACTACCCAATTATGAATTTTAAGTCACAAGATTTAAAATCTAATTATATCCTTTCTTCAAGATCTAAAAAAATTTTAAGTTAAGCATGCAGGGAAATTTACGGGCCATCTTTACTTCCTCTGTAATTTACATATTTTCTTCAATGACTATATATCATAAATTAAATTGTGAAGTTAGCAATACTCTATCTATATAGTTATATTCCATCTATAAATTTAAGCATAACCATGTACAAGGAATTTAAACCTCAATATAATGGTGTGAATACTAGTAAAACAATTAACAAGAATGCTATTAATATTATGATACATATCAAATCAGGTCCATCAGGAAAAACCCAATATCATCATATAATTTGATCCTTACTGGAAAATAAAGTAGTTTTTCTATTAAAATTTTTAGATATATGTATCCAAACCCCTCCATCTAAATTATGAAATTGGAATGTAACAATATGCCACATATGGTGGCAGATTTGTCCCTTATCTTAAAAGTAAAATTGGATATACCAAAGAACCGGAATTTTAGTACATCAAACAAGACATTACTGAATTACAATTTCCTTAAATTTCATACTACTAACTTATGACTTGCAGTCTTAATTAGTTAAATTGAGCTACATTTTTCGACTAGAATGATAATTCAACTGGGAAATTTTTCAAAGCATACTACAGATCAGACAAAAGACTTTTACCATGCTTTCATGCTAATGATGTCAATTTTACATAAATAAGAATCCTCTGCAAGGAGAACTTACCAATTAAACACAACTCATGGGATGTTTCCGGCTATCTATCTGGCTAAGAAGCCTGGAATTCAAGCAATTTGGCACATGCATTGCATGTGAATTTCGAAAAGGCCAAACCTAGATTGCATATACGGTCAATAGATGAAGAAGTTTGTATCAAAATAAAAAAGAATACACAAACAGCAGTCCACAAAAATATGCTGAGATTAAACAATGATGGTTGACGGAGTGAGTGCTACCACATTAACATTAAAATGTGTAGGCAGTCAAAGAAAATGTACACATAATATGAAATATTGGCACTTTCTGTTGTTTATAGTTGGAAGTAGTAACCGATACTTAAAATTAGAGCAACATAAGATAGAGGGCTTCTGTTTTGAGGTCTCTAATGATATGTTTCCAATGTATCGTATCACACAGTATGCCAGAGGTCACAATACTTGCAACCTTTGATGCATCATGTTTTTAGATTGGCAGTTAATACAATGCCAGTATGCTAAACTAAATGATATGTAGTAATAAATTGGCTCCAGGTTTTTTTTAATGGAATCACTTCACATAACTCATGCATAAATGGAATATGGAGAAGAATAAGAAGTCATTTATGTGGATTTATCATAGATGTACATCAAGCGCACAAGTTTTAAATCAAAGGCAAAGTTTCAAAAAGTGAAGAAAGATGAAAGCAAAGAATTATAATTCTTTTGAGAACTCAACAATACCGTGATGTATAAGATCATTCTCAAAAAGGAAAACGAGAATTAACTTGATGATTTATTGCTCTTAATTGAGCATCAGCAGGCAAAGTGGGTTCTGAGAATACCTCTCTTCATAATACTGAGAAAAGAACAATGTAAACAATTTCAATGTTACTCACAGTTGTCAATCTTGGATAGCATTGCATAGCGAGCAACCTCTAAAAGGCTATAGCGGGTCAACAGATAGTGGGATGACCACTATTTAAAAATTTTAAGAACATACGTATAAAAATTATTATATATACAAAATTACAATAAAAATATATAAGAAAAATTCATAAATAATCTCATAATTATCATTCAAACCAATAAAATTGCAAAAAATATATAGTCAGTTCATAGATAGTTATAAGAAAAAAATTACACTACAATTACTTTGATAGATAGATAATCAAAGTTAATCAGGTTCAAAATTTGATAAATAATTTTTTCCGCCAGTTTTCATCATCTCACTACTACTCTCGTATAAATTTTCTTAATGTTCTTCTTTTTTGCCATTTTCGTTTATTTTTTTTTGTGTATCTTTGTCAGATTGCACAATGTTTTTTTCCTTTTTAGAACTTAGAGGTAGCTATAGTATAGTCTAAATTTAACAAACAACAGATATAATACTATATTATAAAATCTAATTATCTAAATCTACTTATAATAAAAATTATAATATATTATTCAATTTAAAAAGGACTCCACCGCTCCGCTACAAGCCACCATGCTGCGATTGCGTAAAAGCAGAATTGCATAACAGTGGTAGCGGCAGACTGCCGCTCCACTACACTGTTGTTAGCGCACTATTGAAAGCTATGCTTTACCCCTATGTTGTTTCCAACAACAATTGGAATTGAGCATAGCACAGTAACAGAGTCTACAAACAACATGATAGCCTATCAGTAAAATTGCATATGAGTTGGAAACAATGACATCCCAATCAGCAGAAACAGGGACACAGCGGATAGGATTCATCCTCTCAAACTCTTTAATGCAACTCCTGTGAGAGTTCATATCATACCAAAACAATACAAAAGGCTCACCTAGCAAGCGTATTGGCATGGTTTCAAATGCTGTCAACATTGCTAGTAACTTAGAAACTCTAGTTTAGGTTCAAAATTTCAAGCGCAAGAATAAAAAACAACACAACTTTCATCAAATCTCTGCCTGATATATCTATTGCATTTGACTCTTACAAGTCATGATCAAATTAAGGGGGGAAAAAATCCTGAAAAAAAGAGGCGCACTTTGCAGGAATTATTGCAGAAAAATAGTACCAGTTGTATTTCACAACATGCATTCAGGAAACACAAGTACAACTACTAGGACAGTGAAGACGCAAATTAAATAGGAACCTGGAGTAAGAAAGCCCTAAGAACCAGCACAAAAGTCGCATTCAATCAAAACACAAAAAGTTAGGGCATAAAAAACGAAGACGAACAAAATCGGGGTAGACGTTGAATGATTAACCAACCTTCCTTCCAGATTGATAGCAACGCAAGCGGCGCGAACATCTATATAATCCTGCATGAAATCAATCAACCAATATTCAATCACATCAAATCAGTTGAAGAACTAGTTCAACAAACAAAGTTCGGTGAATAATAAACAAGAAAATCTTACTGCGCTGTGGATTCCATCCGTCCGTCCATCAATTTCCGGCGCCGCGCTTTTAGTCGATGAAAGGCGGTCGGTCGGTCGGTCGGTCACCTGGAAAGGGCAAAATGAAGGCAGGGCTATGGCAACAGTAACAGTAACACACATGATATGTGTGGGTCTGTGGAAATAAAATAAATAAATAAATTCAAAGAAATGGTCAAAGAGAGAGAACTTCCCACACGGTCGCGCCCAACACACGTGCTACATATACATATATACATATATATATTACACACTAGCAGACTTGCAATTGCAGGCATATCCAGAGAGAGAAAGGAGGAAAGGAGGAGAGAGAGAGAGAGAGAGAGAGAGCGAGAGAGAGAGAGAGAGAGCATATGGCTTCTTCCATGGCAAGCAGCAGCAGCATTGGTTATTATTTCTACAAAAGACAATATCCCAAATCATTCTCCAAGATTTCTTCTAATTTTCAACCTCACAACAACGATAATCGCCAGAATCGTCACGAACCCACCCCACCCTCACAGGGTCGCAGGTACCCCTACCCAATTTCATATCTAACTGATACAATGCTGTGCGTTTCTTCTTCTTCTTCTTCTTCTTCTTCTTCTTCTTCTTCTTCTATCTCTAATTCTTTTTCTGCATATTATATGTGTTTGTTTTTAGAGAGATAATCTTGAGGAGCAGTGAAGTTGCTGTTCTTGCTGCCATTTTCCACTTCAGGTATAATACATATTGATTGAATAATTTGGACCTCATAGTTCATCGTCCTCGTCCTTATCCATATAAATCGATAGATAAATTCTAAATCTAAGAAATAATAATGGGGTGGGGTGCAGTGGAAGAAAACCAGATTATTTGGGTGTCCAGAAAAGCAACCCTCCAGGATTGGCCCTCTGCCCAGCCACCAACAACTGTGTTTCCACCTCTGAGAACATCACTGATCTCGCCCACTATGCTCCTCCATGGTACTAATCTTCATCTTAATCTCTAATCTTAATCTAATCTTACTCACAATATTTACTAATTAATAGGAATTATAATCCTGAAGAGGGCCGTGGAGCTAGTAAACCAGTCACCCAACAACAAGCCATGGAAGAGTTGCTTCAAGTGGTACACTCTCTGTCTCTCTCTCTCTCTATATATATAGCAATTAGCAAGACAAGATCAAGTATGTAACTTTGTAGCTCGTCAATTCAATACTAAATGATTTTAACATGATTAAAATGATATTTTTTGCAGATAAGATCGACGAAACCAGACAACTACACACCAAAAATTACCGAGAAAAAAGACAAATACGTTCGAGTGGAATACGAGAGCCCAATCTTAGGGGTAATTTAATGCTAAATACTACATTGCTACAAGTATATAGCATCTTTCTATCTTCCATTGTCTTTCATTTTAAACATTTGTTCATAATAATAATCAACCTGCAGTTTGTCGATGACGTCGAGTTTTGGTTTCCCCCGGGCAAGAAATCCACAGTGCAGTATCGATCAGCCTCGAGGATAGGCAGTTTTGACTTCGACATAAACAGAAAGAGGATCAAGGTATTGAAACCATTGTTGGAAAAACTCGAAAATGTAGGTTATGGTTTATTGAAGAAATATGTGAATTTTGGGTGCAGGCATTGAGGGAGGCACTTGAGAAGAAGGGATGGGCTTCAGAGAATAGCTTTTGATTCAATTCATTACTATTGTTTCTAAAATATGTTAGAAATTACCACTATTTTGTAGTAGTATGTTTTTTATTTTTTATTTTTAAGTTAAACATATTCTAGGAAGAATCGAAATTTTTTGTGTTAATTTTTAGATAAACAAATTTATAATATGTAACAGGAATTGCTGTTATCATTATTTTATTTTATTAAAAAAAAGAGGACATTGTTATCAGTATTTTTTAATACTCCGTGCTTTGTTTAGATATAGATTTTTATTTTTATTTTTTTATATTTTCTAAAAAAATAATAGTACCAAATGAGCGAGAGTTTGATGTATAAAGAGAACATTCATTTTTTAGGATTTGCAAACGCTAATATGCTTTTCATTGTTTTACTTGGACAACCAATGAATTTCAGAACACAAGCGACTCAAATTAATAGTTCATATAATTAATAAAAAGAGCGTGAGAAATAATGAAATAAATTAGCTATAATAATCAATATAATTTAATTTATAAATATATATAATTTAGAAATTTGAAAATACATCTGGTTGAATAACTAAATTAATTAATTGGAATTGTTTCAATTAATTAGGTTGTAAAGATCAATTTAGTAGCTTAACTTTTTATTTGAGTTAACTAACTCAAGTATCTACTGGAACTTTGTTCCACATTTTTAAAAAGAATCACATAATAATGTATTTATAAACCAAATATTTTAATTAAAGTGACGAAAATGCCACCTATACGACGTCGTACGCCAGCCAGAGCAACGGCTTTTGCTATGCAAAAATCAACACAACAACATCGATACGATCATACGACGTCGTATGATTTGCAAAAACTGAAGTAATAGCGTTTTTACCACAGAAACCCGATTTTAGTACAAAGTAAGGTTAAATGGCGACCCACCCACCGGCCGGACCTCGAATCTTTTGCCAAAGTCGCTACTCATGGATTGCGCTTGCGCTGCGCCACTTGTCAATTGCAGTTCCCAAGGAGGTACGGGGAGTGGTCGGCAATGGGGGATCTCTATGCATGGCTGATTTCCTTCCTTCTCCTCGTCGCTGTTTTCGCCCTCGTGCTTTATCAGGTATATTTCATATTCATTTGCTTTGTGGATTTTTTCGATTCTAATCTGCACGAAGGCGAATTGGTTTAACTCAGCTTAGGGCAATCTATTGTGTGATTCTATTTGGTATTGGCTGATTTTTTTTTTTTAGGTTGCGACTGGTTTTTGGAATACCTACGAACTGATTGTGATGGGTGAAGAGGATAATTTGTTGTTTTTGGTGGTGGGGAAATTGAAGGTTGTTTTCTGTGTGTTCTTTTGGAGTTTTATGTTTTGTGAGGTTTGACAATGGCTGAGACTAGGGAAACTGAGGTGGGGGTTAGTTTGTAGTTATGTTGCATTCTGCAGCACAACTATGAAGTTCTAATAAAATTGATTTTGCAGTTGTCGAGGGGTTGTGTGATTAATATTAAGATTTGTTGTACTCAGTGATCCAAGTGATTGCTACGACTCTGTTCTCTAGATTAGCATAGCTCTTAGTTTTTTGGGGTTATGGTTTGAAACTATTGAATGTGGCTTTTGCACTTTGAGAGAGTGTTCTTTTGAAAGCAGTGGGTAGTATATGATGGAATTTATCCCCAGAAAACGTTGATGATGTTACACTGAAATTATAATACTAAATAGTGCCCTGAATAGGGGTGTGTAATGGGTCAAGCAGTGCTCAACTTAAAAACATACTCAATTTAGTCTGAAGCTGTTTGAGTTGCTTTTCTAGTCAATTTCGAGCATCAGGACACTCCACTGGTATTATGATGTTTGAAAGAATGTAGGGTTTGTTTAGCAGTCTTTTGGAAGTGTATTGGTATTTTGTGTTGTTTTAAAAATAGTAGAAAATTGAATGGAAAACAGTTCTTGGATGTGATGTTTTGCAAAATAGTGTTCTTATGTAAGATTTTAAATGAAAATCGGTGATATGATCTTTTTTAATAAATAGTACGAAAATATAGTTGAAAACATAAGCAAACAGTCCCTTAGTAGCTTAAATATATGAAGTTCGATTTGATCTAACCTCTAGCCCAGAGATTTGAAATGCCTTTTATGCTTATATGTGTATCAATGAGAAAATGAGAATGTTATAATATGAGGATTCAAAATTAGTGGAGTTTGAAAGCTTACTATTACTACTAGTGATGAACCCTGTAAGGCACAAGATCTTCTAAATTAAAAGGAGCATACGTAGAGTCCATCAATAATATTTTACTTCTTTTATGAACTAATCAAGGTTTGGTATTAATCAAATTAGGCTATTGCTGGGCCAGGAACTTTTGGAATCCAATCCAATGTATTAATTATTATGTTATTCTTATATTAGGTTTTTCCCATCCTTCGTTTCCCTTTTGCCTTTTTATACTATCGTGGGATTTGTTTTGTTGCAGATCGTGTGCTTGGCTGACCTTGAGTATGACTATATTAATCCGTATGATTCAGCATCTAGGATAAATGCTGTTATCTTGCCAGAGTTTGCCATCCAAGCCACGCTATGCCTGCTCCATCTAATTACATGGCATTGGGGCATGTTCCTGCTGTGCCTTCCATATTTATATTACAATGTCAAGCTGTAAGTCTGTGCTCTCTAATTATATTTCATTTGCAAGAATGACGATGATCTAATGGATTTAAACAATTTTTCTTATGTTTTGGGCATCATTTAGGACTGTGTATATGTCACTTTGATGCTTTGAATGATTTTTGTGGTATATAAAGTTTATTATTTAAAACATATAATATGGTATTTATGCTTTGAATGATTGCTGCCGGTAGATCGACTTCTGCACAGTTGTATTTCGGCTTGTTGTTGGGATACTGATAATAAAGTGTCGTCTGAGAATAAATTGCCAGACTCAGGATGTGGCTGAAATAATCATAACGGAGCAGTCCTGTTTTGTTTGTTTTACATTCCCAAGTTTTCTTCTATATGGAATTTTCAATTGTTAATGTTTGCAATCTTCACAATGAGTGCAAAGTGTCATGTGTGAGGTATGTCTGATCCCGCTAGAGTGATTCAATTGTAATCTAGCTTAAACATATTATTATTTAAATATTTTCAAGCATACTATGATGGGTGGGAGCAATCTGATATAAGCTAGCAGTTAATGGTCGATGACTCTAATTTTACAATAGTTTTTGCTGCTAAAATAAAAATTGATGGAATTTACTCATGCACTCTAGAAACTTTATTGCATAATTTGACCTCAAAATTGCATTCTTTTATTAACGATGGAACCAATTAAAAAAATATACATAGTAGTTCTGTATATTGTTTCGAATCTTCCTTATGGGATCAAACATGTTACAAGGTTCACATGCCCTACAATTACATGCTTCTTCATCTGCATGAAGTTCACACTGAATATGATTTAACAGCTGGAATTTTAAATCATCGCTGTCTCCAAAATGTTATTACAAGTTGGTGCTGGTCTATGCCCAGGTATACTCAAAAGCAGCACTTGGTGGATGTAACCGAGATATTCAACCAGCTTCCCAAGGAGAAGAAGATCCGATTCTTCAAGCTTGGATATATTGCTGTTTTTCTGGCATTATCAATTTTCTGGTACCCATACACTACGACTCTCTCAACTCCCCTTGATTTAAAGGAAAATTTTCTGGATTCTGACAACATATCCATCTCTCCTTCAGGATGGTTTGGAGCATTGTCGAAGATTGACTGTCTATTTTCCTACAATATTCTTGGCTCTGGTTTTATTCCATTCAATCATATCATACATTTTATGACCATTTTATGTTAGAAACATTGCAGAAGTTGAATTTCGCAGAGAGTGAAGAATTCATATCTTCTTGTTCCAGATTCAAACAACTATGGGGATGCCCGACAAGAGGGAGATATATAGCCCAGGTGTGGTTTATATGTATATATATATATATGCATATATATATGCCTGTCTGTCTGTATGTGTGTGCTTCTGGCCTTGCTTGTAGCTTTGGTACATTCTAGTTCAATTTCATAACTTAGTTATGGTCAAAATAGATATATATATATATTCTCTGCAGAGTAATGAACTCCTTTTTTTCTACTATTACAAAGGGTTTGTTTGGTTTTGGTTTGAGTTTGAGTTTTAATTTATATAATATTTCGATGTTATATTATGTGAGAGAAAATAGTGTATCTTTTATTGGAAACGAGGATGAAAAATGTCATTTTGGTTCGGGGCCAAAACCAAACAAATACTTTAGTTGTTAATTTGCTGATGTGCAACAAGTGTATCTTAATTGCATTCTGAATACATGTTTGCTTAATTTAGTTTAATTTATTTCTTCTGTAATATATATTGATATTTTATAAACAAAAAGTCTTGGACATTTCATAAGGAAGATTATAAATATTTGAAAACTATATAATATATAATTAATTATTCATTTCTTATGAACCTATTTTTATATGATCGTCAATTCAATACGTATTGTCCACACGCAAAGTTTGTTCAAGATAAATTTAAACTTATGATAATTTAATGCTCTCTCCCTCCTATCTATCATGTTTATTTTTTTATTTTTGTCATTTTAATTTTTTTAATTTATATATATATTTTTTAAAATTTTAATTATACTAATTAATTATTTTAATTTTAATTTTAATTTAAAATTATTTTTATTATTTTTACTAATGTATTTTTAGTTATTTACTAATTATACTTTTCTTAGTCTTATCTACAGTAAATATGACACTTTAGTCGGGACGGAGGGACTAATAAATAAATAAATAAATAAATAATACATACATTAAAGAAAAACACTCCCATCATTTAGGTGTGTATTCATTATTGCAAGCGCATGTTTTATTTCACACATTTAAATTTATATTTTAATTATTACTTTATTCGACTAAAAAGTTTTACTATTATTTTATATTATAAATGGTCTTAAAAACTCATTGTTAAAAAATTGTTTATGTGCAAAGTTCGTATTGATTGACTTAGGTACTATATACATACATATATATATATATATATACATAAATAATGCATATTTTTTTAAATTTAAATTTTTACAGGAGTGAAATAATCCTTAGGATGATATCAAAATTAGAACATCCCCGTCTGAATCTCACCACCCTCATTCATCATCATTCATGTGCGACATGTTAGGGGTTTCTAAATTATATAAAATAATATTTTTTCTGTCCACTTGTAAAATTTATATTTGTTTTTTGAATTTTTAAATATTAATTATTATATCAAAATATAGTACAAAAGAAAAAAAAAAGGCAAAAATACTTATATTATGTCTTATAATACTAATAAAATGACGTTTATACGGAAAATTATATAAATATAAAAATATTTTTAATATTAAGTGATACAAAAAGTAAATATAAATTTATTAAGTGGACGAGGAGTAAATAAATAACACATATATGCAAAATAAAATAAATAAAAAAGAAAATTAAAACACTCCCATCGTTTACGATGTGATTACGGTGCACAGTGCTGATAGTACAATAATATATTTCAGACAACACATTAAATATAAATATAAATATAAATATAAATCAACAATACACTTATAAAATAAAATAATCCTGACAACACACTTATACTTTACACATGTAATGTCTATTACATTATCAAGACATTACATTATCACACATATCTATAGTATTTTTCATGTGCTAATTGGCCAATAGCAGATAAATCCTCAAACAAACCATAATTGAAGCCCTTCATTTATATATGTATTCATTATTGCAATCACATGATTTATTTCACATATTTATATTTATTTATTTTAATAACTAATTGCATCTCAATTTTTTTTACCATTATTTTCATATTATAAATGTCTAAAATTTTTGCAATCTTTATTCACTTTTTCACAGTTCTTCTTCCTTTAAATACATCTTATGAAATTATTTCAATCAATAAATAAGGATAAATTTGCAAAACACTACCAAATTTACATTCTAAGATGTCATGTGAAAAGTGATAAGTAAATTATATTAGCAAATTACAAATCTAGATGAAGCTATTATTATTATTATTATTATTATTATTATTATTATTATTATTATTATTATTATTATTATTATTTTGATAACATATTTTGGAGCAGTATATTTTTAGTGCAGAAGTTTAATTCTTTGTTGTATGAAAAAATTTATTAAAATATGAAATTTAAATAAAGGTGTATATAATATGATGTTTGAATGGAACATGAAATTTTGATATAATATTAGTAAAATTTTGATTTCATGAATAAATTATGACATACAGCTTATAATTCAAGATGCATATATGTCTTTAGTTTTATTTTCTTTTTCAACTTAAATTGTTGAAATTAGTAAAAGTTGTCTTAAAATTCAATGGGCACCAAATTCAATATTGGGTAAAGTCATGAGTTTGATTATTATATATAATCCAAATAAATAAAATAAAATAAATAGCGGTGGATATTTTTACTTTGAGTTAAAATTACAATATTGGGTCTATTTATTTTAAGTTCAATTTTAATATTTTTACTATGTAATACTTACAATTTTAAAATATATGATTGTTCAAATTAAATTTTAAAATTACATAAAAAAAAAAAAAAAACAAGCCCACCCACTTGTTAAAATTTTTAAATATTTTTTTACCGTAAGTATGTGTTATATTCTATGCAGTATATATATTATGTTCTACGGTGTGTTTTTAGTTCCCCAATTAGAATCAATTCAAGATTTATAAAGCACATAAATTTAGAAAACGGTAATTAAGAATTCAAAAATATACGTTTTAAATATATTATATGTTAACAGTACTCTCTGGAGACTTGAACAACTCTATATGAGAAAATCAACACCGTAATCACAGTAGCGTTGAAAAATTTTAAAAAATTATATTTAAAAATGATCGAATATATTTTAGATTATTATTTATTTCATCTATAAATAAAGCATTTTTTTTCCTTTAAAAACTAATTAAATAGAGGAATAAAAGGCTATATGGTAAGTCACAATTTGAAATTTCATTATAATGATTTTAGATAAAATTAAATTATTCAAAACTATTTAGCACGTGCATGCATAATTATATTTTTCTTTTTTTGCATAGACTAAAGAAACTAATATTAAAATTCAAATTTTGGTAAAATTTATATATCAGTATTTTATAAAAATTGAAAAAGAATTATTACCTAGAAAATAATTAATATAATAAGTTTGTTTTCTTGGTATATATATATATATTTTAATATTTTTTATACAAATATATTATTATTTTCACAATTGTATTTTTGAATAAATATGTTCTTTTATGTTATATACAGAGAACTGTATCGGTAATATAAAAAATAAATTTTGTGTTGAACTATTGACATTTTTTGGTAAATAGAGTATATTATATATTGTGTAATATGTATATATATTGTATTTTAATTCATTCTACAACATAACCAAGAGTTATCTTGATTAATTAAGGGTGTGTGTTGCTTGTGATTTAAATTGCTTTTATATTTATTTATTTATTAAAAATTAATAAAAAGTGAAATTTTGATAGCAATGTTCTGAGTTCAATTAAATATTAAATTGTATGTATCGAGGAAAAAATATTTTATTATTTTGTATAATGTAAAAATAAAATTGAAAACACAATAAATTACAAGCTAAAAGTGTGTTTTTTGGACTTTATTACTTTCCCGTGGTCCCATTGTGTTTCTATATTTTTTTGGAGAAAATATTGTAAAAATATATATATATTTATGTATATCTCATGCCATTTTTAACATTTATTTATTATACTGACAAAATATATTTTATACGTTTCGATAATATTTTTTTTATATATTTTATATATTTGCAAAAAATTCGAATAATATTTCATTTTTAATCAATTTTAAAATATCATCTAAAGCTCATAATGTATGTGTTTTTGTCTTGCTATATATAATATCTCAATCATTTTATTTAAAAATTTAAATATAAAAATAAACTAAATCCAAGAAAACAAGTACAAAAATATCTTGAACTGTATTGAAATCACATCAAAATATATCTTTTAAATTGATCGAATAATTAGAAGTAAAGTCGTCTCTAAGTCATATCATTAGGTACACTTTTAGACCTATAATTATTATAATTAAAATTAAAGACTTTCTTTATCAAATATAATATAGTAATTATTGAGGTAATTAATCTTCGAAATATATCCCGCGTCATACGAAACACGTCATCCATGTGCGCCATAGCACGTCATCCATGTGCGTCATACGAAATTGGGTATATTTCTTTATCCAAATTTTCTCAAATTTTACTATTTGAATTTTGTATTTCGCCAAAAAAATACTCTATCTGTCACACAAAGAAATATTCATTTGCTTTTTGCACGTAGTTTTAGAAATATTAGTATTATATTAGGATATAGTAGGAATAAAGTAGAAATGGCTAAAGTAACCTTATTAGTATGTGTGATATAAAAGTAATGGTATTTGTGTAATATATTATAAGTTGTAATGGTATTTGTAATGTTAGGTAGATAGTACAGTTACTAAAAAAAAAAATTGATACTTTGTTATGGAACGGACTAAAATGAAAAAATTTAATACTTTGTTATGGCACGAAGGGAGTATATATTTTCCTCAAACAAAACATTTCATTAAACGTTATTTTAATATCAAACTCAAACCATTTTTTCTCAAACTCAACTAAAAGAAACACACCCACAATAAATATCAAATGTAACTTTGGTAGCAAATTGGGATGTACAGTTGAAAGTTCAATTTTATTATTATTATTATCTTTTTTTTTTTTTTTTCATGACGTGGGAATCAGCAGCCGCTACCCGATCAAAAATGTGCACCAGATAAATCTTCGATCGAACATAATATTTTGAAAACTAAATTCGACATGCAACTCACACAGATTAAATTTTACTATTTAGCTATTGTGTTCTTTGAAAAAGATAGTTATGTTTTTTTTTTAAAAAAAATATTTAATTAAATATTATTTTAATATAAAATTAAATTAAAATTTTTTAAATCAAATCCAAATAAATAGATTTGGTCGAAAATTTTAAATTATGCTATAATATAGTCCCTTCATCCCGTAAGAAAAATATTATTTGTTTTTTATACGTAATTCTTTAAATATTAGTATTATACTCAGTTTGTAGTAAAAAAAACAAAAATGATCATATTAGTATATTGTGTAATTAGAGTATAAAAATAATGATATTTGTATAATATATTGAAAGTTGTAATAATATTTATTAAGTTATGTAGGTAAAATATAATTACTCCATCCGTCTCACCTTTTGTGTAGATACGAGCACTTAACTACAATATAATTCATAAGTAATCAATAAATGTATTAGTAAAAATAATTTTCGTATAATAAGATTAATTATAAATATAAAATATGATTAAAATGTATAATTATATTTTCCTAAAATAAAAACAAATAAGGTAGAACAAACCGAAATATACGTAGTAAACGAAAAAAAGCAGGACACATGAAATACTAAGAAAGAATACCTTGTAAATTAAATTAAAGTAGAACATAGGGAGTACTAAAGTAGGACCAAACAAATTTGATTTTATTAATGTAAATTTCAAGAAAACAAATAAAATTAACTAATAATAATAATAATAAAAGAAAATTCCAAAGTGATTTGAGGCTCTAATCTCCCAAATCACCTTTATAGAACACAAAATCCATATATAAAATATTTATGATCTTATATTCACGAGTTTATTTTACACTTTTGAACTATTCTTAAAAAAAAATTAAATGTAGTCTAGTAAGAGATGAGCTATTGGTATAAGGGTTGGATTTGTGAGCTATTGCGAGTTCTCGTATCATTAAAAAAAAAAACTTTAAATGTATCTATTTTTTATATAATATTTTATTTGTTAATAATTTATTATTTTGTATTATCAATATATTCTTTCATATATAAAACAAAAGCATTTTAAATTTTAGATTAAAAAAGAAAATTATTAAATATAATATATTATATAAAAATTAATTATATGAATCTGCTTCATTATTTTTTTATATTTCTTATCTCTATTATATTCATTGATTACTTTCTTTATCATCTTTATAATAATCATTTATTATTATTGTTATTGAAAAATGTAATAAATACACTTCTAGAAGGTAATGAAAAGTTATCACGCTCTATATTACACATAATTTGTTTTTATTTATTATTTTAGTTCGCTTACACAATTTGTTATATTTTTTTTGAATATATAATTATACAATTTAATTACATTTCAAATTTTAGTATAATTTTTTTTAACTTCAATTAAATTATTTTATTATTTTAATTTTAATTTATAATTATTTTTACTAATATATATTTAAATTATTTACTAATTATATTTTATATTAAATTTTCGTACCTACAATCATGCGTACATATTAAATGAAAACGGAACCAGCAGTTTTTACTGTAAAAGCTAAAAAAATACTAATAAATAAAGTGACTACAGCAATGTTCTTACACATATTTAATTGTATTAAAAAAAATTGCACATTATTTTCATAAATTATAGCCAGCTAATGTAATAAACAATCTCCAGCCGACATCCACCGATGGCGCCTACCCCGCCGAAACACTTTTTTTTTTTTTAATTAAAAAACACATTTTCTAGAACAGGCGCGGATTTCCATTTATGATGTCATTCACGTTCCGTCAGCAGCAGTGATACAAAAGACTCGTTTGTCCCACATAATTTATTTATATATTTTATTTTTATTTGTCTCATATAATTTTATTTTTTTAAAAATATAATTATACATATTAATTATATTTTAAATTTTACAATTTTTAAAATTTAAATTAAATTATTTAATTATTTTAATTTTAATATATAATTATTTTTTTAATATATTTTTTAATTATTTACTAATTATACTTTAATTAAAATTTTATTTCTACAATAATGCGCCTTTGGGAGTAAAGTAATACCACCGTGGCCGTGTGGGGTCGACACGTGTCATAGTTCACCTACAGCGGATTAAAAAATTGCCACGTAGGCAAGGCGAAATAGAAACAGTTTTGTTATATGCTTATTTATTATATCGTGGCGTAATGCATTTTATTTACTTACCACTTAAAAAATGAGCTTCTTTTTCAACAGTACATATATAAATAATACAGATCCGTACAACAGTATATATATATGATCTGTATTATCTTCATCCACCTCCAAAGCTATACTTCTCTCTCTCTCTCTCTCTCTCTCTACACGGTGAAGGAACATCCATTTAAGCCTCGAGGTATTCAAAATAGAGATATATATATATATATATATTGTTTTAATTAAAATTATATACAGTAGATTTTTAACTTTTATTTATTTATTGATACAAATCAGCATCACTGACCTCTACCATAATAAAGAACATATGTTACAATCAAATAATGTAAAATATCATTTCTTAGTCTTGGTCTTACCACGTGATATCTATTTATTTATTATACACTTACTTAGATACTTTCTCCGTCGTCAAACTTTATTTTTATTTGACCGAATTCGAATTTTAAAAAATATGAGTAAAAAAAAATATATATATTTTTATTTTTAATAAATTTAAATGATAGAAGAAATATAATATATTATAATAATTTCGATTTATTTCTAATAAGTTCTACTGAAATTGTCTTCTTTCTCTTTAGTGTGTGTATATATATATATATATCGACAGGCAACTAGAGTTGTACCTCAGTTATATAAAATAGTTACAATGCAAGCCAAGGTCCTAAGCGGAAACCAATTCTCCAAGCTCCCTTCAAGCTACATTCGTCGGGAATCCGATCGCCCGAGGCTTTCCCAAGTCTCTGATTCTAACAACATTCCCCTCGTCGATTTGTCCAACCCACATAAAACTCAAATTGTGGAACAAATAGGCCATGCTTGCCGCGAATACGGCTTCTTCCAGGTTATCCATCATTTACTCGATGATAAGTAATTGTGTATCCTTTTTTTCGCACAATTTATTAATTTTCATTTGTCATAATAATCTTAAAATGTGCATGACTTTAGGTTGTGAATCACGGTGTATCGAGAAAACTTGTGGATCAAGTGTTGAACGTGGCTCACGAGTTCTTTAACTTACCCGTAGAGGAAAAATTGAAGTTGTATTCAGACGATCCATCCAAAACAGTGAGACTGTCGACGAGTTTCAATGTCAACAAGGAAAACGTGCATAATTGGAGGGATTATTTGAGGATTCATTGCTACCCATTGGACAAGTTCGTCCCCGAATGGCCTAACGCACCATCGTCGTTTAAGTAAACCTCGCTTTATCTAAATTGAAAAAAAAAAAAAAAAAACCATGATACTGATAAACTCGTCTCATTACCATCCCTAATGAAAACTCGCACAACTGTGTCCAGGGACACCGTGGGCGAGTATTGCAAGGAAGTCCGAGGACTCGGGTTAAGGTTGCAAGAAGCCATATCGGAGAGCTTAAACCTCGAAAAAGACACGATCATAAACATGCTCGGCGAACAGGGCCAGCACATGGCCATGAACTATTACCCGGCGTGCCCCGAGCCCGACCTGACCTACGGATTACCTGCACACACCGACCCTAACGCGCTCACCATTCTCTTACAAGATCAACAGGTGTCGGGACTTCAAGTCAAGCTCAAAGACGGCAAGTGGTTGGCAATAAAACCGCATCCGGATGCCTTTGTTGTAAACATCGGTGACCAAATCCAGGCAAGTTATCGTATAGAAAACAGAATGAAAGTATGCATATGTACAATGTTCGTCGTTTCTTACCATTTTTTTGTCGCAGGCGTTGAGCAACGGGAAGTACAAAAGTGTCTGGCACCGTGCCGTCGTGAATGCAGATAGAGCAAGGGTCTCGGTGCCGACGTTCCTTTGCCCGAGCGAGAATGCGACGATAAACGCTCCCGGAGCGATTAGGGGCGAAGGGGAGCCAGCCATTTATCGGGGATTCACGTACGCCGAGTATTACCAGAAGTTTTGGAGCCGGAATCTCGATCAGGAGCATTGTTTGGAGCTGTTCAAGAAATAGATTTCTGATCAAAACAAAAGGTCATTTCAAATAATCGAAATAATTCATTTCAGGTCGACAACGCTAACCTTCTACGACATAGCATTGTTCTTGCACGCTCGAGTCGAACATAATGCCTTATAAACTTAGATACCACCGATGACAAATATCGTAGAGTAGCACAGATCCTTTTTCTTAACTTGATGCAAATAATAGAATCCCAGGAAGATCAAAGTATAGACACATTCGATCATCGAAAACAAACACGCACGTAATAATTTAGAATTGAAAATTAAGAGCACATATAATACCAAACCAGTTTAGATCCGGAGTTCGCGAAATATATCATTCTAGTAGCTCCGCCATTGCCATGGATGGCCGGAAGCATTAGTGGTTACGATCAAACATATAATATTAATACTCCATCATCAAAGTCGAAGACGATCAATCACCTGCAGTAGCCAGCACGTAAGCAACGAAAAATCGAAAAAGTAATTTGGGGAGATCGAATACGAGCCTACCAGCAGCCACAGTTTTTGTTCCGAAAAATCATAAGGCTATCCCTGCAAGGAGATGTTTATGTCTGCAGCAGATTTCCTCGATCTTTCCATGGAAGTCCAATTAGTGACATTCTCAGGTGGGGCTTGAGTTTCGTCGGCCCTTGCTTGCACATTCACTGTAGGTTTGCCATTTGAACCATCTGCATCAATTCTGGGAGCATTTTCCAGCAGCTTCGGCTTCTTCAGTTTCAGGTCGAGTGGACTCAGCAGAAAACTTACAATGACAACCTGATACATGGTATATAATGTGAGAGATCGTGGAAACAAGAAAACATGTTTTAGAATCAATAAGAAAAAATGAAACTAAGGGTTCGTACATGAACCGGACTCGCAGCAACTGTAAGTCCGGCAACTTGGCCACCAACAACCCTGCCATCAGCACCGGCCAAACTTATTCTCATCATCCCGGTTCGATCAAACTTGGAGTTTGGTGTCTCCACCGGAGAAAAGGATCCACTGAAGGACAGTATTTCAAATAGACCCTGGAAATAATTTCTTATGACAGAGCTATTAATCGAAGTAAAACACTTGGAAAAACAGTTGATTCATTCTGCAAATATCACACATTATCAGCTTGAGCTTGTGACACATCATGCCCCCAAAAAATAAAAATTATGTAAGTACTTTTATGTACGTGTATACATCTGCGAATGAATCAAATTATTGTTTCAGACATCCAAAGACTTCGTCACAAAGATATCTAAGGCTAAATTGTGGAAGCACTACTTATAAACTTCAGCAAAAAGGAAATAAGAATTTAAGCAAAGAAACTCTAACGACTATTCGACAACATACTCCGATTACTTTTCATGAGGGGTTCTAATAACTTCATCAGCATTATCAATGAAGGGTAAAGCACCAGAAAGTGTATCCGTCAATATCCATGCATTTTTTTTCCGCCCCATTATTCCTCAAATTCAATAGACTTTAAAATTAAATAAATAGATCATTAGGGTATTTTTGGGAAGGAGGTGAATTTATGGCAGGAGCAATAAGCCATGTCATTTTTAAGTAACAGAAACCTTAGCCGAAAATTAAATGTATTGCACAAACATTGTCATTCTAGGTCTATTTGTCATTGCTAGTTTGATATGTCACAGCAGCTTATGGATAGAATGGGCTTAAATATTTTTGATCTAAGTTTAAATCATGGCTCTAACTACATTCCATAAGATTTATATGTATGAAATGTCGGTTAATACATCAAAACAAACTGGCTATATCAAGAACAAATATAAATAAACAACAGACAAGATTCGTAAACCTGAAGTAAGAACAGAATCAGAATAATTGAAGACAATGGCAGACCTCATAAGTCAAAGTGCCTTCGGGAGAATTTGGATGCGTAAGTGTTACACTTGACACTGTTCCATAGCTAGACAAGACACAAACAGTGCGTGGTCCTTGCAGCGAGAACTCCATTATCTTTGTAGTGATATCCTAACAACCAAAGGTATGCCAAAAATTTTGTTTTTATCATGCTGCACAATTAACTTCGAAGTTAAAAAATATAAGTATCCACACTACATCAAGTTTCATTAAAATCTTAATTAAAAATAATGAAAATTTGTACAAACTCTGATACTCAAATTCTCACACTAGATCTTCACAAGTTGCAGAAAGTAAATTTGGAAAAGATGAATATTATTAGTAAAACTAAACTTAATACATCTCAGTGGAATTCTTAAAACAATCAAATGAAATGGCATCGACATCTAAATCTGTCTTGAACTTGCTACAGATATATACCTCACCGCTGTTGACGGTAAGCACGTGAGGCAAAAAACTTGAACCGGTGAAACAGTTTACCAAGTTGTCTGCAAGATATAGGACAAATATATCAAATTTATGCAAAAAAAAAATAAAATTATATTTGTTACTCCTTGGGTACAAGTTGTCATAAGAACAAAGAAAGAGAAAACATCATACTTGAATAAAGAAAAGAGAAAAGGGTTGAAATCATGGAGCAAACAACACATCACAGATCTGATAAATCATAAAACTAAAAAATGCTCCCATAAAATTCAAACAAATGAGAGATGTCAGCCAAACACTAGAATAAGTTTTATGCATAACACTGTAAAGCATTAAATAAATCAGAATATGCTTTAGTTATATACCAAAAAAACTAATGAGTTGGAATGAAGGTTTCAATCCAAGAAACTATTTCAAGAATGATTTGGTCAACCATCTTATAAAAAATTTAAGGCAAAAGGCGCAATGCAGAAGCAAAAATAACTGTGCTGATCAGGACAATAATATACCCACCTTCCTCATTTCACACTCTAACACCAGCCCTGTGAAAGTCTACTTTTAAATTGTATCAGAATAAACATTAAAGCCCTCAATCTGATACAAACCCATGGCTGTGTTTGGTTGTAGCCTTGTAGGCTCTTGGGACTCAACCATTCATAAATTTTTCTCCCTATAAGGATTAAATCAAACACTTATTTTTTTTAATTTTTTGTATTACACAAAAATTTAACTTAACATTCAAAACATCACATCAAAGTTTATTTATACCACATCAAACAACTATTTTAATTCAAATTTTTACTATTCTCAACCCCAACCCCAACTCCCAGACCTACAACCAAACACAATAATTCTCCAAGTATATTTAGTTCATCAGATGAGGGATGTGCAAACCAAGCGTCAAACTGGTAACCAGATCAACCAACAAGATGTAGCAAAGAATGGAACATAGCAGAGGGAATGGATCAGGGTCAGCATCATTTTTCCGGCACTTCCAAAGTAGACGTAGATCAACACTACATTAAAAGCTCAAGTTAACAGCAGGATGCAATCTAATTACCTAGTTTTTCAGCTCCAACTTTATTTCTTTGCTTTTTCTCCGAACTAATTGGCTGCTCAAGACGCGGTCTTGTCTCCTCCGCATAGGACTTGCTTGGGACAGAAGGAGCTGCAGATGATATAGGTGTTGGCAAAAACACACGATCCACAGATTCATCGGGCCTGTACTTTCTTGGTCTGCCTCTCTTTTTCCTCTCTGAACCTGCAGGTGAATCCATTGGCAGCATTCCATGTTGTCCCATGTTATCAGTCCTTGGAACCACATGGTAGGAGGATGAAGCCCCTGGTGCAATAACAGTCACTCCAGAAGCTATTGCTTTCCCGGAATCCATGACACCTGCATACAAAGATATCACATCAATATAGCAAGATAATCAGAATTCCTAGAGCATGATCATAGAATCAAATTAAACATATGCTAAATAAAGGTTGTTTGGAGTGTTTCTATTAAGTTCTCTGAAATGCTTATGATGGAGTTCTTCCAAATAAAATTTTGTTTTTCAGCATCATGAACTAACCATCTCTTCGAGGGCATTGTAAAAGGATTATCAGTTCCCATAAGACATTTGAGAGCTCATAGTAAAAAAAAAGGTAAGGTGTTTTGGAGTTCATAGGTTTAAGTAAGCATTTTTTTGAACTTTCTTTTCTCAAACTCATAGCTTAGACATCCTTAATTGAAAAACAAACATGATATAAAATAAAGATCTCCTTTGAAATTTATTTCAAGAAAGGGCGTCAATAAAAGAGAGTTTTTGCACGGACATCTTCTGATGCAGAACTTATTTCATAACCACCATCCATCACCAATCACATTCCACATCCCGCTTCACACTTTTCGATTCCTCGGTACTGTTCAAATATTTGTATAATGGCGCATGTATCCCTTCCCTTTGTATAATTGTGGTTGTTGATGAGGGCAATCTGACATCCGTCCATTGGCTCAAGTTGGATTATTTTAGTGAGCTTTCCCAACCAAATTAGAATTTGGAACTTCAGCCCATTGCTAAGATCTTACAATAACACAAGCCTAATTCCTATCGGGTTGAGCTTAATGTCATTTTGGTTTGTTTTCAATGTCAAAGAGTAACATGCCCCTCTATCCTTTCATTTGATATTAATTTTAAGACTAACCTGTATTGGGGAATTTTTTTCATAAAAGAAGGAAAAGAAAAGAAAATGAACAGGGGAAGGTGAAAAGAACCACATTTAGGGAGTGCAATAGAGAACCTGAGATCCGATATGAACAATCAGTCAAAGGAACATTTATTTATTTTTAATGTAGTAGGAGAGTTTAAGATAGCAAATAAAGTAGTAATTATTGTGTCTAAGACTTAATGACGAAAGAAAATAAAATAAATTAATTTATTAGTATGTCCCTTATCCGTGCATATAAAAGAATACTTCATATCATCGAATAGTTGTATAGAACAGGCATCCTCTACAAGCATTACATACTCATCTACAAATTGCTAATTCTAGACATTACACATCTGTGCGAGGAAATCTAGTTGCATGGGCGCAGTAAGAAACAAAACACTGTTGCTAGATCTTTTGTGGAGGCCAAGTACAGTGCTATGGCTCATTCTACAACTGAAATGGTTTGGGTAAAGAATTTGCTAGAGAAACGATGAATCCTTATGCATTGTGATAACTAGTCACCAATTTGCATCACAAATGATCCGGTTTTTCATGGAAGGATAAACATGTTGAGTTTGAATACCACTTTACTCGTGACTGTGTTATGTTCCATGAAATTGCAGCTCCATTCACTTCTCCTCAACTAGCTTGCTGAAATCTTCACAGGGGAGGAATCGTTTTTCAAAACCTTGTACCGCACATATTATATATATATATATATGCTCTAACTTAAAGTCAAATGTTATAGAATATATGTTCATATGCATATAAGTCGCGTTCTATGTATGACCATTTTATTTCGGTAACCCTAATTTGTATGCAGCCTTATTCCTTCTCCCTATAAAGGAGAGTATCTTTCTTTTAGTTAATTAAAAAAGAATACAATTTTCTCCATTACATATATTCTTCTACATAAATAATGTTTGCTCGTTGTCACACCTCTGAAACTCTTCTAAATGAAACATGCTTCAACCCACCTAAACCAAGCTCATAGAGCTTGTTTTAATCCATACAAGGCTTCGTGTAAATTGTAAGCGAGATGCTCACTACCACCTTTTTCATGTCCTCTTGGCTGCTCACATAAACATCTGCACTTAGCTCACTCTGTTGGAAAGTGGCTTAACATCTAGCCGAAAATTGTTCAATCCTTATGTGAAGCTAGAGCATAATCATTCTTACTGGATCCATCCTTGCAACATACTTTTGTATAATCGACTCAATACTTTTGAGAATACCGTTTATCAACCAAACGAGCCATGTACTTATCGACATTTCTATATTCATTATATATGCTTTTATAAATCCCCTTCATGTCAATTCTTTTGGCTCTAGTTGGAAGTTCAATGAGTGTCAAACCAATTGCTATGAACAAGACTAATAACAATCAAACGTAATATACAGTTTGCCTAATAGCTTCGAGAATCCTTTATTTCAAAATGAAGTCATAAGTCTCTAAACCTAATGACCCCTCATTAAATAATTCTACTAAACCCTATTTGCTAAAAATAAAATAAATCCACCTAAATATAACCTAAGATATAGCAAAAAACAAGCGAACTTAAGGCATAACAAAAGACTACTAAAGCAAACTAATAAAAGCCAAAACTGGTGAACATCAAGCCTAAGCCCGTCCCGTCATTGATATACAAGTAGCGGCCAAGATCTCTTTTCCTCTTTTTTCTTAACCTCATGCTCTTTTTCCATCATGATCATGTTTACATACTACACAAGGCATTGTATCGATTGAAACAAGTACCCAAAGTATTGTATAATCCATTCTTGCATTACAGAGCCAAAAAGTATGTTAATCCCTATGATACTTATTTTGAATTCCTCATGCATTAATTTAACGGAGTCATCTTTTAAACCCTCAGTTGTTGATTGAAGCACTATTTCATCAATATAGACTTATATTATAATAATATTATGCCATCTTTTTACAAACATCTTATCTAAACTTTCATCATGATTGCTTACAAACTACACGAGGCATTGTATGGTTAAACAAGCACTCAAAGCATGGTATGCTCATCTTTTGTCTTACCTTCCAAATAAAAACTATGTGCATTGATGAATAACAAATGAGACCCTGTTCATAAAAAGAGAATAATAGAAAGTAATGATAACACAATTATGTTGATGAATAAATAGCTAAGAATTGAAAATAAATTCATGAAAGTAACGCACAACAATTGATAAAAGGTTTGACATGCTTTCTGTGGAGTGAAAGAATGTAAGGATGGAATAATTTCAATCAAGCAATGTATGCCAAAAATCAAGTAATGTACAACTAGCTAACTTCAACAATGATGATAATAATATGGCAGTTGATCAGGAATTATACAAAAGTATAACAAGAGTTCCCTTGTATATAGCAGCCAATCGACTTAATATCTCATATAGTGTTGAAATATATGGGAGATTCGATCAACCCCTAAAGAATCATATTTGAAGGCAGCTAAAAGGATTATCAACGGCATGTCTGAAAATAATGAATATGGTGCTCAAGCAAACCTTTACTTAGCTAATTAGCTATATAGATTCAGATTAGGCCAAATCCCATAATGACCAAAAGAACACTACATTGGGTTTTTTGCTTTTTATCAACAATCTGGTAAGTTGGCACTCTAAAAAACATTACACAAAAGCCTATCGACAAAAAGATTGAATATATTGTAGGCAAAAATTGTTGTGCATAACTACTTTTTTTTTTCTAAGATCATGCTTGAAGGTAAAGGAAATTTTTAGACGTCAATTTATTATCTATTGTGGCAACTGGCAACACAAGTACAACTAATATTTTGAAAAATCTAGTTTAACATAGGAGGACTAAACACGTTAACATGTGTTACCATTTCATAAGAGATTTAAGGTTTGTTTACTTGGGTTTTGTTTTTCTTTTTCGGTGCAATGTTTTTTTGTTTTGATAGCTTTGTATGAAAAGTAAGTCTTGAAGGTTATATTTTTTAAGCAAACTTAAGAGATTGAATAGTAAAAACATAAAGGAAAAAAAGGACAAACAAGTACCCTCAGGGCCCTTTTATTCTTATCGGAAAAAATGGTGGGATTTTGGTTAACGGTAATTCAAATAATTCCACTAAATTAGTTACATTTGGCAATGTAATGAATTTCAAATTTATAAAATTGGTTAAGGGTTCCAAATCCACCCCCCTTTAATATTTCAAATATTCTTTAAATATTCATTGCAAATGCTTCTTGTAACCAAATAATAAATTTTAATTATGAAGTATTTAGGGTTTGTTCTTTTGAGGTTTCAAACTGAAATTACCTGCAGTTTTTAATAAAAATACAATATTTTCTATCATAAAATATTATATTAAAATATTATTTAAACAAAAGCTCAATCAAAACCTTATTTCAAATCAATTTTAAACAACCCTAAAGTCTAAAGTTGAAATCAATTCATTTAAAGCCTATTGTAATGTAAAGGGGCTAATCCACTCTCAAAGCCAAATCCATCAAACCAAACCAAACCGAACTTTAGAGTGTGTTTTTGGGAGTTGGGTTTGGGGTTTAGAAGAGTTAAATTTTGAATTGAAAACGTTATTTGATATGTTTTGAATGTCAAATTTCTTTTTGATGTAATATTAAAATAAATGTATAATAAATTAATAAATAGTAAAATCTGGATTAGAAAGCCATAAACAAATAGAGCCCATGGTTAGTTTAATTGTGAATTTTTTATTTTTAGTTGTGATATTTTAAATTTTTTTTTTTTAGTTTTCTTGAAATAGTGATTTGAATGTAATATTTTGTGAGATAAAATAATGAATTTTTACAAAGAATCATAAAAATTGAACGGAAGAAAAAATTAAAATAGTTACTAAGGGAACACATATATCAAATGTTATTAATGTACACGCATTCCCCCAAAAATATATAGAAAAATAACAATATACTATAATATACAATGGATATGTTCATCCAACAAAAAAAAAAAACAAACAATTTTTTATTAACATGATAAAAAAAAAAAAAATACAATATATACACACTTATACAATATATGTAATACATATACTCTACCCATCCACACAAGTCAATAATTCAAAACAAAGTATCATTTCTCGTATTACCAACATAGTTTTCCTCATACATAATTACTCTGTTCTTCCAGCATAATTTTTCAATTGCAATTCCCAAAAATAATAATAATAAATACAAAATATTTATATGAACTTCAAATACTCATTATAAAAAAGTCAAAAAATCATTACAAAAAATTCAAAAGAAATATTGAACTTAAAATAATATATTTTATATATTTTACATAATTCTCTTACCACACACCAAAAATTATTTAATCTAAAAACGGTGAGTGAACGAAGTCAATATAAAAAAGCACCTTAAATTGAAAACAATAAACAAACACACTCAATATGTACATAAACAATAAAAGTCAATAAAACCACACAAAACATAATTCACTATAATACTTCATGATTCTCCGTACCTTATAACAAAAATACCTAAAACTATAAACATTAAACAAGCACATTTTTTTTTTCTTTCTTTCTTTTATATTTTTTTTTAGGTAAAATAGTTATTGAATATAATTGTTTAAATGAAAATTGATAGATTGAATAAAAATTATTCCCTTTGTATGGGATAATTATGCATCTTTGTTTGGACACGAAAATAAAAAAATACTCCCTCCGTCCTGCTGCAAGGTTGTCATTTGGTTTTTGCGTCATTCTACTTGACATTAAAAATATTCTTATATTTGAATAATTTATTCTAAAAATGTTATTGTACTGATATTATAAGAGACTAATAAACATATTTTTGCCTTTTTTTTTTTTTTGTTGTACTACGTCTTGATATAATAATTAATATTTAAAGATCAACATGCAAAAAGCCAATGACAACCTTGCAGCGGGATGGAGAGAGTAATTATATTATAATATAAAAATAGAGTATGTAAATAGTAAAGTGAAATATTATAAAAAATTAAATAAGTAAAAAGAGTAATAGCAAACTAGTTATTATTAGTTAAAGAGGAATAGTAAATTACAAATAGATTTTAAAAAAATTATTATAAATGAATTACATATGATTTAGCATAAAAACCAAAAAAGAAAAAGTAGCATAATTTTAACGACCGAGGAAGTATATACACAACAACCAACAGCAAAAATTGGGCATGCAATTTGCCTCGTATTGTAACACCCGCACAATAAGATGATACTTTGATAAAGGCATTGATGGTGAAAATTTAGGATTTGTTTGGTTTATAAATTGTGTTTGTACACTATTTCACTCCCGCATTCTCCAATAAAAATACACTATTCCCTCTAACAAAACATCAAATGTTTAAACCAAAAGGACAAACACAAACACAAATACAAAACCCAAAAAATCACAAACCAAACACACAAAACATTTGGGGAGAAATCAGGTCTTTTTACCCCATCTTGAATATATTATCTCAGACTTATCTCCTTAGTTATTTTAATAGAGTTATGCGATCAATTTTATGTTGATTTGGTACAAGATTTTGAAGATCTAAAAGATGCATGATAAATCAATACATTACTATTCTACCTTGTCAGAAGGACATCAACAGGCTCCACTTGAATTCCATGTAAGTATAGGACTTAGTGCAAGTTTTTAGTTGATTGATTTCAATTTATTCAACTAGTCTATACTTTGAGAGAATTCGAAGGGATTTTGATATGCTTTGTGATGGAAAGCATGTACACAAATGAGGTTTCGGCATAAATAGATATGCAACGAAGCAATTGAAAGTGTGCACACTTGGATAGATTTTTGTGAGTTGTTCAAACAACCTATGATACTACACATGGTAATACAAAGTATAAAAGCAAATGGAAAAGAACAATTTGTTAATTGAGTTTGGCCATTAAACAAGACCTATAGCTAAGGAGTGTCAATCCAAATCATTCCACTAACATCAAGTAAGAGCTAAACAAGTCTTACACACCTTAATTTTCCCAAATTGCTGCAACTTGAACACCAAACAAAATGCAATATAATTTAACAATAACCAATGTAGGTGTGTGAGTCCTCCGCAGGGCAAAATTACAAGACCTCAACCTCCTCAACCCCCTCAACTTTATTTCTACTCCCAAGAAGAAATCCATGATTTATTTACTTGTCCAATTCCTAGTCTATTGTTTTTCAAGTTGTGGAATAAATCGAACAACTCCTTTGATAATCACCAACCGGAATCTCATAAATTCACCTTGTGAATTTCAGAAATGATGAAATTCCCAAACCCAATCAAAATATGATGAAATTTCCAAACCAAGATTCACATTCTAACTTCATAAATTTCTCACATGTTCTCTCCAAAAGAATTAAGAAATTTTCTCTCAAGAATAAGAGCAAAGTTTCCCAATCAAAACATCTTTCATTCCTCAATCCTCATTCATGGAATGTATGACTTTATTCTCCTCAAAAGCTTTATTTAGTGCATGCAAGAGGATGTATATATAGACTTAATGTCAATGCCTCAACCAATCACAATTAGACGCATAACACAATGGTCAACCAATAGGGAAAGGTCAAGACATCAACCAATCAAATTGAAAGTAGACATCAATCAAGTAGTCCTTAAAATCTTCCAATCAAATTAAGGCATGTAGCTAGCTTTGTAACTAGCAAACCAACTCTAATTACCTTTTTTCTTATGCAGGATTGCTAGTACATTTTAGGCATACCATGCAACATGAGCATATATTCCTTCAGCTCAAAATCTACATGTACTCGCCTTTTCTTCATACAAATTGTCTCCAGTTATGTCAGTTGTCTAATGAACCTACAATGACATGCATCCAAACCAAAACAGATTAACACTTTGGTTTGATCTCATTCATTTACAACTCGCATCCTCATACGTCATGCACATAAACAAAAAAAAAATGTTGTTGTCATGGATAAATTGCAGATCCTTTAAATCAAATCAATGTCTCGTGTAGATAAACCAAAAGCAACCACTAAAGTTCCTCCCATGGAAAAGCATCTACTTATATGCTAAATGATCGAAGTTCCACATGTGACTGAGGAAACAACACATGTTGATGAAGGTAGACAAAAAATCGAGGGAAGAGTACTTAAATCCGTCATATTTAAAGAGAGGTTCCACCTACTAAGATTCATAAAGCACTTGTTCCTTATAACCCTACAATTCAAATGGAAAAAGAGGTTGCATTTAATCCTCAAACAAATGTTCAACCTAAAACTTGTTTGGAGACACTATTAATATGGGAGTCGATAAACTAGATGAAGCAAAAGTTCAAGCTCAACTATATATAGCAAAACTTGAAGTTTAAAGGATAGTGAAAGTAACTGAATGCAAAGGATGTTCTACCTCCTTCCGAACTTCCATATAAGTTTTAGACTAAAGGCATACTACTTGTTGCCTTGCAGAAAAGAATCGCACTTACACTCCTAAGACGAAACCCAAAAAGAAAAAGAACTTTTCACATTTCTTAAGTCAAATAGATCAATTCCACTTCAGTGAAGTGGCAAAGGATTACTTAGAAAGTATTGATGCTACATTTGAACATCAAAGTTTCTTGTACACGTGTAGTTGCAAAACAAGCATGAGAAATGGCGTTTGCATATCTTATTTTAAGTTGGCATATCCATATGTTGTTGGTGAGTAACATATAATATTTAAGCTTATATCGGAATCCCCTCGATGTGGATCAAGGACCTGGGCAAACAAATCAAGTGTGTGTTAATGGTTTATTTTTAACATTCGCATCGTCAAGCGATGTTGTGACCACGGTACAACCATATGTATCTTACGTTTGCTAACCCATTGTGATTATTATTACAAGTGCAATACAAGACCCGGGTTTCTCACCATAACATTATCATTCTACCTAATTAACCATGCATTATAAAAGAAGAGAAGTGTTACACGATGTAAATAACCGTCTCACCTAAAAACTTAAGCTATTAGGATACGCACCATCTATTTATTTATCTACAGACGGGAGTCAACCAACACACTCCCTCACGGGCAAAGGGATAAACATCACCAAATGAAAGTTACAGAAAAGGTTAAGATATTAGGATATGCATCATTTATTTATTTATCTACAAACGAGAGTCAACCAACACACTCCCTCACGAGCAAGGGGATAAACATCACCAAATGAAAGTTACATAAAAGGTTAAGCTATTAGGATACAAATAATTTATTTATTCATCTACAAACGAAAGTCAACCAAGACACCCCCCATGGACAACGACAAATAGGGGGCATTGGAACTCGAATTTGAGACTTAAGACTCTGATACCATTTAAACTTTTAGGATATGCATCATTTATTTATCTATCTAGAAACAAAAATCAACCAACATGAAACATAGTATTATTTTAGTAAATGATGAGGACCCTATCCTCCACCATTCGGTAGGCTGTTGTCATTCGTGCGTCAGCATATTTTGGCTCGGGTTGGCCTCATTTAAGTGGGCTCCCCAAATTAATCTACATCTCGATCACACAAACCCAGTTTCTATTGAGTTGAGTTTTATGTCAGACTTAGTTAGAATTTAAGGAGTTATTGTCGACTAACAGCACCATTCAGCCAAAAGAAACAACACCATTACCACTTAACAATATAAAACCTGCTGAAATCTAACAATGAACCAAAAAAAAAAAAGAAGAAAAAAACCACTTGTTTAAATGCTCAGATGCCAAAAGTAAAATCCATCCCTTCGCAATCACGGTAAAAAAAAATAAATTAAACTTTAAAACATTCAAAGCCATGCAAGAAGTTCAGCAATCACAAAAAGAAACATTAATAATTTCCAGGAACAATAAAAAGCTTCCAAACAATGCATCTAACCAACAAATGAATCAGTAAAGGCGGAGAAGAAAGTGAGCTTACGAAGCTCAGTAGCTCTAAGTCCCAAGTCCGAATCCACTGCAAGTCCAGAACGTCGTGTATGTACACAGAATCGAAAACCGAAAAGGGCAAAAAGTCAAAAAAAGAAAAAGGAACACGAAATGCGAATTAAGAGAAAAAAAGAAAATTCGAGTGCGAGGAGCGGAGTGTTTGCAGAGTAAAAAAAAAAAAGGTGGATTAAATCAAAATTCCTAAAATGGTGAGAAAAGGTGAAAATTGGGATCGAAGTTACAGCGAAGAATTGGCCATTTAAAGGCAAAAATAATTGGCGGAGGGGACCAAAGTGCAGCGCAGGGAAGAAGATCTTTCGGTCAAAGGCTTTTCTCCTGCGCTGTTGATACTGATGCTGCTGCTTTGGCTGGACTTTTGTTTGTTTGTTTTGTACGGACGATCGGACTTATATAAAGTCCCTTGAAGTTGAGCGGAATTACCAATCTGCCACTACAGTGGAATGTGTGTTTAGGACGACATACATGATTGTGATTAGTGTGTAATTTAATTAATAATTAATTAAGGCGTTGATTAGGAGGACATTTATTTCTGTCATGTGGCATTATTAAATGAATATTATTACAAGGAATGTTTGGTTGGTTTTTTATTTCTTTATTACGTTTTGTCGAATTTTGATATAAAATTTAAAATTTGAATTATGATATCTGTTTCCATTGTTTTCATATTGTGACTGTGGGTATAACAAGTTTGTCAATTCGTACACAATCTGAACTCAGTTTTCAACCCAAAACCCAAAACCCAAATTTTAACATGATACGATTTTTTTGGATTAAGGTAGGTCAGCCTGACTAGCTTGAGCTGAATAAACCTAACACACACAAAAAAAAAATTATATTTATATATACTGAATAGCTTAATTTTAATAAATACTATCTTCGTCATTTAACAATCTATCTATTTTTCTATTTTAGTTCTTATCTATTTCTTTTTTTTTTAACAGTAATTGTACTATCTGTTTAACATTAATATTAGAACTATCCTTTATATTACAAAAGGTATTGGATATATAGGAAGTATAATATTACCTTAGTTAATTGTGATATAAAATAAAAATAGTTTATAAAATTTAAAAAAAAAATTACAAAAAAGTGTCTTATACTATTATATTGATATTTGTAAAATAAATAAATAAATTGTACAAATATATAAGTTAATAGGATGATTTAAAATTTTGAATGTATAATGTTGGTGATATATATATATATATAACTAGAATGTTGAAAGTCATAAATTAATTCAGGTAATGATTTTAAAGTTTTTATAGAGAGATAGAAGTTGTATTCTTTGAATAAAAAAAACACAATTTTTTTCAACAAATATTAATATTTTTATATTTTTTTATGTATACATACAATTCTTTTCAAAAATATTAATATTTTTATATTTTCTATGTAATTTTTTATATTTCATATCAAAAAATACTAATTCAAATTATCTCAAACAACAAGCAAAGCAACAATGTTTTTGAAGGGTATAAATTTAGATAATGTTTCCAAAGGAAATTTGAAAGAGACACACACATAAAAACATAACCTAAATTTAGAAACAACATTTGAGGTTGGCAAACCATAAATTCCATCGTCAAGTCAAATCAAATCAGATCTTTCTTAGAATTCTCCCAAATCCAAATCACACAGAGAAAGCTTCACTTCAGTCCTTGTATTCATTCTACGTACGTACGTACCTGAATAAAAGCAGTGTTACTTTTGTTACCCTGTCTGTCTCAAGACCTCATCATTCTGGATCAAACCAGATGGAAAGATTTCGAAGGGGCGACGACGAAACCGGCTCGTCTCTCTTCATACGAGTACTCGATTTCCTGATTTTTTCCACGGCCGCCGCGCATGCCTGGAGTGAAAGGGGTTGCGGCAGTCTGCATGGCCACAGACACTGTTGGAGGTGTGGCCGCCACCGACACCATCACCTTTGGAGTTCCATTTTCGTCGTGCGTGGAATACATGTTTTTTGTCGGGGTCACTACTGGAGTCCTGCACAAGGCGTGCACGTCGTGGCAGTCACCACTCTGGCTTTTCAGGTCCGAGAAGCTGCAAGGAGGAATGATGTTGGAAGATAATGAAGATATGGGGGAGAGGGGTTTCCGTTGAGGCGCAGCTTCGGCTTGCCGTGCTTTCGAAGCATTGCTGGGCGGGTTCTTGATCGCCCCGCCGGGTGTGTTTATCTTGCCTGGTTCAGAGATTACCAAAGAATGCATTATACACAGAGAGAGAAATAGAATCTATTGTTTTTTAGTCACACGGCATAACAAATTTAAAATATTTGTCCTATAATTCACGCTATATGTACTCCCTCCGTCTTATGTCTATTGTCATATTTTACTTTCTGTCCGTCCTAAATTAATTGTTTCGTTACCATAAATAACCATATCAATATAATACTATTCTTATTTTTTCCTTCTTATTACTAAGATGTCGTTACTTTTCACATCTAAACTAAAACATACTTCCACGAGAACAAAAGAGACTTTTAATCTACAATTTGTACTCACTGTCAATATAACATCAATGATTCTTAAATTCAATAATGGAAAAATTGGGTGTGACTAAAATTGAAACGAGACTTTCTAGTGGAACTCGAAAATGCTATCTTTCTTTACGAGAAATGCATGAAGAAAAATTTACTGGAAGAATGATAGAGGATACCAGAGTGATGGCTGTAAGTACCCTGACGTTTCACGGGGTTATTCTTGAGAAGGGAACGAGACGGGGCTGCAGGTTTGTCTCCAATTGTGCTTTGCAGCAATGACCCTCCTAGAGAAAACTTCTTGTTAGCAGCACCTATATTCGACTGTCTAAAATTCTTGTTGCCACTCTTGGAAGGACTAGGTTTTGATCCATAGAGTGATTCTTGTTCGGTCATCAACATTCCATGAAGTTTCTTCTGATCCTGATGTAATGGTTAGGAGAACAATTAGTTATATATCAGCAATCCTGCAAGAAACTTTACATTAATGATCGAATAAATAGTTAAATGCATGTTATACCCTCTGCCTTTGGCGCTCTTGCTCTTTCAAGTGCTTTATCTCACAGTACTGATCGAGCATGGACATAGCTCCCACCTGGATGCATTGTAATTTTGACAAAAGAAAGTGTTAAAGTTCGGTGAACTCTGAAGTTTACCAGTTATGATACTACGAGTGTATAGTCCTGCATGGCTTACACCATCATATAGGAAATCGACATTTCTTTCATTCTCCCAGGCTTTCAATTTTGATTTCAGCGCATCAACCATTGCTTTGGTACCGAGAAATGAAAACATACGAGTCAATATCATTTGAACCATCATGTTGAGATTCCAAGAAACACAAGAAGATTAATAATATAAAAACATGGCAGATAGCAATCTGATCATTTCAGAAACTCTACTGTTGTTGAATCCATCAAATCTAGAAAGGTGTTTTTTATTTCTCAAAATTCTGAACTGTGTATATAGATAGCTTGATCGTATCCCGAAACAATTTTTTTTTCTTTTATTATTTTCAATGTCAGGCATTTCATCAAGAATCAAAAATCAGACTGAACTGTCATCTGCAAGAGGATAAGATACCAGGAATTTTGTTGACAACAATACGGGCTTTCTCAGCGCGCTTTAGCATGAGATGTGTGCCTCTCCCAGCATTGTAACGATTGTCATCCTGTTTTAGAGATGAGACAAGAGAGAGGAAGGAGTTGAGTGTGGAAGTAATTGAGAACTTGAGATATAAAATTAACACCACAATTAATGAACCAACCCTGTTGTACTCCTCCAGCCAGCATTCCTCTTCACAAGCAGCCAACCATTTTTGCACCTTTTCGAGAATCTCTTTTCTACTTAAAGCTTCCATTTTAACCTTGGAAATCTGAAGCTCCAGTTGCTCAAGTAAATCGGAGGGACTGATTGCCCCTGCAAAAATCAGTTGAAGATTGAGCACCCGTGATGGAAGGCAGTTACTGATTACTGTTCTTTTCGGAACACAGCTAATGCTTAACAATTTACTTGGTTACAATTTCATGCTTCTTTTTAGTCAAAATGTTAATCAGAAATTCTGTGAGTACGGAAAACAGAAGCCATACCAGACTCCATGGATTCAACAGAAAGATGCTCTCCAAGTTCTTCAACAACCATGTGTGCATCTCGGCAGATCTCTTCTAAAATCACTCTCTTTTTCAGAATTACTTCCTTAATTTTTCTCATTTTTACTTGTTGCAGCCTTTTGACTTCAGCTTCAGCCTGACAAGAAAATATGCATACATGTACAATGATGAAATTGTAGACGCCAGCATTGACATTTATGGAGACAATGAATGGAAAGGAAGAGGTAATAATCTCCTAACAATCAGAAAAATGAATAATTAGAACAGTGCATTAGCTGGAGGGAAATGTTGAGGACATACATTATTGATGAGATCCAAGGATAGACTATCAGGCTCTGTTATTTCATCTTCGGAAGAAGCAATAATACGTGTAACATTTTGGAACATTTGTTGTTCCTCAAATGGTGTATCCATCAGATTCCAAAGCTCCACCATAGTCATTGCAAGATCTTGAAGCTAAAACATGTATCCAGCAGATAAGAAAGAGAGGATTCGTCATAAAGAAAAACAGAAATTTAATTAATATGCTGTACCCTCTGCATACGCTCCAATTTCGCATTCTTAAGCCTTAGTATCGTAGATGATAAGCCTTCTATTGTATCTCCACTTATACATCTAATTTCATGAGTGTCATCCAAACTTGGGTTAACGCCATGAAGTATTGAGTTGAAGTCCATTCCAAGCACCGAGCACAGGCCTTTCAGATTATTCAGTTTTTCAAGAATCTGATTCAGACGCTCAACCTGTGTAAATCAATGAATTTGAAGAAGGTTGCCATGTGTATATAAACAGATTGCCCCATTGCCCCCAAACAAGACAAAAATTAAATCTTTAAGTTCAAAACCTCAGGTACCTTTTCTTTCTGCAGCAAAACCAACTTATTTCTCAAATCATCTAATCTCTTCAAAGATAAATCATTTTCGTCAATGACAATCGTGTCAAGATTCCTTTTCTCAGTTCCTCCAAGCTCATCAGAAATGCTGCTTATTTGCTTCACAACCTCCACAAACTGACTCTTCCTCTCATTCCTTTTCTTTTTCATAGCTTCTAAGTGAGGCATAATCCCATGAAGCTCGTTTTTCAAGCCCCCAGAACTCTGTTTTAAACAACAATCACGGCATTATTGACGAATCCTATACAAGACACCATTGTTTCTGGATTGTATACAGTAAGATAGCAAATACTGCATATCTTTCTCTTGATCTGTTACTACCTTTTTTATATGAACTGGTTGGTCTCCTAATGCAGCACATATGTCTGCAAGCTGCCCTTCAGCTTCGGCAACTGCTTGCCTTAGCTGAGACCGGCCACGATTTGCCTGTTCCACTTTCCTTCTATATGCATCCAGGCACTCTTGTTCCAGCTCAAAAAGCATTTTATCTCTTTCATCATCCGACTCTCCAATTTCATCCCATATTTTCTGTTTTCAATAACAATTAAAACAATAATCTTTCTGTAAGCGACATTAGGGTTTAGCAAATGATCCGTCAAAAAGATTTAACGAGTGATCACCTGTAACTCAGTTAACAGAGAACCACAAGTTGTCGCCATCCGCACTCAATGTTGGAGTTTTGAATTCAAAATCTAACGAAAAAGATCAAACTAAGCATCAGATATTCAAAACCTGACAAATGGTGCAAAAACAAAAAGCAACCTACAAATAATTTGCATGAAACATCCATCAAACACTAAAGATCCAAGATAAAGAACAAGAAGCCAAGTGACACATAGTATAACATCACCACGAGATCTCAACACGATATTAAGTACACAAAATACAGACTATAAACATGGCAAAAAAAAATATTAAAAAAAATCCCAACCAACTTCGACGAACATTATTCAGTTCTAAGTTTTCAAAATTCAGAATGCGAATTCACATCGAGTCACAAACCAGTGGAACAATGGAGGAAAGATCAAGACGAATTTCGCATCACAATTACAAAAGCTAATAATTTTTCACAAAGTAAACAGAACAATTCGAACAGGCATTTCAAATTTCTACAATCAGGCGGTGAACACAACCGCCACAGCAACCGACAACGAAGCTACCGGCAAAAACTTCTCAACTTCATCAAAGCAAACAAAACCAAACTTCTCCACCGCATTTCTACCAAATACAATTGCAATATTGCAGCACAAAAATTCGAAAAGCTCACATGATCAGAGCAGCGAGTGAAGAAATGTTCCTCTTTCTCCGCTTCTATGGTTTCGAAATGCGATGGGGATTTAAGAGGGAAACCATTACGAAAATTGAAACGGAAACGCTTTTATGTTCCTTTCTTTTTTGAGTTCTTTTTTCCCCAGAAATTTATAATAATCGAAATAACGAAGCGCCGGCGAGCGCTTTCGCCGTACGGAATTCCTCGTGGGACCTACTTTTTGAATATCCAAAAAGATATAGGGTGTATTTTAATTTTGGATTGAATTTGAAATTTTGAATTAAACTTTAATATTTTATTAAAAATATAGCTAAATAATGTGAATTTAAGTTTCAAATTAAACCACCACCCATCTTGATTGTGGGATGTGTTTATTTATTTATTTATTTATTTAAAAGAATTAGATATAGAGTATAAGTAATGTAAAAATAATAAATATATATTATTTTTTTGTCATCTCACATAATTTGTCAATATTCTTTCTAATTCTACATAATTTATCATTTTAAAAAATATATATAATTGAACATTTTAATTATATTTTAAAATTTATTATTTATAATTTTTTATTTTAAGTAAATCATTTAATTATTTTAATTTTAATTTATAACTATTTAATTACATCATAATTATTTTTAGTAATATATTTTTTAATTATTATCTGAGTAGTTTTTTAATAAAGTCGTAGCATTTTCTGAGTGTCCAATAATAAATGGAAACATATTTGATTCTGTGTTGATTGATCTCATTCAGTCAGTCAGTATATTTAATAAAAATATATTCAACTGAAGTTTACTCTATGCGCATATTTTTGTAGCAGTTGCGAATTCTCATATTATCAAAAAAAGAAATAATCATTCTCCAAACAAAATTTTTTTAATTATTTATTATTTACATATATTTACGCAAATACGTCCCCCTGCATAGCCTTAGCACACAGCATCGTCCTCTCCAGCAAGAACCCCAGTATTAACACAGGCGATTCCGTCGGAAACGCTCCCATCTCCAAGACACCGATGAGTAGTTGTTCCGTGATACTCCTTGCTGTGAGTACTCTTTCTGAATCTCATCTCCCTCAAAATTCTTTTTGAAGCAATTTGTTCTGAGATGATTGGGAAAATGCTTCACAATCGGAGTCCACAATTGATAACGTCATAAATCTAGAGAATGTAGTCAAGTGATGTTCGCATCTGCGGGGAGTGGCCGTGACTTCAGCTCGAGATTTTAATGTCGAAGTAGGTCGTTGTAGGTTATTTATTTTGATTTCTTCCAAATTCTTCTCGAGATCATGGGCGAAGGCGGTGAAAATAGGGCCGCTGTCTCCGCTCTTATTTAACTCAATTAAGCATGAAGCTGATAAAAAGTAAAATGAGACATTATAAAAAAAAAAATTATTAATGAGTTAATAAAAAATAGTTGGATAGATAAAAAAAATAAAATTGTACGATGTGATATAAATAGGTGTTGATGTGATGTTTTGAATGTAAAATTGATTTTTAGTATAATATAAAAAATAAAAAATAGGTGTTTGATGGAATGTTTTGGGGGGGGGAGGAAATTTGGATGAATAATGTATTTAAAATCCAACCCGCCAGTTTTGAAATATTTTAGGTCAATAGAGATGCAGTGAATGATACAAAGAAAATGATTGTAGAGTCCTTATAACTAATGCTTAGTAGATGATGATAAATGCTTAAGAAGTTGACGAGGTTCCTTACATAATCTATTGATCTTTTTATATTGAATAAAAAAATATTAAAAAATTATAAGACATCATTGTTTATAACAGGCATGTGGTTTGTTTTAAAAAAATATATATAATCATAATTGCACATAATTCCCAAACTGCAATGTTGGAACAACTTTTACCATTTCGTTAAGTTTTGCAATAAGTTTCAATACATGAAGGAAGGTTGCATAACTTCTGAGAAAATTATAAGTATTTTTCTAAATCAAAAGTGAACTATAAATAATTTTATCAAACTATAATAAACATGTCAGCCATGTCATCAAATTATGGGCATGCCTAGAACCTTGCTACTTTGCTTAGAGTTAGAACCCACCCTCTTTAAGTTCTCTTCGCTGGCTTCCATTGGAGAAAATACTAACTACTCCCTCCTTCACTTAAAAAGCATGTGCATTTGACCGGGTACTAGATTTAGAAAAAGTGAGTAAAAATATATATATTTTTTCCTTTTATGGTAAAAAAAAAAAAAGAAGTAATTACTAAAAAGGAAAAAAGGGATGAGAATAAGGTTGGATACCAAAGGAGTAGCTTATTAAACCATTGCAAATCATTCACAATTTTGGCAACCCCATCTTTCACCTTATTCCTAGACAATCTAGCTTTTAACTGCTTCCCCAAATTTCAAAATAAATATATATATATATATTAAAATAATACTCCACTAATAACATAAGATTAAAATTAAGAAGACAAATAACTTAAATTATTAGTATAAAATAGGAGGGGGCACTTTTCTTTGTAATAGTAATATGTTAATATCATATTCATAACTCATAATGGTTCCATTTAAAGCATTAATGCACTAAATAAAAAAATGAAAAATAAAAGTACAAGTAGCTAGGGGTCAGCAGCATTACCTCAAATTTAATGAGTTAGATGCTGCTTACACAGCAGGTTCTTCAAGTATTATGTGCAACTGCAAGCCAAGGTACCCAATGTATCCTCCTATTCCATTCTAGTCTAGTCTGTTCTGTGACTGCATCAAGATCATATGGAAAGAGGTTTTTATCAGAGGCACAGCACAGCACAGCAAAGAGAATATTGGAACAAACATAACAATAGATGTAGTAGTAGTAGTAGTAGCAGTAGTAGTATTTAAGGTTTGCTACCTAACATTTTCAAAGCCTACCATCTAACTAATAAGAACAATTTTCAACATTTCGAGTATACCTGATGAAGCTAACACGCTGTTACAAAAGCCATCAATCCAAATGCCACTGCATCGTAAAAGTTCTTCACAACTGTTAAATGCGCAGTTTCTGTCTCAACTGTTAAAAGATCCAATCTTCCCAACGTCATTGTTGATGAGATCATATTGAGGACCATAAAAAGCAAAGCTCATAGAATCGAAGTATTCCATGTAGAATTGAGTTAATTAACACCTAATAAAATGTGTAGCTTTAGTTCAACATATACCATGCCGGTCCAATAAAACTTGGATACCCAAGGACAAACCCGTGTGTATTCATTCAGTTGATATAACTACTTTAATTTCAAAGCTCTTTCCATGAAGATCGTAAAACATTTAACCATACTCATCATACAAAATATAGAAATTAAAGTAATGGGATACACCACAGATCAAATCTAAGCATTCAAATGTTAGGAATAAATTGAAAAGGGCTCTTCTTCGGATCAACCCAAAAGTATAGACAGATGGATACTATTCATCATCATCAAGTATAACAAGTATATATCGAGTGAGAGAAGAATTTATTCTCAGACAGTTTCAACAAAAACAATCAACCCATGGGCACTGGAGGCTAGGCACAAGAATCAGGCAAACAATAAGTACGGTGTACCTTGAAAAGCTCGTCTGCAATGCCCGAATTACTTATGTCATGAATAGTAGAGCAAGCAAGATTTGATAGTAATGTTTCAACATACACAAGGATCTCTTGCAACAAGTGAAGAGAAATGAGTTAGCAATTATTACAACAGGTAAAACAGATAAATGATTTTTAACACTGGCAGAGACTAGTAATACACAAAGATACCAATCAAATGTGTCAGGACTATAATTTCGAACTATACAAAATATCACTTAGTAACAATAATGGAAAACCACAAATATTACAACGGGTAACACAGATAAATGATTTTTAACACTTGCAGAGATTAGTACTACTCACAGATAACGACAAATGTGTCGGGACTATAATTTTGAACTATACAAAATATCACTTAGTAACAATGGAAAACCACAAAGCTGTCAGCAATGGTATATACACGCGTATCAACAACAGAGGTAAATCTACTAAAAACAACACATGCAAAACAAGTTCGTAACTTCAAGATTAAAATTCATAGTGGCACAAGGTCAACACACGGTCGATCTGAAGTATGCGCAAAGATGCCGAATGGCTTATATTATACAAATTTCTCACAAAACAAAGACACCTAAAAGAACCACTACAGAAACTACTGTGATTGTGAGACCCTTCAAGCAGTGTACAAAAATGTACAAGACATTTCCAACGGTGAATCAAGATGAATGGCATCGAAAAAAAAACAAAAAATCAGAATTAAGTTAGTGTGGGTTCACTGGGATGAATGATTTCTACACAATCCCCCCATGTTGGAATCCACCATCGCTACAATCGGGTCCAGGATCGAGTCCACAGGGATCAAACCATTTCGGATTTTCCGGGTAAAAGCCATCTACATTTATTCCGGCAAGGCCTACATCCGGATCTATCGATTCATCAGGCCTTAGAGGCTTGGTCAGCTTCGGGTTACTGCAGTCAAAAATCCCTTTCTGATCAAATTCACCACATTTCAACCATTTCTCTTCTTTACAACCTTCACCAAGAAAATTCTTCTCGGTCCGACATCCTGAACTCAACTGATCCCACGATGCAACCTCCCCAAGAGTTCTTCCAAAACTGTCCTCGTCGTCTTCAATAACATCTGCATCCTTACCATCCCCATAGATCCTCGTGTGATGATCATCGCCCCAGTCAGGCAAATCATGTTCCACCACCAACACGTCATCTAGACGCTGCTTTTCAGATATCAACCCAACTGATCTTGGTCCGTAATCTGAAATATTTCTAAGCTTAATCATCATATCAAAGAGCTCACGTGACACAGAACCCAAATGATGGGGTGGCATTTTCCCAATCCTACCCTCAAGAAACCCAAACTCATTTTTCAACTCCTGTAATTGCTGCAAAACCGAATGCCGCATATCTCCCGAATCCTTTACCAAGATCCCAAAACCCTCATTCTCCCCATCCTCAGCCATCCCATACACAATATCTTGATCCATCAGTAAACCCCCCTTATGCCCAACCATTCGATGCATAATCCTTGCATTGCCATCCAATGGCCCCGGTTCATGTCCCGAATGCACAGCAT